TTCTTGGAGTAAGGGATATCATTAAAACGCCGCTAAGCCCAAATAACGTTTCCTCTACTGTATGGGATAGGTGGAGAGGGGACATGCAAATACAACAGTATATGCCTGATGCAAGCAGATCTAGTTCAACTATTCTTCTCCCCCAACCCAGGATTGTGGTTTCCCATAAAGGGGATCAGTAACCTCAGTCTCTGCTCCTATATCAATGTAATTAAGAATATAGTTGTAGTGGTCATTAAAGATGTCAAATAGGTCTGGGTCCTTCTATTTCCCTTTATTTGCCCATTTGAAAAATCTGACCTCCTGCTTTTATTCTTTACATTTATTTTGCTTTGAAATTTTCCTGTTTGGTCTCTTTGAAGATTCATATATTGAAAATGTGTTATTATAAATGGATTTAAAGATTAAACGAATAACAATAGCTGTATGTCTACTCTTTCAATGCAAACATTCTGATCTGGATCTTTTAAATTCTTGCATATGGCATGTGATTTTAAAAACGCTGCAATGAAACAGACTTTGAAAAAGAGTTATCTTTCTTATATGTTCTGTACCTCCTTAATCAACATTTGATTAGTTGAAATCATTCCGCGTGACGTTGAACAAAACTTCATATTCCCCTCTGAGTATCATATTCTCACCTGAACCGTAGATACGACCTTGTGCAACGTTTCGCGCGGTTAATGTTCTAACGTTTTGAGCTTTTTTTCATATAGAGATAGTATAGTAATTTTGTTTCCAAAATTATATCAGTTCTAGAAAATAAAAGAAATGATAATTAACTTTTGATCGGTACTGATCATCATTTTATGTCGTGCTTAGTTATAAAAACAAGCGGATAAGAAAAATAAATGTAAGTAAATATCTTATGTTCAGGTAGTAAAAAAAGTAAAGGCAGTGGACTAAAACATGTATTTCCCTTGGCTTAGGGAGATATGAAGATTTGTTCACCCTCGAAAAGTCATATTTCCATCGGGCGATGCCTTCATATCTCCCTCAGGCACGGGAAAAAAATGTATAATAGAGTATAAGAGCCCTATAGGTTTACTCTATGTTTAAGTTTCAATAGTTTAAACGGATTTTACGAACACTTGGAATATTCGTCTTAATGGTCCTAATATGAAGTAAGAACACTTGGTAAATAAATATATTTGAAGTATTCGTAGTATTGTTCTTAATGACCCTCATATGAAGTAAGAACACTTGATAAATAAATGTATTTGAAGTGTTCGTAGTATTGTTCTTCCTGTCGTAATGCATTATATGAAGTTATAACACTTCTTAACACTTATAAGATAATTCTTGATGATTTACGTTCAAAATGTTAAACGTTATGTAAACAGAATTCTAATTTAAGTAACATTACATGATTATTAGAAAATGAAAGGATATGGAGTAAATGTACACGGGACAAAATCGCACACAATACATAGAAAACATAGAAAATTATCAATGAACAGGGTTTTTATTCCTGTTCTTCATCTTGACAGTTGATATAGGGTTTCAACAATGAACGAATCATTCATACCCTACAACAAGGTCAAGACGGCCCCTAGCGTCGACTTAAGCGGTACTATTGATAAAAAATAATTCACAGTTCATCGTTTTGCTCCCCACCCGCCTCGGAGTGCCAACTTGTGCAATGCTTGTGTACGACGGTTCTCCAGTCGAAATTACCAGGGATACAAGAAAAGTGCAGTAATTTTGAAAGACATCGATCGCCGCTAAAATATGCCTTGAAGTTACACATGTCGGGAGCGGTCAATGAATAACATAATTTATAATTACGGGGGAGGTTTTTCAACATATATTTGTCATACATTACCCAACAAAAGACCAATACATTTGAAACAACAAATGATAGACAATACATATAAAACTAAACAACAAATGATAGACAGCACGGGGCACATCGAAATATATGTAAGAAAACCTAGCAGTTTAAAATAGTATGAAAGGGCAATATACAAAACAGATGACATATTGTATGAAAGTAGACAACTATGAAATTTCTTGCGTATGCCATATATCCCTATACGTCACTTATATTGTATAATGCCTTGTATGTCCAATCTGCCATACAATATGTTTATAGTAATAACGCCGTTATCTGTTTCTCTACCACTAGCTAATTGAAATTAATCAGTAATTCGAATTTTAAGTCCGGATTATCTGCTGTTTAGTAACTTTATGATAAGGCATGTACCTTTAAAGATTTTTTTGTCATTGATTTTTAGAAATTGTACGATTTTACCCCCAGCAGAGCTATAGAAAAACAGTACATTAACGAGTGTTACACGGACACTATTTATAAATGGAGACACTCGTCCATTCATTGAGTTCATAGGTATTTTATCGTACACTTTGTGACCCAATAACCTGTTTTTATTAAAATAACTTATATGAAAAGTGTTCGTCACAAATCTAATAATGTCCCAAAATGCTAAAATGTAATATAGTGTCTTCGAATTTACTGACTGCAAAAGTAACTTTAACCATAAATTATTTTCATGAACAAACTTATGTTTTGTTTGCTTAGTAGCTTTTATCAGTAGAGGATCAGTTGATGGCAGGAATATCCACAAGCAGGGGGTGCTATCAGGTGCTCCAGATATTTGTTCAGACTTATGTCTCGATATAAATCCTGCACTTGTTAGATATTTCACTTACACTGTTTTTCGTACCTGTATTCCTTTTACATAAAATGCAGTTCTTAGTGTTTTTCAAAGGAGAACATTTGAAACTGGAATTAACAGAGTTATTCATATACAAGTAAAACGTTTGACTGAAAATTCTTTGCAGGACGGAACAAATATATAGATTATGCAATCACGACACTACAGTGCTCTTGTACAAAATGTATATGACTGGTCTCTTTTAAAATTGTCCTCTGAAATTACAAAGTGAAATTTCGAAACATTTCAGGATTGAGTATTGGTAGACCCTGTATAACTAAGCCGATGTTTAAGTTGATCAGTTGGCAAATATTGTGGCATATAATTTCAATTAACACTTTACTAAATACCATATTTTAGTAATTTTTCCTCAACCTCCAATTGTTCACACATAGTTGTCAATATAATGGAATTGTATGCAACTGTCATACAAGTGAGAGGTTTAGCTAGCTATAAAACCAGGTTTAATCCACCATTTTCTACAGAAGAAAATGCCTGTACCAAGTCAGGAATATGACAGTTATCCATTCGTTTGATGTGTTTGAGCTTTTGATTTTGCCATTTGCTTAGGGACTTTCCGTTTAGAATTTTCCTCGGAGTTCGGTATTTTTGTTATTTTACTTTTTTCGTTTGTGAAATTAATTTGACCAAAAAATAATGATGAAAACGATTTGTGGTCATTTGTGTAAAATCCCGATTTTTACTGGGAATCAGTTTTCTAAAGTGTGTACTTCAAACAAGGATATATGTGATAAAACGGAAATGTTTTCTCCTACTTACTTCCTCTATTTCTAATGATAGCTTGATCAACAGCAAAAACCTTTCCCTCTAAATTCTTGTTAAATAAACAATAATGGGATGATGAAATATCCTGAACATACATGTATAATTCATATCATATGTGACGTGCATAAATTGTATTTAATACAGGTTTCCTTTTACTTGATCATTATAAAACAATAATGCAGATATATTTAGCATTAGTTAGTTGTTCAACCCACTATTTTTTCTTTAAAATGTCCTGTACCAAGTCAGGAAAATGGCTATTGTTATCTTATAGTTCGTTTCACAAACTAAAACTGAGGGAAACAAATCAACTATAAGAGGAGAACAACGACACAACAGAAACCCTTAAATGTAACACACACCGGAAATTTTTTTTCAATCGATTTATGAATTTCGAACAGCGGTATACAACTGTTGCCTTTATTTATGAATTCATACAATTTCATTAAACGGATTTTTTTCAATAAAATATCATTTAATAACATTTAAAGTCACTAAATACTTTTTTAGTGCTTCAAATGTTAAACGTGGTTGAATATCGTCGTGATTGTCTCTTAGAACATAAAAAGGATTTTATAAGATACAAGATATAGTTTCCCTTTTTATGTTCTAAGAGACTGGTTAAATAGGTTATTAGCGTACAAATGTTTATACACAACTCGTCATTATCATCTTCATCTTTGTCATCTTTTCGTCTTTTCTTTGTACTCACATTTAAATTCGTAGTATTAACGCTGTTTTATATTCAATGTATGCAAAACGTAAAATATATTATTGTAGTTGTCATTGGTTTTGTTTATATATCACTTCGTAATAACGGAATCTTATCAGGTTACTTCAATTAGGAAGAATGAATAGATGCGCAAAATTACCTATCAAATGAGGTGAGAAAGAGCGCTTATCGTTTTATAAGGAAACAAAATACAAATAATTCATTTTTTTCAAAATTGTTGGCTTTTTTCACTCTGCAAAGTATGAGGCGACAATAGGAAAAAAAACACGCTTGCAAGAACAATTTTAGTGGGTTTTTTTTCTATGAAAAGCACTTTTTAATGTATTTACTTCAAATTCATAATAGATATTGACGTGTATAAATATATAATAATTTACAATACAAGAATCTGGTCTGTAAAGACCGCAAAGTTAACTTACTTTGGCATGTTTTACGCAAGTTCAATCATTTTTTTTTTAATTACTGATGCACGTTATTTCAATGTTTCGCTAATGCTTATTTATAAGAGGGTTTGAAAAATAACCAATTTGAATATTCGCAAAATAAAAATATTCCAACGAAATTACCAAAAACAAAATTTCACTAATTTTTATAGAAAAAACACGTGGTAAATTATGTTTTATCTTATTATTTTATGATTTTTAAAAGATCTTTTCTTGATCTGTAACATATCCTAAAATCATGAAAATGGAAATACAATATAAAACTGTATCGACTCCTCTTTAGAAGACTTGAGAACTAACATAATTAGTTTTAAGAATTTACAACGTGTACACGTATGTCCATTCTCGGAACACTTAAATGGACTGATATAAAAATAAGTAACACAAATGTTTGTGCGCAAAGTGTCTGCTGACAAGTAAGTAAGTTAATCATTGACTAGTCGACTGAATTTTTTTAAATATTAATTATTGTCAATTGTTGTCATTAACATATTGTTTTTGCTCAAATCATTTCCCATTCTATACTACAGTATTTATGTACATGATGTGTTTTTACAAAGATATGCCAAAGCATCGTTTCTATCCGTAAAACTAGATGTACAGGTTATTCTTGTGTGTTCTTTGGTATAGCTTTATATAACTTACATTACGTTTACAATTTTATGAACTTTGTTTAATGCTAAAACTAGAATTGAATCTGACGTTAAATTTTACTCATAACCACATTTAGAGTAGGATTGATTCTATTATAAACTTGAATGTCCCTTTGGTATCATTCTTTTTCATGATTCTGTGATATTTTTATATCTATCAGCCTTAGTTTGCATGCATTATAGTGTCTTGTGAACTAATGTTTGTTTGTTCGGGGAGGGGTAAATTTTTTTTCTTACCATGGTAATCTCTGTCTTAGTTCAAATAATAATTTGAATTGCCACTTTTTATGCAGCAGGTTTGGTTAACCATAAAACCAGGTTCAACCCACCATTTTCTTAAGTGCATTCGTTTTAAGAAGTCAAATAGTCCGTTTCTATGTATGTTGGCGTTTGTTTTTGTTGCAGTTCAGTCTTTCTGTTGTTCCGTTGATTTCCTCATATAGTTGATGTGTTTCCATCGGTTTTAGTTTGTAACACGGATTTGTTTTCTCTTAATCGATTTATGACTCTTGAACAGCGGTATACTACTGTTGCCTTTTATTGGTATTGTCAATTAAAAAAAAAATTAATAAGCAAATCTGGGATCGATAAATGCTGCAATTCACTTTTTCATTTCAAAAGCATATTTCATTGTACGTAGTTTACTGTTACCAAAAATATCTTGACTATCCACTTAAAATCACATCTTCAAGACGTGAAATATTTGATTTGAAATCGAATATTTGAGTTTTGCAAGAAGTCAAAATTTAAAAATTTTTAAAAGTCAAAATTTCGAGTTTAGTCAATATTCAAGATTATTAAAGTAAACATTTCGGATTAAGTTAAAGGATGCTCGCTCCTCTTACTTATGAAATTTTGACAGATATTCGGAATCATCTAGTTTTATCCATGCAGTTTCATTAAAATTTTGGCCGCTAATCCCTACTTTTCTTTTCATAGTTTAATTACATATAGTTTAAAAAGTCATATTTGAAAATCTTATAAAATCCTTTTTATATTTTCATAGTTTTAGAAAGAAAAAAGATGCCAATGTTAAATGTAAGAAAAATCTAGAGAGAATCATTGCCCGCCAATTTTTCGATGGCTTTTACCTCGAAAACAAGGACACGGACACTTTATTTTTCTGCATTTTTAGTTTCGTTATCTATATACTATCAATTTAAACAGTCTTTTAGAAAGCTTTTTATTTTGAAACAGAGTAGCGAACTGCAGTATTTTGTTGTTATAAGTTTACTTGATAATTGTACCTATAAGTTGCCTTATTTAGCAAAGATTTCGTGCGTTAAGAAATGTTAATTCACCATTTCCAGGTCTATATTTTAATTTGTCAAGTAGCGTTTTCAATGTGATTTCTGAACATGTGAAGTCTGGATTTATTTTGTATAGTATAAGGACGACGTATGCAAAGATTTAGGTCTCTATCCGTTTGCAAAACATCTAAAAAAATTTCTATATATTAGAAGCCTTGAATCTAGAGAACAGGCTTAGTAATGTGTTGATATCCAATATTGTTTTGTTTGTTACTTTAGGTGTCTTAAGATCTCCTTAAATCATGAATAGTAAACCATGGTGAATAAAAAAAAAGCAAAACATAAAGCAAATTTGATATTTTGTATGGTTCCGATGCACAGCGAAGGAGGACAAATTTCGCGAGTGATTTATTTTCCATAATTTAATGATACGATAAAATCGCGAAAATATTGCCTATGTAGAGGTTAAGAATCACGGACAAGATAAACGTGAAAATAAAACACTTTGCAGTACTTGTACATACCTAAGATCTTTGGATTCTTCTGATTAATAGATTTTTAACCAGAATTATATATAAACTTTCGAAATTTCAAAAGAGTGCATTGTTTTTCTATCCCACAAAATTCAACTGCAATAATGTGAAAGTGAAAAGTTAATTGAAAAAAAGATATAAACAAACGATTACTCAGATAGATTTTTGCACAATTGATAACCTTTCTAGATTTGATTTTACATCAAACATTTCAATACATGTAACTCTTACTGTATAATAGTTGATTACGTGTTTGGGTTGCTGTATAATTGATGTTTTCTTTATACACCGTAAGTCATAATAGAACAAACATTTGCCTTTTTCAGTATTTTTTAAATTTGGCTTAACACCAACTAAGTTTTATCCAAATATCGTTAAACATACACGCCGATTCATATACATGGTCCTTGTTTTTAGACGCTGTTCATTCTTTCAACGATGAAGTACAAACAGTTCATTAGAGTTGTTTTGATTTGGTAAGTTACTTAAATGTTTGTTAGCATGACTATCGCTCCAGCCAGTTATCGTATTAAGGAAAAAACGCTACTTTGCTTAATCTTTAGTACGTCCAAATAGCATTCCTTCTAGACAGGACTCATCAGGGACGCTCGAATCATAACAGTTTAAAAGGCTAATTCAATGACAAAGACCATTTCAAACCAAAGACTCAAAAAAAGAAGTGACAAATCTTTCTTCAGCTATCTATGTCTTCTGGTAGTAAACCCTTAATGGTTCAAATTTTTTGACATTTTATAAACAATACATTTATAGAAATTGACGTAACAATGAGAGTTCATGCCATATCAGAAGTCCTGACAACTTGACTGGTGACACCCTGGGGGACAAAGCGTCCACCAGCAGGGGCATCGACGCCATGGTTGAAAAAAAAAACCGATTGTACTAGGTTTATAATTTAAAAAGTATAATACCACCAAATCATAGTACGTCACATCCGGTTGCATACGAAAAAGGTTCGAAAAACATATTCCCTTGAATTTAACAATTGTAGAAAATTACTCCTACATTTCATTGCAGTAAAAAATTTCTGGGTCATAAACATATATCTTGGGTGTTTCAAAGCACCATTATTTTTTATTTGGTGTTTCTATAGAATATTTTGGAAACGTGAGGTTACATGGTTACTAAAGCTTGTACACAGTTAAAAAAAAGGGTGAAAATTTGATTGGTTAACTTCCAGTGATGGTAATTTTCTTATATGCATTGAAATGTTATGTGAAATTTTGTCTATAGTACTGGACAGGATAAAACTTTACTCATTCCAAGTATTTCTTTATTTGAAACAAAGATAATTTCTGCACAATTGTTTGAAAAGTGCAAATTTAACAAAGACTAATAGGGCAAAATCAATTGTGGTATTACACCTAATACGTCAGAAGCACGTGTAGTCAGCGTAATACTCATCATTTGCGCTCTAATCAAACACATACAATTATAATACCATATATTCTATGTGCTTGTCAAGTGTTTCTTGAAAATGTTTCATCATGTTTGAAAAGCACTAAATATAAATCTTATGACGGTATAGATACTACAATGGCTTAAACAAAACAATAAAAAAGACCATTGTGACTGAAGGAGTCGCCTCCTTAAGTTCAGAAAAGTGCATAATTCTTGAACATAAATTCAAAGTAAACATTTAATGAAAAAAACCGACAAAATAATCTCAAATTCTATCATGAAAACGAATAAGATAAAAATGATTCCCGAGGAGATACTTCGATCTAAGAGGTAGAACTATACTTGATATCTATATACTTTTGAGACATTCTTACTAGGTTATTTTATATATTACTTTTTCATTCTTTAATAATAAAAAAGGCAAGAACAATTGTTCTTCCTAAAATTGTGGTTTTATTGTAATATACATTCAATTATTTTTCAGGGTCTCAAAGTTTTTGTTGGTAAGAAATCATATTATCTAACGCATAAAGAAAAGAAAGACAAAATGTACTCATGCTACAAGTTATTATACATGATATTGAATCATAAAACAAGAAGAGGGATTCAAAACAAATGTTATACAAATATATGCATGTATACGAGATGGTATATCTTGGAGATCAGCTGTTTTGTCAAAATATCCATCTCTTACGACAGACAAAAAGAGCTGATCTGCAAGGTATTCCATCTACTTGCAACTATACAACACGCACTAAGCTACAATCCTAAATAAAACAGACTAGGAAGGACATTACTCGACTAACGAAAGCTATATTTATTAATTGTCAAGTTGGTAGAGTGGTAAAGGGCGCTGAACAATGCGCAAGTGGTATTGCCACTATGTCAAAGAAGCAAGGTTTGAATAACGCTTAAGAAGAACAAGAAAATATTGCTAACGCAAAATTTTAGATCTAACTTGTTTGGGCTAGTGTAGACTATTTATATATAGATACATTATATTTTGTCAGCATGTCCATGAAACCCTCTTTCCCTAGCTGTTCGAAAAAACAATATATAAGAAGGTAAGATAGGTACGAATTGTCATTATGACGATTTCAATAAAATTTAATATGAGACCTAGTAAATAATTCAACATTATCGCTTTCCTCAGGGAACTGAGAAAATCCAAACCAAACGTGATATCCGTCTTTTGGCAATTTATTATTTTGATGAAAAGCAATGAAAGTTATTTTACGCCCGTTCATATAAGGAAAACGCTTGTATGTTTTAATAAAAAAGATGGTACACCATGATATTATCTGTTCATTTTAATATCCTATCCCTCTACCTCACTAAAACTCTCTAAGCATTATAGATTAAATATTTTCTTTTCAAGTTTGCAGAATGTGATCCATGCACTATAAGAATTGAAGATCCAGAATGGAACGGAATGTGGTATCTTGTAAGTGAACCTATCAAACAATAACCATTTGACATTTGTATATTGTTGACATTGCAATTCACAGATTGTCAACGTTGAACTTATTCCGCATTGATAAGTTTAAATAAATGTTTTTGAATCTTTGATCTAACTATTACCAAAAATAATTCAACATGAATTTCATACCATTCCAAAGATCAAATTACAGATTTTTAAATCGAAAATTATTTCAATAAAATTTAATGGCCTTGCATTGCTAAATGTCGTATTTTTTTAAAGTTTAACATTCAAACGTAAATGCAACACAAACAGTGCTCAAGCTTAACTAGTCAGTGGTTTAATTTTTTATGGAACTGTGACATATTTCCTGTTTTTAATATTTCAATTTTAGTTTAGGAAATTCAGATGTCAAAAGTTATCTTTCTTATATTTTTTTATCAATATATTTTAGAACAGGATAAATGGATATGACATGAATGTATTGCCAGCATGGAGAAGTTGTGTGAATGGTACTGGAGTGACAGTAGGTGTGGTTGACAAAGGTATCCAGGACCACATAGACCTTAATATTGTGAGTACATGTTCCACTTTTCTGTCTTATTATAGAAAAAAAAAAACTGCAGTGGTTTAGATTAATGCAGACTTTTAACTCATAAATATAACATAAAACTGTTATATGAATGAAAATGTCGTCTTTTTTTACATGCTCAAAATCTTGATTATTCCCACTGTCACAACAATTTTAGACGATAAGTATATTTTGCGAAACCTCCAGTGGCTTATATTTCATACATATTTCAGACGACTACAAATTATCAAGCAATGCAGTACATATGTTCTTGCAAAGAAAATCGACTGAAACTAAAAAAAAGGAGATTACATTGTCACTCAAAAAACATGAAACTTGGGATAGAGACAATAATTTTGTTTTGTAACATGCATTGGTATAAAAAAGATGTTGTCTTAATGAACACACGTTTTAAATTATTAATTCTTTATATCATAGCAACTGACACAGTCTAGTTTATCTGTTTCCTTCCACATTATTTGCTCACTGTTTAGAAAATAGAAATACATTTGTGTTTTAGGATAGGTCGTTGGATTCTGGATTTACACGCTATAGTAGACCGATATATCAACATTGGTAAGTCAACACTCATAGATATAAGTCCAAAACAATGTTATTATTTTGAAATGAGTTGATAACAAATGTCCTCACGCTTTTTTCTTTCATTAAATAACAAATATTGAGGTCTAAGAAGAGCTTCACAGTTAATTTAAAGATTTGTACTTGAAGAAAGACGACGAACATTGCCGTGACAAAAGTGTTCTATTTTACCATGATGCAATAGACGCTAAATAACGTGAATTTATCAAGTCAATAAAATGCGACTTTCGTGATATAAAATGAAACATACCATTTAATTTCTGCATATATATTTTTCAGGTCACCCCTGCGGCTATGGGTAAGAATACAAACTTTCTTAGAAAGGAATTGAAAATGTTTATGAAATTGTAATTCCAGTTAAATTCCAACTTCGTCAAAAATAATGTCTAATAAGAAAATAAACTAATGCAAAAATACGCAAACATCCACGTGCAGATAGCATGAATTGGTCTCAGAGTCCTCGAAAATGATGCTCCAACAAATAAATAACACGACATAGATTAGACGTGTTAGGCAAACAGAAGGGGGTTTATATGGTATCCACTGGATGAATACATTATGACACAAATTACACTAAAATCATATTGTCTGCACCTATATTACAGTTGCAGTGAACATTTATCAACTTTTCAGTATGTATAGACATAAATTATACTTTACCTTTTTTTATAAATCACACAAAGACAATAGTATTCGATACAATTGGCATGGCAGTAAATAAAATATTTAGGTGAAAGACGATGAAAAAAGCCATAAACTGTTAAACACTTAGCAACACGACGGGTGAAAATACTGGAGCAGGATCGTCTTGCCCTTCTAGAGCACCTTTGATCACTCCCGGTTTTTTTTTGGTTGGGTTCATGTATCTCAGTCTTTAGATTCCTATGGTGTGTATTGGTCACTGTACGTTTGTTTTTATGGTCGTTATTTTGTTTTTTGCCATGGCATTGTCAGTTTGTTTTTAGGCTTATAAGATTGAATATACCTTTGATATCTTTCTTCTCTCTTTTGATTTTTTAAATTAACTTAACATAAATAGACACGAGAGGAGGTTTGATAACACCATTATTTGGCTGTTGCTCATATCGAAACATTGATAACTAGATCACAAACCTAGACTATGTTGGCAGTTTTTCCCGTTTTAACTACTAGTAAGTGTAGTACGTGTAAAGTCTTAATTCCAATATTTAGACATTATTGAAAAATAGAAATATTAATGTTGACAAAGACAGTAGCCTCATCATATCTTCTCCTTTAATAAATTCTTCCCTAAAAAAGTTTTCTTTTCTTTGTATATTAACTAAAGACGTATTTGAGATGGTACGTGTGATAAGCTGCACCATTGCCTTATATAACTATCAAAGCATATGGATAATGTTTTTTCTTTCGTTCTAGTTGCAAAATCCTGATACATATTGAATAGAAATTACTATTATAAAAGTGCATTATCTGAAATGGTATTAAAGTAGCTACCATATTTGTTTTTCTATCACATTCGTAATTACTATGACACATTTATGTGAATTAAATTATATTTAGTTTAATTTTTTGTCAATCAGCAACTGATTTATTATTTCATCTTCCTTATATTAAATTTTTAACGGAACTTTCTATGGTTGTTAATTGCTGTTAACATATACATTATAAATACATGATTATTCTCTTCTTTAAGGCAGGATTCAGATCTGGTAGCAACACATCGAATAGACGAGATCAAGAATCATTAAAGTAAGTCAAAACGAAATTAATTTCAACTGTTAAAAAAAAACCTCAAATGGGCATGAATATCAAAGATCAGCCATCAATGTCAAAATCCTCAAATAAGGGTGAAAATTTATATAACAAATATATTTTGCTGGAGTCATGCCCCTTAGAAATATAGATAATATTGAACATCAGCATAGGCTCTATGGTATCATAAATGTTCATTGAAATTTAGATCAAAAACGTTTGCCTTAGCAATATCTCGTATTAGTCGGAAAATCAACATTTCTAATGTTGCCTTCATAAGATTGATGTCATTGTTGGGGAAAGATAAATGATATAGAACATCAACATTGTAATCACCCACCCAACCAGATTTCTGAGATGTGCTTAATTGAAGTTTTGTCAAATGTAACATCAGCAATATCTCAGACGAATAAAAAAATCAAGTCCTATGGATTATTTGAACTGAAGTTATGCCGGCTAAAATAAAAAATGCACATGATGTAAAAAAATCTGTATATGAATGATGGACAATCGAAACTCTTCTGCAAACTTGTTACTCAGATTTTCAGTCTTTTTTTCATGGAATTCGGTTAACTGATTTGATGTATCTACATATTATTTTGAAGATGTTTAGTAATTTACTACATCGTTAATGATAATATTAACACTGTTAACACTGCGTTGTCATTGATAATTTTTAATATGATTATTAATTACTGCTTGTAACTAATCATTTTAAAGACATGGTACAAGGGTAGCCGGTATTGTTGCAGCGAAGAAGAATCGGCAGGGTATAATTGGAATTGCATTTGGAGCTCAAATTGCAGGCACGTTTCTTATTTCTTAAAATATGTTTAATCAAATCAAGACTATAACATTTCTGATCGTATCAAAAAAAAAAATATCAGGTGGTGAAATGCAAGTTGTGATTGATATTTGAAAACTGCTATTGATAGAGAAAATTTCTAAATTTTATTATATATCTACTGTCCTTTTACATCAAAACTTCTATAGGAGTTTTTGCCATTAAATGATGAAATTTACCATTTTTTTTCATTTTTTCCTTTTATATTGAAAATTATAACAGAGAGATAAAAATTTTAAATTGCAAAACTGATCAGCAAGACAAGATCTACAAATCAGTCAAACATCGCCGAAATCTTTAGTCGACGGCTTATTGATTCAAGTTACTGACGTTTTTTTGACAATGTGTACAAACTTTTGCGATTTGGCCTATTGTGTTGAAAATTTAAAAAGAAAAAAAAATGTTTAGCAAGACAAGATCTGCAATTAGGTTGCATAGATGATATTGTCATATATAGATATAAGAAGATGTGGTATGAGTGCCAACGATACAACTCTCCATCCAAGTAACAATTTGTAAAAGTAAACCATTATAGGTCAAAATACGTTCTTCAACACGGAGTCTTGGCTTTTTATATGATTTCTTGCCTTTAGAAGATGATTTTTACCCTTTTTGTATTTTGCTTGCATTTTCTATCATGATTTCCTTGATAGAGACTTTTTGCTTGCATTTTCTATCATGATTTCCTTGATAGAGACTTGCTGCTTGCTAGGAAGCTATTAAACCACGGATTCTAAGTGGTGAGGTTGAATTTATCACTTTTAAATTTAATGACGCCATCACGATATGGGTTACTGTTATAGAACATAGGTTGCAAAGATGACGAAGGATATGTTCCAATTGTCGTAACCACAATCCCGTCCTATTTTCCTCGAATGTGCAATACGTCGTTTGCTACATGTAGAACAGGAGTTGCTCACACTTTCGGATCATATAAGACCGTCCACGGTTTTGATAGGGTTCGTCTTACGAAGTCATTAGTTTTCTATGTTGTGATTTGTATACTGTTTTTGGTCTTTTTGAACATTTTTTATGTTATTTGCAATGGCGTTGTCAGTTTTTAAGCGATTAAATAAGTTTAGATAAAATTGAGAATGGAAACGGGGGATGTATCAAAGAGACAACAACCCGACCAAAGAGCAAACAACAGCACAAGGCCACCAATAGGTCTACAACATAGCGAGAAAATCCCACACCCGGAGGCGGGCTTCAGCTGGCCCCTAAAAGATAATAATGTATACTAGTTAAGCAAAAATTGACGTCACACTAAGTAAGCTCTGAAACATATAAATGAACCAAAATAAAAAAATCATACAAGACTAACAAAGACCAGAGGTTCCTGATTTAGGACATGCGCAAAAATGCGGCGGTATTAAACATGTTTTGTCAGTACTGAACCTTCCTCATATACCTCTATCCAATGTGGAATAAGAAAACACACAGCAATGCGCATAGTAAAACCCATTTTAAAAGAAGTACGAGTCCGATGTAAAAATAGGTAACAGAAGAACTTTAAATATCTTTATGATATCTTCTTTCCCTCTATAAACAAGTTTCAAGGTTTGAAACCATATAAAACTCACTTAGTCACGACAGTTTAAAAACTAGGGGAAATTGCCATCATTGTTCTGTGATGCACAAAAAAATTTCTGCCCTCGTTTTCGAGTTTTTAAAACTAAACTAACTGAAAGCGACAGGGTTAATCATTAAACTAAATGAAACAAACCAACAAAAAAAAAAAACAAAAGCAATTAACACAAAAAAAATTAAACAAAAACAAAAAAGGATACCAAAAGTCTAGAAAAGTTGTTAATATATATTAAATAAGTATTTACATTTAATCTAAATTTCCTATTTATAAAAAACCTTAAAATTAAATTACGTAAGCAACTGACGGGCATTGATTTGAGATAGACACATTACAATATTACGGAGTTAAACTACAATGTATATGTTAATTTTGTATTATTTTTTTGACAGATGTTCGAATAGCCTCGACAGCAGTATACGAAACATTCGATGCGAATTTACTTAGACATCGTTGTGAAGTTATAGATGTTTACAGTTGTAGCTTTTCTAACTTCCATACTGGAACGAAGATATATCCTCTGCTTTCCAATCAGAAAAATGCCTTAGAATACGGAACAACTTATGTAACTATATATTAACTTAACAGCCAAATATAATCGATATTTCTAAATATTACCTAGTGAACTATCTTAATGAACACTTGCTGTCGTAAAGCAAAACCTATTCAATGATTGTAATATACAATGTCTTTTCATTCTCTTTCGTTTTTTTGCCGTGGCTTTTTCAATTTTTCATCGACTTTTGACTTTTAAATGTCCTCTTGGTATCTTCCGCCTCTTGTGGACTTATAAACTTTTGGGGTCGAGCCAATTTCACGAGACATGAATTGTTGACAGAACATTTTGTGCAGTACAGTTGACATCGCTTATGTTTATTTAGATAATATACCTGTTTTAATAAAGAAAAAAATACATAAATTTCTTGTTTGAGTTGTTTTACATTTGTCATCGGGACCTTTTGTAGCTTACCTTGCTGTATGGTATTCGCTCATTATTGAAGGCCGTGCGGTGACATATAGCTATTAACTTCTTCGTCATTTGGTCTCTGGATGAGAAATGTCTCATTAGCAACCGTACCACATCTTTTTTATCTTAATATATAAGCAGTGTGAGGAGTATTGTTCACGATAATGTTGTTTTTGGGCACCATTATTTAATCGAAATCCAGCTCACTATAGTACTGCTCTCGAAAAACAAAACAAAAATCGGACGGGTCCGATGTTGTTGGTTGGTGTGGTTTATTGTCCAATCATTTAAGTTAATCCTGTTATTCTATAAACTGTTAATTGGAGTATTTTGGCTTTAGTCATATTATTGGTTTATTTGGAGCCTTCACACGTAAACAAAGTTTTAACTAAAATGAGAATTTTGATCACGACAGCTGTTTAAAGACCCATAAATGAGTAATAAACTCATCGTCAGTTTTTGAACAATTTTTCCGAACTAAATTATCTGAATAATATATTAATATATTAAAATTTTAACAAGACTTAACGGAGGATTTAGAGTCAGACTAAACAGATAGTATTAATACAGAAATGTCCATTAAAAACTAAAATTCATTTACCCATGAATAACCAGATTATCGTAAGAATACCTGAATTTATACGAAGTAACTTCATTTGAGAAACCCTCAGATTAAATAGTGGTTGCATTGTCTCTGAATGCTTGTCACATAATAACATTATAGTAAAAGTCTTAAAAGAATAACCTTAGAAAAATTCATTACTGCTTTATACGGAATTGTTAACTAATTTGTTAATATAATAAAAAAAAATTGTTTTTGTATCTTTTATATCTCATTTGAAATGTGTGCCTGAGGCTTTAACCCTTCAGTAGAGATGTGGAAATTTACCATAACAAAATATTGAGAACCAATCACTTATTGTTGTAGTGCTAACATTTATGATCCTTGCATATACCAATGTTAAAGGTAATGTTTTGATTTTATAACCATGATTTATTAAATTACTCTAGAATTACTGTTTCTTCTGTACGGAAGCCGATCAGGGTCATTCGAAAAAAATAATTTATGTCGTAATTACGACATAGCATGTCGTAATAACGACATCACTATGTCGTAATTTCGACATAGCGTGTCGTAAAAACGACATCCGTATGTCGTTATAACAACATCGCTATATATAAAAAAAATATGTATTATGATTGCAAAGAGACTAAATGAATCAGACATTAACTACAGGTCATCATAATGCATTCAATAATAAGCAAAGCTCCCGCATGTTCAGCTATAAAGGCCCCGAAATGACAAATTTTAATCAATTTAATTCAAACGAGAAAACTAACGGCTTTATTAATGTACAAAAAATGAACAAAAACAAATGTGTAACACAGCAACTTCTGACTGTATTATACGTTTGTTACAGTTTAAGATATATTGGCCTTCGTAATAACTGATGTTTTTTATATATATATATATGAACAGGGAAGGGGTGGTCGTGGATCTGTGTATGTTTCTGCTACTGGAAATAGTGGTGGTGAAGAAACCGATGTCTTTCGTGATAGTTGTTCTTATGACAGACTGGTTGCCAATAGATACGTGATTTCTGTAGCAGGTACTCACTTGAAGATTTCTACTAGAATTATTATGCCATGTGTTAACTGGTTAAAAACATGAGAAAAGTAAAAGAATTCAGATCAATACACGAATTTGTCGGTATATGCAAGCCTTTAATGAATTTGACAATTAGTTAAAATGGTCCACACGAGGGTAAAATATTGATAGGCTAACAAATCAAAGGAACATTCGTATAATCAGCAAAAACAGTTATTTTGGCTTTGATCGTTCCGGGTGAATATAAATCCAGGAAACCTTCGGATAAAACTAACTTATGAAGTGTTACTTTGATTTTATCTTTAAAAGATGGTAAAAAATAAACTCTGAAATCTAAATCGAAAATAAATCCAAAAATTAAGACTTATTCTGATACTTATAAGAATACAACTAACGTCACATTCAGCACAAAATTTAATATGGCGACAAAATCGAGAAAACATATCAGCAGTATTTAATTTGACGCTGATATATTTGAGAAGATTAACTAATAACGTAACAATTATAAAGTTTAATATTTGATATTCAAATTTTTCAGGTATTCAGCATAATCTTCGAAAACTTCCAAATGGCGAAGCATGTAGTGCTATAATGGTTGCAGCTTTTACTTCAAAAGCCGGTGACAGGAGTAATAGAAGAGTGGTTAGTATGATTTTTCCTGGAAGGCCGGAAAAACAATATACTTTTTTAACTTAGAATTCAATTCTGACACTTTTCGTTTAGTTTTTTTAATTGACAATTAATGGTATTGGTTTTGATAGAAGTTGACATGATTTAACGGGGACCTTGGAAAAGCATCAAAAAGAACTGTTACAGAACAGTATTGATAACAATATGAATAAGGATAACAGTAAAATTTACAATTATAAATAAATCATCAAATAATTTGCATGTATGTTTTTTTGTGCAAAAGTTGGCTGATTGAAGGGTTTTATTCAAAATCGCTAATTATAGAAAGTAATTTAAGAAGTAAAGATCTTCTTGATGGATTCATACTTTGTGTGCAATTAGACGATTATATTTAGCCCTGTTTCTTTTATGCTCAAACTTAAACAGGTGACACTAGATATATCCTTATTTAAAGGAAACGAAGTTTATGATTTTGTAAATGAACCTTTGTTAAGAAAAAACCATGTAGAATATTCCAGATACAATGATATTACCGGTAATATTCCGAGAATGTTCGTTGCATAACCAATGATTTGATAACGTACAAGAAAATGTACAAAAATAGTATTATTGGCACTTTTTGAATTAAGTCACAAAGCAATGGTTAAACATCACTAATCATATACAACTAGTGAATGCAACTCTTGTTAACGTTTTTACATGCATCATAGCATTGTGTACATTCAAGCTAATAGTTGAGATATACGTGTTAGCTGAATATAAATTGGAGAATTGTGAATTTTATAATTTCTATGTCTTTTTTTTTATAACCTAAACATAGCCATTAGATCATAGCATTTTGTGATTAAAGTTGCTGACGTATTTCCCTTTTATAAAGCAATTTTGAACGACTCGTATTATTCATTTTTTACAAGGATCTAATAGGATTTATTTTCAACTTTAATTCCAATTTCTTATTTTCTTGTAAATCAAGGCGACTTTATTCATTACTTAAATCCTCATTTACAAGTCTTACTACGTAATCATACTTTGATCAACATATTAAAGAACATTATTCTATTTGTTTTAAGATAACAACAGATGTTGGGAACAGAACAACATTCCATTTTAACCAGAACGCAGCAGCAGTACCTATGGTATCAGGTGCTGTAGCTCTTGCTTTAAGTGCCAAGTAAGTGCAAATTCGAAAAAAATGTTTTCCATGAAAAAGATTAAAGAATTGGATATTTATCATGCTGTTTTAAGAACTTACACAATGTAGTCATATTTGAATCTGCAAAGTTAACGTGTTGCGATATTGACGTATACTCTATTTTATATTTAATCAATATTACTATTCATAGTTTCAAGAAAAAGGAAATGTATATATTACAACATTTCAAAATCTTGACAAAAAAAATAACTTAACTAAAACAAACTTTAAAAATAACACTCAAAACTATAAAAATAAAAAAGTGGAGTATACGGAAAATACTTTATATATATATATTGATGGTTTTTATTTACATTAGCATACAATGCATTTTATTGTGTTGATAATATATTTTTTTCTCAGTCCAGCTTTAACTTATCGGGACATTATGCATCTACTGGTACAGACGTCAAGAAGTAATCTCCAAGATAACATATACAAATCAAATTTCTTAACAAATGCTGCAGGAATCCGAGGTAATCATTTATAATATAAGATATCGTATATTTGAAAAAAGGGATGAACATTAAATTAAAAAAATACAATAAAAAAACCGGTTATTGACAATGATTATTTCAATCTGAACAGATGTTGTCATTCGGACATTCATTTTGGGTATGGTCTGCCTTTTTATCATTTTTCTTGTCATTTCCTATGTCAAATTCGAAAATTCCTTTTTCGTTGTGATAAATACAGAACCTTTAACCTAACTCTATCAAATGAGCTCTCTCACCTTGCCTCAAAATTTTAATGTTGAAGAACACGTAAATATATTGGTTTACTCTTTACTTACTCTCAAAAGGTATGTTTTGTGTATAATTGACAATACGAGGAAATAAATAGTATGTGTTCGATTATCAACAGAATGTGTATATTTAATAAAAAAATCTGTTTCGTTTTCATTTAAAAGAAATCAATTCAAATAAATGAAAAATAAGATATTAGAAGTCACAATATAGATCCATGTAAAGCCCCTTTTTTAGCTCACCTGACCTAAAGGTCAAGTGAGCTTTTCTCATCACTTGCCGTCCGTCGTCCGTAATCCGTCGTCCGTTAACTTTTTACATTTTGAACTTCTTCTAGAGACCCTCTGAATGGCAGGAAACCAAACATGGCATGAATGTTCCTTATGAACGCTAACCATGTGTTGTTACTTTGTAGCTGATCCATCATCCAAGATGGCCGCCAGCGGGGGACTTCATTTAACATAGGACCCTATGGACAATACATACAAATGTCTTCTTTTAGAGAACCACTGAATGGAATAAAACCAAACATGGCATGAATGTTCCTCATGAGATGCTGACCGAGTGATATTACTTTGAAGGTGATCCATCATCCAAGATGACCGCCAGAGAGGGGCTTAGTTTAACATAGGACCCTATGGAAAATACATACAAATGTCTTATTTTAGAGAACCACTTAATGGAATGAAATAAAACATGGCATAAATGTTCCTTATGAGGTGCTGACCAAGTGTTGTAACTTTGTAGGCAATCAATCATCCAAGATGGCCGCCAGCGGGGACTTAGTTTAACATAGGACCCTATGGGAAATACATACAAATGTTTTCTTTAAGAGAACCACTGAATGGAATAAAACCAAACATGGCATGAATGTTCCTAATGAGGTGGTGACTAAGTGTTATTACATTGTAGCCAAACAATCATCCAAGATTGCTGCCAGCGGGGAACTTAGTTTAACAAAGGACCCTATGTGAAATACATACAAAAGTCTTCTTTTGAAAAACCACTGAATGGAATGAAACCAAACATGGCATGAATGTTCCTTATGAGGTGCTGACCAAGTGTTGTTACTTTGTAGCTGATTTGTCATCCAAGATGGCTGCCAGCAGGGGGGTAAGTTTAACATAGGACCCTATGGGAAATACATACAAATGTTTTCTTCTAGAGAACCACTGAATAGAATGAAACCAAACATTGCATGAATGTTCCTAATGAGGTGCTTACCAAGTGTTGTTACTTTGTAGCCGAACCATCATCCAAGATGGCCGCCAGCAGGAGACTTAGTTTAACATAAGACCCTATGGGAAATAAATACAAATGCTTCTTCTAGAGGAGCACAGAATGGAATGAAACCAAACATGGCATAAATGTTCCTTATGAGGTGCTGATGAAGTGTTGCTACTTTGTTGCCAATTTACTGTTCAAAATGGTCACCAGGAGGACCATAGTTTAGCATAGAACACTATGGGGAAATATGTAACCAATGTCTTCTTCTAAAGAACCTTTGAATAGATTGAAACCAAACATGGTATTAATGTTCCTTATGAGGTGCTTACCCGGTACTTACCAAGTTTTGTAACTTTGTAACTGATTTGTCATCCAAGATGGCCACCAACGGGGGACCTAGTTATAGGAATTACATAAAAATGTTTTCTTATATGAACCACTGAATGGAATGAAATCAAATATGGCATGGATGTTCCTTATGAGGTGCGAACCAATTAGTGGTGTTACTTTGTTGACGATTTGTTATCGTAGAAGGCCGCCAGAAGGGGCCTTAGTGTATCATAGGAACCTATTGGAAATACAAACAATTATTAAAGTGTCTTCTAAAGAAAAACTCAATGGATCCAAAGCCAAGGCTTTCTGTAGAAGGCCGTTATTTGACCTTTGGGTAAAAATGTTAATAAGGTCAAGATCTATCTGCCCTTCAATTTTCAGACTAATCAGACAACCCGTTGTTGGGTTGCTGAATTGGTAATTTTATGGAGTGTTTTGCAGTTTTTGGTTATTATCTTGAATATAATAATAGATAGAGGGAAATTGTTAAGGTTTATGTACCCTTATTTTCGCCTGTGTATTCATAAATTTTTAAAGTGCGATAATATAAAAATAGACCAAAATAAATTTTGAAAATCTTTTACAGAAATCTTCTGTTAATCTTTGTAACTTGGCCAAATAGAATTAAACTTAGCCACTTAGCTTTCAGCACACTTATATTGGGTGAATTGCCCCAAAACCCCTGCCCAAATTTTTATTGAAGGGTGTTCCCAAAAAAGATTTAAAGATTTCCATCATAATACAGGCCCTGGGTGGAACAAATTTTACAATTATTTCTCATTTTAAGGAAATTACCTTAATACATGTATCTTTATAGATTGAGATATACTGTAAACTGAAAAAAATATCAAGAAAAGAAGATCTACACATATTAAGTCAACATGAGCAAAATTGTCAATTGACATCTTGATGGAGTTATTGTCCTTATAAAGTCATTTTCTACAATTTCAATGAATTTATTGGTAAACTTTACAAAAGTCTTCTGCTTTTGATTAAATTACGGGACCAATATTAAACCAAATTTGGCCTCAATCATTGTTAGGGTATCTGTTATGATTTCAATCTATTTTTACATGATTTCCAAAATCAAAGTAGAATCAGTAAAAAGCCAGTCAGTTCTACAACTGTGTGAACATTTTTTAATATTATAAATATAAAACCCATGGGTTGACATGGAATATGAAATATGATCCCATTGACTTCTCTAGTCTAGCAGATGATTTGTGTAGAGGAAATGTCATGCTCCCTGTACGTTAAAGAAACCTCGCAAGAACTTCTTAAGGAATGTGTAGTTAGCCTTATTTCAAAAAGTACAAAATCTAAGCCACTTCAGTCGGATTCTAAATGTCAAACTTTTAACGGTCGTCCTAAAGTGTAAAACCAACTTCCTATATATGTCTGAAATATTCTCATTGGACGTTAAGCAAACAACAATCAATCGATATTTTATAGGTTGCAAATATCAATATATCATGATATATTTGGAAAATAATTTCTAATTTAGTGTCATCATATTTTGGATTTGGACTACTTGATATTGGCACGCTAGTCGAAAGGAGTAAAACCTGGATTAACGTCCCACAAAGACAAACTTGTAGAACAACAAAAACTTTTGACAGTCCGTAAGTTATTATTCAAATGTTTATTAGTAAATCAAACTTTATAGATATTAGTTCTAAGCTTGGATAATATGCCAATGTCTCAAATGAAGTAAATCTTTTCAGAAGAAATATTCTATCTTGTTATGTTGTTGATATAGTTTTTTTTTTCCTGTATAACATACCTGAGTATGATATAATAAATTTTCAATTGGTAAATGTAAAATAATAATATATACAATCAAAAGACTTCTCCATGTTTCCATTGGATGAATAAAGGCAAATTAACATATTGAAAAAAAAAACATGTGCTTGATTGTTTACTAAGTCTGGATAAAAGTATATTGTCACATTTATCTAAAAGTTTGTATGTCACCATAATTTAATACTTCATTTTAGTAGCACACTGCATTCGTTTGACTTCAAAATTTATTGTATTCTTATTGATAATGAATGTTTCTCTTTAAATTTTTACTTAGTTTTTAGAGAATAAAGAATCTGTCTGATAATTGTTTTAGGTCGTCTGTTTGTTCTTTTTATCTTTAAATAAAAGGAGGTGGTATGAGTGCCAATGAGACAACTTTCAATCCAAGTCACAATGTATAAAAAGTTTACAATTAAAGGTCAAAGTAAGCAATGTTTAACTTGATGAATATATTTCAAAATATATTAAAATGTGTGTTGTCCTATACTGCAAATACATGAATTGATAATAAAATAATACATGACAAAATATGTAAACTAAGTTTATTTTTTTAGACTAAGTCGTGACTCCAATTACTTTGTAATTGAAATCACTGGATGCTCTGCTACTTATATAGAACATGTTGAAATATCATTAAAAGTAAACCACCAACATGCAGGACAGATAAAATGGGTTCTCGAATCTCCGTATGGCACAAAATCTACAATTCTGCCTGGCAGAGGTCTCGATCCTACTTCATACATGGACATAACTGTCTTAACTGTTCAAATGTGGGGAGAAAATCCTAATGGATACTGGAAAATTGAACCAACAGCTGTGTTTGGTAAAACTCTTGGTGGGTTTATTTCTATTTTCAAAAGCGGAAATGTCAATGTATGTGACAATGTTTTCAATTCAATACCTTTATCTTTAACTAAGGAAATTATAAACGACAACGTTGATACTTTATTTAATTTTGGACTTTACATCTGATACATGTTTCACAAACTTTTATCCCCTCCCTTATCCTGTTTTAAGTAATAATGATATTTGTATTACCAAATGTTGTACCGTCATTTAACAAATATGAAAAGAGAAAGAATTTTTCAAGTCTCAATAAAGTTTCAAAACACAAATTTCATAAATCTCAAATATTAGAGTGCAATAAAATACAATAAAACGGTTTACAACATATGAGCGACAATTTCCGTGTTTATCTTTGTTTCAAACCTAGACGAAAGACTATAACATATATCTATCGTTCAAACATATCACCAAGTGGCAAGTTTATATATTTTTCACAAAATTGTGAAGTAACATTCTACAAAAAAATTAAAAGTATATAGCCATTAATATCATTACTTTTAAAATCAATGTCTCGTTAGAACATTAAACGAAAATAATTTGCAAAAGCTTAACTGTCACTGCAAATTCAATGCAGTCAATAGCACCGATATTGGTCAGACGTCTAACATTTCACCATTGGTAAAAATGGATGTAATCAACACATTACAATGAGATGTTCATTATTAATGGTCGTGGATTACATTACATCGGTTATATAATCAATCTTATATAACAAACACATACAAAATATATAACTTATTATATAAATACTGTGCAATCTTTAATGTAGTTAAACCTTTACAAAAGTAGTATAGGAGTCTTCCGCCATTACTGGATCGTGAAAGCAAAAAAACTATCGGTCTTTATTTTTAAATTAAATAGGAGTAAAAGCAGAAAACTATCAATCTCTATTTAAATGAAATAACCGAATTTAGAAGAGGAATGCATATGTAAGAATTTACATTTTAAATTGAAAAAATAATTAAAAAAGAAGATATAATTCATCTTAATGTGAAAGAGGGACGAAAGATACCAGAGGGACAGTCAAACTCACAGATCGAAAACAAACTGACAACGTCATGGCCAAAAAAAAAAAAACAAATAGACAAATAATAGTACAGATGACACAACATAGAAAACTAAAGACTAAGCAACACGAACCCCAACAAAATCTGGGGGTGATAGATTTCTTTCATGTAAAACAATAGAAATACCAAATGAGTCGATTTTCAATAAACTATGTTGTTTGGAAACAAGCTCGGTGATCTTTATCTTTTATCATATTTTTTTTTCAAATAACACGATATAAACTATGATTTATCAAAGTACGACACTTTTTAATAGCATTGTTTTACCCCAAAAATACCTTAAGAATCCAAAATCAATATTATGGAAAGCAAAAGATTAACGTGATTCCAATTAAAACAATAATATCTTTTAAACGGTAAGATTTGTAATTTTCTGTTTCTCTGTGTGTGTAGCCAATGATTTCTATTTTTTTTATTGTATTTGAATTTAAAAACAATCTTTTCATTTTTAGATAACGGCAATGTAGAATCTGTAAGCCTATCGATTCATGGATATGCGTGTTTAGGTCAGCACTGTCTACCACCTGCTGAACAAGGTAAAAAAATCTTTCTTTAATGAGTTTAATAAAGGATCTTTATATTTCCGTACAAAAAAAAAGAGCCACAATACTAACCCGTAAAAATTGCAAACATACAACGATATACTAAAAAACTAATTCACAATTTTCCAAGAATTAGCAAATGAAAACTTTCAAACTAATTTATAATGCTAGGAGAAAACATTTAACCAATAGGGAACAAAATCTCCAGCCTTTTTGACGAGGCTCACAGCTAGCCAAATACATTATTCGAAAAGCCATACATTTATTCATGCGCATACTTAAATGCTATAGGATACTGTATGGCCTTAGTAGGAAGCGCTTACCTTGGTGACGCACCCGGTCTCGTTTCTTTTTACTTCATACGATTCCCTCAGTTTTTGTGGTTTACCCTGATTCGTAACTTATGATTTATCAGCTTTGAACCTGATTTTTATCATTTTAAGGAATGTATGAGATACGAAAATTCATAAACTTCTGTTGTCTCTAATTTATGTTTTAAGTAGCAAACGAAAAACGAGTAAGGCAGACAGTAACCATCGGCAACCACTGGATAACTAGTTCCGGACTCGGGAATGGCATATTAAGTAAAATCAAAACCATTAAGATCGACCTGTAAAAATATACTTAGTTAATAGATGTTGTTTAGACATTAAGACAATTTTGAATATTCTGTGTTGCACAAATATTATTTTCAGTGTTATCATCACTTATCTGACCACTCAGAAAAAAATCAAGAACCTATATTTAGAATTTGCGATTGCATGTATGTCATTATATGAAGGGCGTCTTTGGCTCACATATAATTCGTCTTAAAAATGATTATGGTGTAATATGTATGATAACAGAAAACTAATTTATTATTTATTCCAAAGCTAAATCCATATAGAAAGATCCGATTCAAATTATGAATAAGATACAATCTTATTATCATGGATCCCACCAGGACTCTCTCCCATTCTTTTGTTTCACAAAATGATGAAATAATATCATATGGTACAGATATAATTAAGTGTGCACGACACATAACAATCTTCTTCAGGTTCGATCGAGAGCAAAGGTTTGGAAAGTCAAGTAGTTATTTAAAATACAAATTTGAAATTAAATTCAAACTGGACTGAAGAGTCAACCTTAACCATGTCAGTTTTGTTATATCATTAGTCTTAACATAGACAAAAGGGTGAAAAAATTGGATTATCGTTTGTTGTCACCATTTTCTATAATGGTATTACGAGTGTTATAGTTATATTTTTAAAGGCGTAGGAGGTTGGAGCGGATGGCTTCCATGGTCACAATGTACAGGTGTATGTGGACAAGGAACTAAAAGTCGAATTAGACTGTGTAACGACCACAGTAATTCAAGATATTGTCCAGGAGACAGGTCGGAGAAAGTATCATGTCGTCTTCCTCAGTGTCAGTTTGAAATACAATCAGGTAGGACAGACAAGCTAGTTAATAAATGCATGTAAATAAAGGTAACGTTTATAACAGAGTATATGAAGACTAGTGCTTTAAACTTTATAGGCAAATGATATCAATTGAAATTCGTGTTGTTTTGCACTTGACGTTTTTTTCTTTTTTTGTATTAGTAATGCACATTCTGCCTTTCTGTCATAGATTATAACTTAAAAAAGAAAAAGAAAGCAAACACTATGCTATAAAAACCTTTTAAATTTGCATCTCAAATACATTTCTAGCAAAAATTCTTATCAAATCGTATATAGGTGTCACATAATTAAATATTCATTTCTTCCTTCCCATTTTATATAAAAGATCAAGAGAGTTATTTTTGTTGACACGCATATTTTAGATAGCGTTTTTTACATATTCTAATAATTATGATCCATTTCACATAATTTATTGAAAATTTTTCATTCATGAAATGTTTTGATTCTGAATTATATCAAGGATGGCATCTTTAATCCTGCAAACTAATTCTATTTTTCTTTATTTAAAAAAAAGAAGATCATATGTTTTTGTTGACTTCTATTCATTATCAGATTAAATTGGGGAAAATCATTCAACCTGGAAAAACAGCTAGTGTATAATAGTATCTATCATATCCTCATGCAGGAGAAAATTATAGTGGCTGTCCATCGCCATCATGGTTAACATCAAAATGTGTTGAACAGTGTTCGAGAGACAATGATTGTAGTGGAGATGCGAAATGTTGTTATAACGGATGTGGTCATTCATGCGAAATATCTAGAACATGTAAGTACCAGAAACATTGTTCAAAAATTTAACATAAAAGACATCACGGGTGCCACATGTGGAACAGGATATTCTCACCCTTCCAGAGCAACTCAGATCACCAAAAGTTTGTTTTTTTTGTATTGTTTTTTTTTTGGGGGGGGGGGGGGGGTCGTGTTGCTCAGTCTTTAGTTGTCTATGTTGTGTTTAATGTACAGTTGTTGATCTGTTTGTCTTTTTTTTTGCCATAGTGTTGTCAGTTTGTTTTCGACTTATGAGTTTGAATGTCCCTTTGGTATCTTTCGCCTCTCTTTTATGTCAGTTGCTTTAGGGGATGCAACCGTAGTTAAAGCACAACTAGAATACTAGCAACTGAAAATAAACCAACGTATAAAACGTTTCGGATCATAAAAACATAAGAGCATAAGTCTTGAAAGGTCAGCTTTGCTTGATAGAGTAGCAACTTTTTTTGGCACACGTCCATAAGTTAATGCATGAGATTCTTACTGTATTTCCGTGATAATCTCTGTATAGAAACTTTGATAAACAACTTACATTTATATTTTTAAATCTCGAATACATTTTTCACAGGGTATAGAACACCAGTCAATGTCCCGTTATCAGTGACAGGTTAGTAATTTGTAAAAATTGATAGAAAAGCTGTTTATGTGCAATTAACAAGAAGTAAAATAACAAAAAATACCGAACTCCAATGAAAACTCAAAACAGAAAGTCCCTTATCAGCTAGCTACACCTCTCACTTGTAAGACAGTCGCATGGAATTCCATTATATTGACAACAATGTGGGAGCAAGACAAAAGTATATTTTGTCGGAATTCATTTATACATTAAAACTTTCACTATATATCCGATATGTCTTTGTGAGTTTTAGTATCAATTAAAAGCGAGCTAATTAGTGTTCTTCATAGATAGTATACTGTATGATTGAAACACAATCAACGATGCACAATTATTTTGATTTCAGTTTATGTACTATAAATAATATATACGTATTGTGGTGCCTACCATATACGATTCACCATACGGAATAAGTTCATTCATGTTGCTGAATGTATTAATACCGTTTTGGTCTCATTACATACGTTCGATCCAAGGATACATCGTTTGTTCTATCTATTTTGTATCCACACAGGCAATAAACCTGGTCAATGTCCATTGCATTTAACAAGAAGATGTGTTGAACAGTGCTCAAACGACAATGATTGTCTCGGACAAAGAAAATGCTGTTACAACGGGTGTGGTCATACATGTGAGGCACATAATACTTGTAAGTAATCCATAAATCCTTTGATAATAGATGTTTCATTTTGTTGTAATATCTCTCATTCATAAATAATAAAGATTATTTGTTCACACGGAATTCTTAAAGAAATGATAATATAAAGATTAAATATCAGGCTTTTAGAGCATAGTTTTTCTATAAAAATTAACATATTTTTTTTAATTTCTGAATAGCATAGGTTCAGTAAAAGTGACCAAATTTATCAAAACAATTTTGCACAACGGTTTCCACTTATGAAAATGTTTCACAGAATTTGTACTGACAACGAGCAAATTAACGAGACAAAATCGTTGAGCATGATCTACGAACCCTTCTAGAGCATCTGGATTCGTGTTGCTCAGTCTCAAGTTTTCTATGTAGTGGGTTTTTTGGAGAGACTTTTTTTGTCTTTTTATCGTCCTTGAATTTTTCAATAGAATTATATGATTCTCTTTACCAAATGAGTTTTAAATCTGTATTATTTTTTTAAAATAAAATTTTCAATGGAGATATTTAGCGGTTGGTTAATGAATTGTGTATTCAATATGTTGTTCTTTATGACAAAAACATGTATGTCAAGTTCGATATAAACAATTTTCACTGCATCCGTCATGGTCCTTGATTGAACGAAATGTTACATTTTTGGACGTTTTCGTACGATAACTTGAAAACTGTTAAACTAATTCTTTTTTTTCAAATTTTGATACGATTGTTTCTTATACAAAAAATGCACGTGAACTTTTTGTTGACAATTTCGGCTAATACTGTTTAGCAGGTCTGGTCCTTTATTAATTAACGAGTGACACTAATAATTGTGATTAAAACACGCGTTTGCTGTCCTTTTGGCACTTTTTTTGTTAAATTTTACCTTAACATCCTTGATTTGCATTTGACTCTTATCTAAACTAAGGTGACAAATCTGAACTGTAGTCTCACATATCAGTCAAGCATGAAATGTCCTTGATCAAATATGTCTCTAAACTATCTCCAAGAATAATTTGAACTTAGCCATCTCAATTCAGTTACAACATAGCATTTTCAGGCTACTTAAGGATTGTAAAGATAATCCAAATAACACTCTATGCATTTTGTGCTTTCGAAGCTCTTGTCTCATTAACTTTTATTAGAAACACTGTTGAAAGAAAGGGAATTATGAAAATCAATCAATAAATATTAGTCTTAAAACATGTTTCATGTAATTTGGGCGGTCAAAACCTTATCAATCGTCATTTCTGTATCATAGAATCCAACGAGTATCAAAATCAATGTTTTAATAAGAAATCGATCACGTGATCGTGGTAACGTCATTGGTTCCTATCCTAGAAAATGTCTCAAACTGGACGATGTCGATACTTTTTCTGCTCAATTGCACGATGGACGATGTTTACAGCAGTTTTCTTGATCACTGATCAACTTAAGACATTTAACCTCATCAATTTGAGTCATTGAGTGTGGAAATTAAACAAGAAAAATTCATTATTTACTCATCCGAACAGTCCAACATCGACGAAGTTTCAGCCAATATCGATCGGCTTGTAACCACACAGATGTGTTTTTTCGATAAAAAAAAATTTATATAGCGCTTTCTGCGGGTTTTTTTTTTAAATAAAACTACCAAAAGAAAATATAAATTTAGAATTATCAATAATCAAATAATCCACAGAAAATATGTTTTTTTCTGCTATAGTGGCGTTTTAGATGTGCACCAGAAGCAAAAAGAAACGAGAGTAAAACTCAATAAAGAGTTCGCTAAGGATACGTTTTATAATTTACTTAGTTTCTTTTTGTTACGGAGGTCCTTTTCATAGGTATGAATTATCAGAATGTATGCCTCATTATATACTTTTTCGGTTGGAAATCATACAGCACACTGTGACATATCAGAGTTTTGTATTTTTGCATTTGGAATATTTTGACCCTTAAAATATGTATACTAGTTCAGCGAAAAGGGACGTCGCACTAAACTCCGAATATATAAATGAACCAAAATTTAAAAAAAAACTTACAAGACTAACAAAGGCCAAAGGTTCCTGACTTGGGACTGGCGTAAAAATGTCGCGAGGTTAAACATGTTTTGTGAGATCTCAACCCTCCCCCTATACTACATATATCTAAAGTATAATATTATAGCCTATACTACATATATCTAAAGTATAATATTATAGCCTATACTACATATATCTAAAGGATAATATTTTCACCCCTCACCAACTTCCAACCCCCAAATAATTTTTGCAATTAAGTTGTTTATTGCTACAAGCAAAAATGCTTCATTCCAGGAAAATAGATAAAAAATAATGATTCTCTTTTTGATGTATGCCAAAACATTTCTCTATATATACATCATACTATGTTTTATTGAGCCCAATCGGGGATGAGCATGAAAATTAGACATGTAGCATAAACATCATAGAAAAAAACATGAATAAAATTTATCACACAATTTGCTTGACTCTAAAGCACTTTACTTTCAAGCTGAAGGATAATAAAAAAACTGACAAGCACTTCAAATGTAGTATTATATTACTGAAGATGAATACTGAAGATGAGCATCGAACTATAAAACATAACTATAAGTAATTCTACAGTATTTCAGATAATTTATTTTCAATAGATTTTTGTAGTAAATTGAAATTGGGTTATGATGAAAATATAGTTTGCACTTTCGGGTGTCGTGTTTTGTATATTATGTATATCTATTATTCATTCACGCTGTGACTTTCGTTCATAGGTTATAATTCAAACAACGTTGTAAGCAATCCCCTTCATTATAAAACTACTATAAAACTTTCATCTTAAATACACTTCTAGCAAAACATGACATTCTTAGCATTTATCATGTCATTGAATATTCATTTCTCCCCACACATTATACATAAAACATCCAGAGATGCGTTTTGATTGCCACGAAATTTTCAGATGCTGGTTCATAAAGAGCACTCGGTCCCCTTCTCATTTTCAATAATCATGATGATGTTTTTATTTTTGAATCACACCAACGAGCATCTTTAATCCTATAGATAATGTATTTTTTCTTTACATAAACGAAAATGCATATCGTTTTTGTTGGCTCATATATCTTTACAGCTTACATTTGGAGCAAATTATTTAACCTAGAATAAAACAGTAATACTACTTGTATATAATAGCATCTATCATATCGTTATGCAGGGATCAGTTCTATTGGATGTCCTTTGCCATCATTGTTAAGAACAAGATGTGTTGAACAGTGTTCGAGTAACAGTGAATGTTTTGGACATGCGGAATGTTGTTATAACGGGTGTGGTCATACATGTGAGATACCTAGATTATGTAAGTATCAGAAATATAAATTGCACACGTTAAGACAGAAGTCCGATTAAGGTCAGTTTCTTTGAAGGAGTTGCAACCGTAGTTTAATCACAACTATGTACATTATATAAGTAACTGGACATTAACCAACGAAATGTATCATATATTTATAATGCAAATAAACTTTGGAATTCAAAAGTATAAAACATTTCAGAGCCTAAGTCTTGAAATGTCGCCTTTGCCTGAAAGCATAGAAACCTTGGTTGAGGCACAATTCCATAAGTTAATTCATGACATTCGTATCGCCTATTTTCAGATTATAAATAATGTTATTTAATGTATATAAACTCATCAGTGACGCTCGAATGAGAAAATTCAAAACAAAGTACGAAGTTCAAGAGAATTGAAGAACCGAAATTTTAAAAAGGTTTTTTCGCATACAGCTAACGTAACTTTAATAATTAGTTTAGTTATATTATAAGATTGTTACTCAATTTTTAAAAGATTAACATTGCCTATTGTGGCTGCTGTGGTTAGACTATTTTGGTGTTTGAGCTGCTAAAGGTTTTGAATCATTTGCACTCAAACTATTTTTGGAGAGAACATAATGGCGATTATCTGTGACGCTCGAATCGAAAAAGTTAAAAAGGCTTAATATAGTACGAAGTTGAAGAGCATTGAGGACCAAAATTTCAAAGGTTTTGTCATATATAGCTACGGTAAGCTATTCCTGGGTTGGAAAATCTGAAGTACTTTGAAAAATTCAAAAATTTATAATTTCATATTAGGTGAGAGCGAAGCTCGAACCCGATATGGAATTTACTGACCCGTATATATCGTATTATGACACAAGCACACTGTGTAACGAATTAATTGTACCAACTATCTCAACATGTGGAATTTAGACTAGTAGCCTATTAAAGTGACCGAGGCTAAAATATCAAGAACCTACTTTCATTGGTCTACACAAAAACAACTACGATCAATAACAATTTGTTTTCTACATTTATTTTCAATCGTTCATCTTAAGCTGCTGTCTAGGCGAAACGTTTCATATTTTTCTTCAACGTCATGTTGTTTTTTAAAGGGACGTAAGGCTGCTTCTAACCTTGTATAAAATAAAACACGCCTTCTAACCCAATATGAAATATACAGGGTCTCCACGTGTTTGCTTTTAACCAATGATATTCCTAGAAATGTGTTGGAGGTAAAATGATAATCAATAATACATTTAGACATAATTGAATTGAGAAAATAAAACAACAAGCAATTTAAATGTAGCATGGGTTGCTATAGATTGACAATGAACTATAAAACATAACCAAAAGTTTGTTTTGTATTGTATTTATTTTACAGTATCTAGAGAGTTAGTTTATTTTTTATACATTTTTGTAGATCCTATTACACCAACAACCACAGCCTCGACAGAGCTAGGTATGCGTTTTATAAATGTTTTATCATAGTATTTAAAGCTATGTTCTAAATATGTATTCCGTTACTTATTTATTGATTTTTTTTAATTCTTATTTCTCTTGAAATAACAACATCAACAACAATACTTTATTTTAAGAGGTGACACAGTTAGCTATATAACTTATCTTCCCTGAGGCCCTCATCATAGAAAAAGCATAAACAAAAATGCAAACATATACATGGCATTAATTAGTATAAAAGTCAAGTATGATGATAATGTTCAATACAACTTGATAAATGTTAGGAAAATATAAACATGATGACATAAACAATATTCAATATTTTTTTCAACTGGTTGATTTCAATAAATGATCTGTTGTTTTGTATTTGAAAGAATTAACAATTGTAATATTTCTTAACGATATTGGCAAATTATTCCAAAAAAAAAATGGTCCAGAATACATAAAAGATTTCTTGAACAATTCTATTTTTGGTTTAGGGAGTATGATGTTTCCTTGAATAGCATTTTTCATAAGGGGTATCGATTTCTGTCTGAAACATAATGAAACTTGCTAGTAAGATATAATGGGGCATCACAAACTTGTGATATTTTATTCTCTGTTCAACTGTTATCCAGTTTAAGTGTTAATACAAAATTTTCCTCACATTGTTTCCTTTTTTTTTCTATTTCGGAAGGTAAACTCAATAGTTTTGTGATATTTCAACATAGTTAATTACTATAAAGTAAAATAACAAAAATACCGAACTCCAAAGAAAATTCAAAACGGAAAGTCCCTAATCAAATGGCAAAATCAAAAGCTCAAACACATTAAACGAATGGATAATAACTGTCATATTCCTGACTTGGTACAGGCATTTTCTTATGTAGAAAATGGTGGATTAAACCTGGTTTCATAGCTAGCTAAACCTCTCACTTGTTTGACAGTCGCATACAATTCCATTATATTGACAACGATGTGTGAACAAAACAAACAGACATAATAGGTAAAAATGTCAAAAATAGGGGTACAGCAGTCAACATTGTGTTATAATCTTAATCACTATAAAAACAAACAAATATGTCAACAAAGTAAAACAAAAAGGCATATAGACAAAGCACATTAGTAAAAACAAAAGACAAGAATACAAAACTTTACCATAGCACAATAACACAATGACGGGATGTATAAGTACCGAGCCACGTCAATGGATATTACCAAAAACAGACTAAACAGTAAAAGTAATAATTTACAAAGACAAATAAAAGAATACTATAACACGAATGAGAGTGAATTCATGTGTTTCGGCAATTGTCTTACGTACTGTTACAATATAGAAATATTCATTCCAAATTGAAATAATATTCAATTATTATGAATTGCTGACTTATTTGAACAGTTTGAAATAAGTTTAAACGGTATCCATAGAAATTCCTAATAATATTCTTTATTCTTACCACAATTTTTTTCTGATAATTTGTTAATTTATTTACGGACAATTTTAGAAATGCACGTTAGAAATCATGTCAGAGACAAAGTAATGACTCAATCAATTGAAAAAAATAAAACGACAATCAATTCAGATGTTTTATTATCTTGCTCTAGGTAAATATTGAACTATAACTACTGTAAACCATTTAACTTTTCAGTGCGAATCATTTTTCGCGAGTATAGAAATAACGTGAAAGTAAATTGTCCCGAATAAGTAAAACACGGATTTTCTGTATATAAATACATTAAGAAAATAAGAAAGTTATAAAAAAATAAATGGTTGCGAAGTCAGCTAGAACAGACTTAGTGCGAAACAAAGTATCCGCGAAAATAAGTTACAGTATAGCTTATCAGTATTTAATTCTTAAGTATTTCAGATAGATAATTTATTTTCGGTACAATTTTGTAGATCACCCAACACCGACAACAACAGCTTGGACAGAGCCAGGTATACATTTTATTTATGTTTGCCGTATTATTAAAAATTACGTTCTAAATATGTATTCAGTCCAGTGGTGTAATTTGTATTTAAAAATGATGAAATTCTACATTACAGGAAGTGCAAGTAAAATTTACGGATTTTGTATTACTGAACAGAATCTTGTCTTCTTATTAAAATTAATTCTTATTTCTTTTTCATACAAAATCCGTCTCACATTGTTCCCTTCATTTATATTTCTTAATGTGAAATCAGTAACATAGTTGTGATATTTATACATATTTCAAATTAAGGATTTGGATATAAAGTAAACTAATAAAGTATGTTTTCTACAATTGTATTACGTATTTTTCAATATAGAAATAGTCCTTATAAAGTGAAATAAATCAAGAGTCGTTATAAATTGCTGACTTCTTTAAAAAAGTCTGAACTATGTTTAAAGAATAATCGTAGAAATTCTAATTCGTGTTTATTATTCTTGCCACAATGTTTCCTTTGCCAAAATGTAATAATTTCTAATCTTTGACCTTATGACGCTAAGATAAATTTGAAACGACGAGACAATATGACCCGCTCCTAAGTATAAAAAGTATAACATGCTTATTATCTAAGTTACCCTTCTAAACTTCTATGAAGACTCTTAATTTTGTAAATAATATATCGATGTCAAAGGATTATAAATGCATGGAAAATCGTAAGGCTTTAATGATTATTTATTCAAATGTGCTGTACTTTCCTTTCTGTATTTATGACATTAATTTTGCCATTTGATTAGGGACTTTCCTTTTTTAATTTTCCTCGGAATCAGTATTTTTGTGATTTTACTTTTTATTTATGAGTATTGATGTGTGCAACTACTTTAATATACCCTTGAAGAGATTCGATTACATGTTCCGGGTGTAGGAATAAGATGAGCATATATAATATAAGTTGTAGATTTAACATTGTTAAGTATGTTTACCTAAAATCATATGGTGATCTTAATTTGAAGAAACACACATAAAACCGTCCATCTCAACATAAACAAAACTTCTTATAGCCTTATAATGAGTTAATCAAGTTTCGGTTGAAATATCAAATAACAGAACATTATCCTTTTAAAATGGTAGGTATATTGTCCGGTTGTGACTGTGTTTTTTCGATCCAGTTTTTTCGAGTATAGACCCGGTTTTTACGAGTGAAACTATATACTATCAAATCGATTTACTCTTATTTTGCAAGTATATCAGTCTTATGCAATATTGTTCAACTTATTTTTAATGAGGTTCTTCAGGTTATGACGGAAACTGCGCATACTTGTCTTCTTTTGCATTTAAAATCAAGCTTTTTACATCCACCGGACTTTTTTTAACTACTAAAGTCATATTGTTATTTCAAAGCTGCCCCGGTTTTTCTGATGTAAAACTTGAAACAATCCATGTCAAAATATGTGCTAAGTTTTATGATAAATGAGTCATTAATGAAATTAACCAAAACTGTTTAATAAACTCATCATGGAGACCAGGATTAACATTGTCTACGCTAGGCGCGGGTTTCGTCTACAAAATACTCATCAGTGACGCTCGAATAAAAAGAATGTTAAAAAGGCCAAATAAAGTACGAAGTTAAAGAGCATTGAAGACCTAAAGTTTTGAAATGTTTTGCCAAATATAGCTAAGGTAGTCCATTCTAATTTTCTATTTAAGTTCACATTTACCTGAGGTTCTTGAAACCTACTAGAAATGCTTGCTATAAGTCATGTCAGAGATAAGGTACTGACTACTTTGCTTATCTTTGGTATTCCAACTATCAATAATACAGTCTCAGACTTTTGAAATAATAAAACGTCAAGCAATTCAACTGCAGTGCTATCTTGCTGAAGATAAACATTCAACTATAAAACATAATTATAAGTTTACAATTATCTTATTCTACAGTGTTTCAGATAGTAATTTTTTTTTTCTGTACATTTTTGTAGATCGTGCAACACCAACACTAACAGCTTGGACAGAGCAAGGTATACATTTTATAAATGTGTTGTCGTATGGTTGACAGTTCTAAATATATATTCAGTCCAGCGATGCATTTATATGTAGTAAAAAAAGATTTGAAAATGATGAAGTTCAAAGTCTATTTAGCCTAAAGGTGTTGCAACATTTGCTTCTAGTCATGTGTTAATTTTCCGACTGAATATTTAAGAAATGCATATTATAATCAGTGGCAAAGTACTGACTACTCGGCTGATGTGCAGTATTCTTATAATCAATAATACATTTTGATAATTGAGAATATCACACGAAAACTAATTCAACTGTAGCATTATGATCTATTATCTTGCTTATAAGAAACATTGAACTATAAAATATAATTATGTTATTCTACAGTATTTCAAATAGTTAATTTAATGATACATTTTCTCAGACAATAGTCTATTTGCCAATTCCTCATTCTTTTGTCACACAATTTTAACACAAGTTGTTTCCCTTTGCAGTTGCAGTCTTGTTTTTTATCGGTCAGATTGTGATCATGCAAAGCATGATAAGACGAAAATGATACATAGACGTTTTTACCAATATAAATTAAAAAAATAACTATTGAAATCAAAAGTGTTTAGCTGTACAACAGATTAAATATAATTAAAAGATTTGAAATACATAAAGATTATAAGTTTACAATTATCTAATTCTACAGTGTTTCAGATAGTAATTTTTTTTCTATACATTTTTGTAGATCGTGCAACACCGACACAACCAGATTGGACAGAGCAAGGTATACATTTTATAGATGTCGTATGGTTGAAAGTTACGTTCTTAATATGTATTCAGTCCAGCGATGCATTTATATGTAGTCAAATTTTTATTTGAAAATGATGAAATTCAAAGCATTTCTAACCTAAAGCTGTTGAAACTTTTAATTCGAATCATGTGTTAATTCATCGACTGAATATTTCAGAAATGCATATTGTAAGTCATATCACTGACAAAGTACTGACTACTGGGCTGATATATAGTATTCTAATAAATAATACATTTTTCGATAATTGAGACAATTACAGAAAACTAATTCAACTATAGTATTATCTTGCTGATTAGAAACATTGAACTATAAAATATAACTTTGTTATTCTACAGTATTTTAAATAGTTCATTTATCTTTTATACATTTTTAAGATCAAGAAACACCAACACCAACAGCTTCGACAGAGCCAGGTATAAATTTATAAATGTTTTGTCATTTTATTATATTTGTCAAAAGGTGTTGAAGCCTTTGCTTCTAACAATTTATTACTATTCCAACTTGAAATTTAAGAAACACATACTATAAAAGTGCCAAAGTACTGACTATTTAGCTGATGTACAGTATTCTGATAATCAATGAAACATGTTCAGACAATAGTCTATTTGCCAATTCGTCTAGACATTTTTACCAATTTTATATTAAAAAAATAACTATTGGAATCAAAAATGATTAGCTGTTCAACAGATTAAATATAATTAAAAGATTTGAAAAACATAAAGATTTCACACATTAAGCACAGATAAATTTGGTCTTTCTACTGGCTCCTCATTGTCAAAGAACATTTTGTCCTTCCTGAGAGAAACAACTCATCAAATAGATATCTAATTAAAGTTTCAATTATAAAATTGGGAAGTAGACTATTGCAAAAATAAAACGACAACCATTCAACTATAGCATTACCTTGCTGACGATGAAGATTGAACTATGAAACATATAAGTTTTTAAGTATTTAATTCAACAGTGTTTCAGATAGTTAATTTATTTTCTATGCATTTCTGTAGATCATTCAACACTAACAGCTTCGACAGAGCAAGGTATATATCTTATAAATGTTGTGTCGTATTGATGATTGATTTGATTTTGGTTTCTAAATGGCCAGTGGCAAATATTTCAAGCATGTTCAGGACGAATTGTATTGTTGAAATTTAATACGTTCTAAATATGTATTCAGTCCAGGAGTGCATTCATATGTAGTCTGTTTTTTATTTGAAAATGACGAATTTAATGGTGTTGAAATCTGTTTTTTTTTTCTAATAGTTTGTTTACTGAAAATTTAAAAAAATCCACATAAAATAAGTCGTTTCAAAGGCAAAGAACTGAATACTTGGCTGATGTACAGTAATATTATAATCCATTATTCATTTTCAGACGCATGAGAAAATAAAACGACAATTAATTCAACTGTAGTATTATTTTGATGAGAATGAATATAAACTCATCATAGATACAAGGTTTAAAATTGTGTACGCCAGACGCGTGTTTCGTCTTCAAAAGACTCACCAGTGACGCTCGAATAAAAATAAGTAAAATAACAAACAAACAAAGTACGAAGCTGAAGAGCATTGAGAACCCCAAATTTCAAATGGTTTTTCCAAAAAAGGCTAAGGTAATATATTCCTGGGGTAGAAAATCCTTGGTTTTTCGAAAAAATAAAAAGTTTTGTAAACAGTTAATTCATAAATATGATCATATCAATAATACATCCTGTGAACACAGAAGTGCTGACTACTGGACTGGTGATACACTCTGGGAGAAAACCTCTACCTGCAGTGACATCGACCCAGGGGTTGATAATAAATTCATCATATATACCGTCTTCAAAATACTCTAATCCAAAAAGTCAAACAGGCCAAAAATGAACTATAAAACATAACTTAACGGTTATAAGTATTTGATTCTATAGTGTTTCAGGTAGTTGATCTATTTTCTATACGTATTTGTAGATCATGCAACACCAACAACCACAGCTTTGACAGAGCAAGGTATATATTGTATTAATGTGTTGTCGTAATGTTATATTTTTCTAAAGGTGTATATAATTTGTTAATTTATTAACTGACAAATTAAGAAATGCATATTATAAGTCATTTAAGTGACAAGGTCTGGCTACTTGGCTGATGTGTTGTATTTTTTAAAATTAATAATACTTTATCAAACAATTGAGAAAATTAAACGAAAACTAAATCAGTATTTAAGATAGTAAATTTCTTTTCTATACATTTTTGTAGATCGTGCAACACCAACACAACCAGATTGGACAGAGCAAGGTATACATGTTAGAAAAGTGTTCTCGTATGATTGAAAGTTACGTTCTAAATATGTATTCAGTCCAGGAATGTATTTATATGTAGTCAAATTTTTATTTGAAAATGATGAAATTCAAAGTCTTTAACCTAAAGCTGTTGAAACCTTTAATTCGAATCGTGTGTTTATTCATCGACTGAATATTTCTGAAATGCATATTGTAAGTCATATCACTGACAAAGTACTGACTACTGGGCTGATGTGCAGTATTCTAAAAATCAATAATACATTTTTCGATAATTGAGACAATTACAGAAAACTAATTCAACTATAGTATTATCTTGCTGATTAGAAACATTGAACTATAAAATATAACTATGTTATTCTACAGTATTTTTGTAAATTTATTGGGGTGTAAAAGCGTTGACCGAAGTACATTTTGTATGAAGCGCGGAAGCAAAGTGGCAAAGAACTGACTACTTGGCTGATGTGCAGTATTCTAATAATCAGTAATACATATTCAGACAATTGAGAAAATAAAACGACAACTAATTCACCTGGAGTATTATTTTGATGAGGATGAATACAAACTCACCATAGATACCAGGATAAAAATTGTGTACGCCAGACGCGTGTTCTGTCTTCAAAAGACTCACCAGTTACGCTCGAATAAAAAAAGTTAAAAACCAAACAAAGGTCGAAGCTGAAGAGCATTGAGGGTCCAAAATTCCGAATAGTTTTGCCACAAACAGCAAAAGTACTTCTTGGGTAGAAAATCCTAGTATTTCGAACGTTTTGTAAACAGATAATTTATAATTATGATCATATCAATCACACTTTCTGTAAACACAGAAGTGCTGACTACTGGGCTGGTGATACCCTCTGGGAGGAAACCTCCGCCAATAGTGGCATCGACTCAGGGGTTGTAAATGAATTCCTCATAAACATTTTTGCGCCAGACGCGCTTTTCGTCTTCAAAAGAGTTAACCGTGACGCTCGAATATAAAAAAACAGGCCAAACATTGAGTAATAAGACATAATTATACGTTTAAAAGTATACGATTCTACAGTGTTTAGGTAGTTCTTCTATTTTCTATGAATATTTGTAGATCATGTAACACCAAAACCCACAGCTTCGACAGAGCAAGGTATATATTGTAACAATGTTTTGTTGTATTGTTATGTTTGTCTAAAGGTGTTGAAGCCTTTGCTGCATATAATTTGTTAATTTATGTGAACTGACAATTGATGAAATGTATATTATAAGTCATTTAAGTGACAAGATACTGGCTATTTGGCTGATGATCAGTATTCTGATAATCAATAATGCTATTACAGATAATTGAGAGAGAAAACGGCAACTAATTCAACTACAGTATTATCTTGATGAGAATGAACACTATAAAACATAACTACAAGTTTAACAATATTTAATCCTACAGTATTTCCGATTGTTAATCTACTTTCTATACATTTTTGTAGATCATGCAACACCAACAGCCAGAGCTTCGATAGAGCTAGGTATAAATTTTATAGATATGTTGACGTATTGTTTAAAGTGATGTTCTAAAGTAGTAATCAATTTCGTGATGTTTTATATGAAGTCATTTTTTTTTTATTTTGAAATGATTTAGTTTTACATTACAGGAATTGAAAGTAATATTTACAGATTTTGCATTACAGAAAAGTATTAATGAAATTATTTTTCAATTCTTATTTCTCTTGTCATACAAAATCCTTCTCATATCATTCTTTTCATTCCTATTTCTAAAGATGCAATCAGTAGCCTAACTGTTGGTATTTAAAAAAAAAATTAGATTCTGCATTTAGTGTGTGATAGGGGTTTAATGCTAAGTACACAAAATAAATCATTTTATCACAATTGTTTATGTACTGTTAAAACATAGAACTTTTCATTCTAATTTGAAATAAAGCAAAAGTGATTATAAATTGCTAAATTATTTAAACAATTTGAAATATTTTTGATATACTAGTCATGGATTTCGTTAACACAAATTACATAAACCTTTACTTAATTTGTTCCTTTTTTATGTTTTGTATCGTTTTGATGAGGTAAGCCCTTTTAAACTGGCTTTAACAGTTGTTTATGTTGTGTTGTTTCACCACTGTCCCAGGTGTGATGAGGGTTATGGGGCCTACAAAAAATGTTTAATCCCGCCACATTTTTTATTTGTCTGTCCCAAGTTAGGAGCCTATAATTCAGTGGTTGTCGTTTGTTGCTGTTTATCATATTTGTTACACGTATAGTTTTGTTACCATAAACAGACCTTTACTGTTCTCGTTAGAACTATTTTGCATTTGTTATTTCGGAGCCTTTCATAGCTTCCAAGCGGTATGAGTCTTGCTCATTGTTGAAGCCTGTACGATAACCTATATTTCCTTACTTCTTTCTCACTTTGGTGTCTGTTGGACAATATCGCTTTGGCAATCATAACAAATATTCTTATTTTCATATTTAATGGTAAATAAAGGAAACAGTAGTAAACCGCTGTTTAAAACTCATAAATCGATTAAGAGAAAAACAAATCCGGGTTACAAACTAAAACCGATGGAAACACATCAACTATAAGAGGAAAATAACGGAACAACAGAAACACTGAACTTCAACAAAAACAAACGCCAACATACATAGAAACGGACTATTTGATAACAACTGCCATATTCCTTACTTGGTACAGGATATTTTAAGAAAATGGTGGGTTGAACCTGGTTTTATGGCTAGCCAAACCTCCCGCTTATATGACAATGTTAAAAAATATGACAACACTACGTGACAATACAACCGTAGAAATTTTTTATGATATCTTTTTTTCTTATCTTTGCATGGTCGGAAATCTTGCAATTAATTTGCCAAAGTTTGCCCATTTCCAAAATCTTTGACCTAATGAAATCCTAAACCATAAGACAAAATAAAACGCTTCTTAGCACAAAAAGCGTAGTATTGGAAGGCTAATCTTTTAAGTTTCATTTCTGAACTGCTCTGTAGAAGCTTAACAAGTGACGAAAAGTTCGATATCTAAGGATATCTAAGATGAACTGATTACTGGGTATTTTAAAATTCAAATAAAATGTGCTTTCATTTCTTTTTATTTATATATAACATAAACAACTTTGTTTTTGATAATCGATGTCTGTTATACATTAAAATACACTTAAGAGTTTATATCAATAAGTTATGGAGATATACGATTACATGTACCAGTTGTAGGAATAAGTTAAGCGAATATTATATTCAGTTAGAGATTGAATATCATTCGGTGATTTTTACCTAAACACATATGATAATGATTATCTTAATTAAACAATAAAGTCTAGAACGTCCATATCAAGCTACTAGTAAACAACAATGTTCCTAGCGTTCAATTGTGTTATTAAAGTTCCGAATGATATGTAACGAAAAAAAGAACGATTCGCAGAACATTATCCATTTGATGAAAAATAAGTTATTAGTAATTATGGTATTGGAAAATAGTGCATGTTCATTTCTTTTTCAGGTTGTGTAGATCTATGGGAAGATTGCAGCAGTTATTCAGACCGAGATAATTTATGCAATCAACAAAATCTTCGCGATAATTGCCGAAACACATGTGGATTGTGTTTTTCAGTTGAAAATTGAACATGTTGAAATCAATGTAATAAAAAATGTTTAAGTGAATTCTTGATGAATCATTACTGCTTCTATGAACATGGACGTCATTTTTTTAAAGCAAGGGGAAATCTTTTGTTATGTTATATATGTAGTTAATTTACAGACAAAACAAGTCAAGAAAACATCATACACTGGATAATAGCAATGATAGAATTTTAAGAAAATAATAGAAGAAATAATTATTTTAATCGAATCTATATTTTGAGAATGTGAGAAAATTACAACTGGTTCAAAGATAAAATGCCTCTTACCATATGTTAACATTATGTTCGACTTGTCATGAAAACAAAATGCTTACCTAAAGATTACCAAATGTGCATAACTATTGCAGTGATCAATGCACAGTTCATATGTTTATGCAGGCAATGGGCAAAGCTTGTAAAATCAAATCACGCTTTATTTCAGTAAACACTTGATAGACTAACGTTCGACAAACTGGTAGGGACATTCGATTTTCAAAATTTCTCATTTTACATTTTTACATTTCTAACTTCCAACTGGATATTTCTCAGTTCAACTGCCTAAACTATCTAAAAGCGTATAAAATCTGTTGAAGATAGTATGCCTTCTATATGTCGTTTTGGTTGGTTTTTTTGTTGTGTTGAGGGCTTAATTACCTAAACCAGCATATTTTTAGCTCACCTGGCCCATAGGGCCAAGAGAGCTTTTCTCTATCACTTTGCGTCCGTCGTCCGTCGTCGGCTGTTAACTTTTACAAAAATCTTCTCCTCTGAAACTACTTGACACAATCATCATAGGGGTATCAAATTTGAAAAATGTGTCCGATGACCCCGCCTGCCAACCAAGATGACCGACATGGCTAAAAGTAGAACATAGGGGTAAAATGCGAGTTTTGTCTATTATTTTGAAAACCGTTATAAAAAGAGAAAATTTGACCTAAGGTAAATGTTGAGCTCTACCAATTGTCCATATACGTCAAAACTGTCAGACGACTTCTTATAGGACTTATTGCCCTCAAATGACAAATTTTACCATTTTTTTCACTTTTGCCTATTATCTTGAAAACTATAATAGATAGAGTGAAACTTTAAATTGCAAAAATGATCAACAAGACAAGTTCTACTTATAAGTCTGCATAGTCAACATCGCCAATTGACTCCCTTTTAGAATTATTGTCCTTTGATTATGATTTTACTATATTTTGTTTTTGCGTTTTTGCGTTTTTGCCTTTTACCATCTTAAAAATTATAATAGATAGATAGAAACTTAAATATGCAAAAGTGATCAGCAAGACAAGTTCTACAAATAAGTTTCATGGTCGAAATCGTCAGTCGACTCCTTATTAGAGTTATTGCCCTTTGATGATGATTTTTACCAATGTCTTGCGTTTTTGCCTTATATATTAAAATTTATGATAGATAAATAGAAACTTAAATAAGAAAAAAAAAAGATCAGCAAGACAAGATCTACAATTCAGACAATATGGAGGAAATCGTCCGACGACTCCTCATTGGAGTTATTGCCCTTTAGTGACAATTTGTACGATTTTATTTTTTATGCGTTTTGCATTATATGATAAAAATTAAAATAGCTTATCCGTCTTTCCATGCGAGCGTCCGTGTGTGACTCCGTCATTCCGTCCGTTACAAACAACGATGACATCTTGTGAACACAACTCCTCCGAGACATTTTGACAGAACGCTTTCATTCTTTCTAGGGTTGTTTGCCATCATTTCAAGTTGACCATATTGCACCGTCAGTTTGATTCGACCATTTTTAACCAGGGTTTTGTGGACATTGAACATTTTTTGGACTATTGTACAACTCTCATACATGGTTGGATTGTTTGCCGTCATGTGTTACATAAACCCTATTCTACTATCATTTTGATTTGACTATTATTATGGAAGATAAGGTACTATATGTTTTTACTATATACAAAAATTACCCCTGTGAATGCAAATCCTCTGACACTGTATGACACAAAACTCTCAAAACAGTATGCACCACCATGTGTAGACCATATTTTACCGTCATCTGATTTTTCTGATCATTTTGACTTGCGTCATAATTAATCATAATAATTTACTTATTTACATACAGTGTGATCTTCTCGGATGGCTCACATTGCATTCCCCCAGTTAACTATATTTCATGGATAGAATGAGTGCAAGGTGAACATGTCTATCCGACAGGGTTAATCTGACCTCATTTCATGGTTTGGTCAACTTAATTTTTGTGATTAGCATTGTTTCCCAGATATAATAAGTAATAGGTCAACTATATTTGGTGTTTTGAATTATTGCAAGGTCAACATGTTTGTCTGAAAGGGCTCATCTAATTATCTTTGCCTCATTTCATGGTTCTTAATCAACATTACGATTCATGATTAGGTCCCAAAACTCCTAACTACATTGGATGAGTAGAATGATTGTAAGGTGTGCTTTTCCATCTAAAAAAGACCTTTAATAATTCTCATGAAACTTGATAATGATAAAAAAAAATGAAAATGATTATAGGTTGTATAACGAGTGAGAATTAGATTTGTACCGATTACCAGGTTGTCATCATACTGATATTGTAAAAAATCAGCTGCGTGTCACACAGTATGAAGCTTTTTGTTGAGTGAGCGCAGTGAACGAGTTCAAAAAGGCTTCATATTGTGTCGAGCAGCTGATATTTTACAATATAAATATGCAGACAACCAGATATCCGATTTATCGGGTTGTATTTGCGTATTTTCCAAGATAGAAACAAGTGTTTTCTTCGTTTCACCAGCAAACCGGAAGATGACTTGATAAGTTTGGTCAAACTTATCAACGTCGGTCTATTCATTGTAGCGTCGGTGATATGTCCGGGTCAAAGTTATTAAGGCCAGGTCAACGTATTTGGCGTCATAAAGCCGTGATATGCAATTTTATTAAGAGCTGAGCAGAGTGATACAGACAATGGGACGACCGAAAAGGCTTGATATCAAGTCGAGTTATTTAATTTCAATATATTAATAAACGAGCCTTTGGCGAGTTTATAATTACTATTGAAATTAAATTACGCTTGCCTAACAATTCCTTGACAGTCATTTATGCCCTGCTCAAAATAATGAAACTTTAAAAGCAAATTGCTTACATAACATTAGTTACAAGAATGTGTCCATAGTACACGGATGCCCTACTTGCACTATCATTTTCTATGTTCAGTGGACCGTTAAATTGGGGTCAAAACTCTAATTTGGCATTAAAATTAGAAAGATCATATCATAGGGAATATGTGTACTAAGTTTCAAGTTGATTGGACTCCAACTTTAGCAAAAACTACCTTGACCAAACACTTTAACCTGACTTGACCAAAAACTTTAACCTGAAGCGGGACAAACGGACGGACGAACGAACGAACGGACGCACAGACCAGAAAACATAATGCTCCTACTACTATCGTTGCTGGGGCATAATAAAACCTGCTAGTGGGATACAAAAGTGCTACAGGACCAATAGCCATGTAACCAATGTATGAACATTTATTCATCCTAGAAATTGCTAACTGTCAAATTGAATTTTCTTACAGGAAATAAGTGAATTGGTAAAAGCAATACTGCTGAAGATTTGTATAGTACTATTTAAATCCTTTGTAACATGAAAACAAGTCAGTCATCCAAGAACAACAAAGAACAAATAACTAAAGGTCGACATACTGTCTTCAATAACAAACAAAAATCTATACAATAAGTCCAGCTGCATATACTCCTGTGACTAAAAAGGTTGTGAATCAATAAGTGCCTTTATCGGTCGTCCCACTGTCTGTATCAGTCTGTCAACTCTTAGTAAAATTGCAATTCACGGCTATATGACGTCAAATACGTTGACCTGGCCTTTATAACTTTGATCCGGGCATATCAGCGACGTTATAATGTATGAACCGACGTTTATAATTTTGACCCAAACTTATCAAGTCATCTTCCTGTTTGCTGTTGAAACAAACAAAAAATTGTTTCTATCATGCAAAAAACACAAATACAACCCGATAAATCTTCAACATATCACTATATGACACAAACCTCTCAGGAATAAACTAAGGGAGCAACCATTTAACTTCAAAGGGGGTTATGGTTTTTTGTCTGTCAGAAAAAGCAAAGGGCGAACATTTTTTTTTAGTTTCTCGACGCTATCAATCAAATTATTTTTTTCAAAATTTAACACTATACGGTATGTGGAAAATCATGATTCAGAATATTTTTTTTTGTTATCTGCTTGACCACAATATTTTTTTCCATCAAATTGGGGATCAGAACATTTTTTAGGAAAGAACCATAACCCCTCCCCCTTGAAGTTAAATGTCGTTCCATAACAATCATATTGATTGAAGAACAACAGTTTAATCATAACCTTTACCTATTAGTCTTTAAGCCAAAATAACAAATCTAAATGAATTAAACATATAAGCTTAATAAATAATCTTCATTGGATGTGCTGGACTTTGCCAATGTCAAGAGTTGCAATTTTATGTGGCAACATAAAAAATATTATCAAGCATTAAAAACATTTTAACATGAATCAAACACTTATTTATTTGCACAGGTGACATTAAGCAACTAGATCAAAATTTTTTGTCAATTCATGGCTTTAATTTTCACTATACGATTGAATTGCAAGCAATCAGCACTAAAAAATTTGCACCTGTTTTTCATTGGTCCCTATGACCCTCTAGTGAACATTTTAAATAATAATTGTAAACTCACAGAAATTGAGTCTTATATTCTAATCTTTCAAAAAAAAAAAAAAAACAATCATAAGAAAACTCTACATGAGGTTTAATTTACTTTTTAAAAAGAAATGAATAATTTTGCAGTCTCATTAGATTAAAAGATTTCACAACCAGTTTCAATATAAACATACATCAACCTTTTGTAACGAATATAAATATGAATACATCAGTTTTATTTTGATTCGGATCACATATAATGGTACCAACATAAGCTCTCGAGAGCTTTTTACCAAATATAAATAACATATTCATAACAGAGAGCATGCAGATAAGATATATAAGCTACATATATTACAATAACATAATGTTTGCTACTTAAGTTGGGAAGGCTTTTCAATTGGTTAAAGTCTTGATGATCACCATGAAGAATAAGAAAACCTTTATATAAACAGTTTTATTTATCATTCACGTAATATGCAGGACTTCAAACTAAGGAATACCAAAATCTGATGCATGTTTTGAAAAAACATGGGACTTTGGCACAATTGTTTTGAACCTGTGACACAAGTTTAAGAGTGAGCTACCTGCAACTAATGACATCCCTCTACAAGAATTCAGTAAACAGGAAGTTGATGGATGTGAAAACGCATAATACAGGTATCATGCTCACATGAAACAGTAATACCAAATTATAGGAGGCTTTGATTCAGAATTCTTGATAATAAAATTTCATGCTAGGACCTAGTGAGCAGGATTTGCTTACCCTTTGGGAGCACCACCCCCAGTTTTGTTGGGGTTCATGTTGTTCAGTCTTTAGTTTTCTATGTTGTGTTTTGTATGCTGTTGTTTGTCTTTTGGCTGTTTTTTGTATTTTGCCTTTCTTCTTTTGAACTTGTTGCAACAGTTTTAATTCAATAGAGACATAAATAACAATAAAATAACTGTCTATTTCAGTTGTCTAAAACAACCAATGGTTGAAATTTTCAAATATTTTTTAGAGAAAAATCAACAATAATTGTTCAATAATTTTATTAAATGATATGCAATCATGATACATGACTGCACTGATTTCTTTACATGATTTTGTAATTAAAATGTAACATAGTGATAAGAATGTGAGGAAAATTTAGGTTAACATTTGGAATATTGAAAAAATTCACCCCTTTAATCTCAAATACAATAAAGTGGGTTATTGATTAACAGGCTATAATTGTACCATAGTTTAGAGTTTCAGCCAAAAGCACTTCATCAAATATACATAAATTTATCCCATTCAGATTATGCAATAAAGTTTTATACCAATATATATAAAATAACCCACTATGCAGCATCAATAACATTATTTTGTTAGCTGTTAAGTTCCAGATCTATGCGTTTTATTTAAACACAGCCAATTCTACACAATTTAAGTCCAGACATCTTCCAAATATCTCTTGTGCAGTCTCATTTTCATAAGTTCTCTCTTAGCTTCTTCTGCTGTACATCCTATAAAAGAATACAACAAATAAAGTATGTGCTTGAAGTAAAAAAAATAAAGAGCTTGCCGATGAGATGACTAGCCTAAAATCATGAGAATTAATTGAACAATAAACAAAAGTCCAAACAATAAGGTACCTAGCAATCTATTATATACCCCTGGTAACCAAATGTGTAAAAGATACAAGCAACCTTCTTGTGTAATCCAGCATCAAAAAAATGTGGATAGTGTCCACAGATGATGCCCCCGCTTGAATAGCATATAGTTATAAAGGGACATAACTGAAGAACGGTAAAAGTGACGCTACCCAAATTTGAACTTGATCTGAGTTTTGCGGTAATAAGCATTGTGTGTAAGTCTCATAACATTTAAAATTTGGTTGAGGCTAACTTTAGAGAACAGAAACTAAAAATTCATCAATTTTTCTATTTGTAAACACGCATAACTCTAGAACGGTTGTGTATAAGTTTTATAACATTTGGTTGAGACAAACTAAAGTTAGAGAACGGAAATGAAAAATTCAGTAATTTTTATGTTTGAAAACGGACATAACTCAAGAATGGTAAAAGTGTCCCCACAAAATTTCGTACTTAATCTGTATTATGTAGTAATAAGCATTGTGTATAAGTTTCATCACATTTGGTTGAGGCAAACTAAAGTTGGAAAACGGAAACAAAAAATTTGTACTTGATCTTAGTTTTGTGGTAATGAATATTGTGTATAGGTTTCATAGTGTTTGGTTGGGGCAAACTAAAGTTACAGAATGGAAACTAAAAATTTCGATTTATAAAGGGGCATAACTCAATAATGGTTAAAGTGACACTACCCAAATTTCAACTTGATCTGTGTTTTATCAGTGGAAGTCAAAATTAACATTGCATTGTATAAAGCATTGATTGTAGTTGATTCAACTATAATCATGGACAAAGGAAGATAACTCCAATTTTAATAAAATGCTTCGCTGGGGCGCAGCTTGATACGACCGCAGAGGTCGAACCCTGAACAGTTGGGGCAAGTATGGACACAACATTCAAGCTTGATACAGCTCTGAATTTGGATTGTTATTAAATATTTGACACAGCATAGGTTTCTGACACAGAAAGAATGTGGTCTAAGGACTTGAATTTTTTTAATTTACCTATTATGGTCCAATGTTTAAAATCAAAATACATGGTTAGATTCAGCATATCGAAGAACCCCATATATTCAATTTTTGTTAAAATCAAACAAAGTTTAATTTTGGACCCCAACTTGGACAAACTTGAAAACTGGGCCCATAATCAAATATCTAGACACATGTTTAGATTCAGCATATCAAAGAACCCCAAGAATTCAATTTTTGCTAAAATCAAACTAAGTGTAATTTTGGACCCTTTGGACCTTAATGTAGACCAATTTAAAAAATGGGACTTAAAATTAAAAATCTTAATACACGGTTAGATTTGGAATATCAAAGAACCCCAATAATTCAATTTTTGATGAAATCAAACAAAGTTTAATTTTGGACCCTTTTGACCTCAATATGAACCAATTTGATAGCGGGGCCCACAAATAAAAAATCTAAATTCATGGTTAGATTCAGCATATCAAAGAACCCCATATATTCAATTGATGTTGAAATAAAAAAAAGTTTAGTTTTGGACCCCAACTTGGACCAACTTGAAAACTGGGCCCATAATCAAAAATCTAAACACATGTTTAGATTCAGCATATCAAAGAACCCCAAGAATTCAATTTTTGTTAAAATCAAACTAAGTTTAATTTTGGACCCTTTGGACCTCAATGAAGACCAATTTAAAAAACGGGACCCAAATTAAAAATCTAAAAACATGGTTAGATTTGGCATATCAAAGAACCCCAATAATTCAATTTTTGATGAAATCAAACAAAGTTTAATTTTTGACCCTTTTGACCTCAATATGAACCAATTTGATAGCGGGGCCCACAAATAAAAAATATAAATACATGGTTAGATTCAGCATATCAAAGAACCTCATATATTCAATTTTTGTTGAAATCAATCAAAGTTTAATTTTGGACCCCAATTTGGACCAACTTGAAAACTGGGCCCATAATCAAAAATCTAAATACATGTTTAGATTCAGCATATCAAAGAACCCCATATATTCAATTTTTGTTGAAATCAAAAAAAGTTTAAATACTGGACCCTATCTTAGACCAACTTGAAAACTAGGCCCATAATCAAAAATCTAAACACATGTTTAGAATCAGCATATCAAAGAACCCCAAGAATTCAATTTTTGTTAAAATCAAACTAAGTTTAATTTTGGACCATTTGGACCTTTATGTAGACCAATTTAAAAAAACAGGACCCAAAATTAAAAATCTAAATACACGGTTAGATTTGGAATATCAAAGAACCCCAATAATTCAATTTTAGATGAAATCAAACAAAGTTTAATTTTGGACCCTTTTGACCTCAATATGAACCAATTTGATCCAAAAACTTAATACACGGTATGATTTAGCATATTAAAAAACCCCAACAATTCAAGAATAAAACCCCATTGAAATTGGTCAAGAAATAAGCAATTTATACGAAGTATCTTCTTTTGCACAATACTGTGCAATTAAATAATTCTTGCTATTGCGCAATACTGTACAATTGACAATTTCTTGCTATTGCGCAATATTGTGCTATTGGATATTTCTTGCTATTGCGCAATACTGTGCAATTGAAGATTTCTTACTATTGCGCAATACTGTGCAATTGAAGATTTCTTGCTATTGTGCAATACTGTGCAATTGAAAATTTCTTGCTATTGCACAATACTTATTATATAATAATTTACACATCCTGTTTGGTGTGTATCTCCTACCATATCATTATTATTTGCTTTTAAATATAAATCAGAAATAACCAACTTAAAATGGAAAATTTTAAAAGAAAAAAAAAAGGAAAAAAAAAAATCCCCCCCCAAATTTTTTGAACCCCCTTATGATTCATCACCCCCAAACTCAATCCCAGCCTTCCCTTTGTGGTATGGTACCTTGCAGTACAATTTCAGAGAGATCCATACACTTGAACACAAGTTATTGTCTGGAAACTAGAAAAATGTGTTTTTTGGCCCCTTTTTGGCCCCAAATTCCTAAACGTTTAGGGAAATTACCCCCAAACTCAAACCCAGCTTTCCATTTGTGATATGGAACCTTGTAGTACAATTTCAGAAAGATCCATACACTTACACACAAGTTATGGTCCTGAACTAGAAAAATGCTTGTTTTTTGCCCCTTTTTTTGCCCCTAATACCTAAAATTTTGAGGCAATTACCCCCAAAATCAATCCCAGCATTCCTTTTGTGATATGGAACCTTGTGGTACAATGTCAGAGAGATCCATACACTAACACACAAGTTATGTCTGGAAGTTACAAAAATGCTTATTTTTGGCCCCTTTTTGGCCCCTAATTCCTTTACTGTTGGTACCATAACCCCCAAAATCAATCCCAACCTTCCTTTTGTGGTATTGAACCTTATGGTAAAATTTCATAGAGATCCATTCACTTAAACTAAAGTTAGAGTGCCAAAACCAATGTGTCTTCGGACGAGGCCGGACGACGCCAACGTCATACCAATATACGACCACAAAAATTTTTTTGCGGTCGTATAAAAATATAGTGTCAAATTTTTCATATGGATTTTTTGTTAAAAAAAAAAACATGCAACATTTGCAGATATTTTTACTGGTCTTCCTTTATAAATATGCATTTCTTTAAACATAATTTAAAAGCAGTGTAAGGGAAGTAACCAAAACGTTGTATTTGGATTACCTCCCTTACACTGTTTTAAATTATCTTTATTGTTCATTAACCATTACTTTATACATAATTTAAAAGCAGTGTAAGGGAGATAATTTCAATGATGTATTTGATTTATCTCCCTTACACTGCTTTAAATTATGTTTTGTACTAAAGTATTTGTCCATTAACCAGGACAACCTTGTTTTTCCCCCTTTTTTGCCCCTAATTCCTAAACGGTTTGAGCCATAACCCCCCAAAGCAAATCCTAACCATCCCTTTGTGGTATGGAAACTTGTAGTATAATTTCAGAGAGATCCATACACCGTTCCACAGTTATTGTCTGGAAACTAGAAAATGCTTATTTTTGGCCCCTTTTTGGCCCCTAATTCCTTAACTGTTGGTACCATAACCCCCAAAATCAATCCCAACCTTTCTTTTGTGGTATTTAACCTTATGGTAAAATTTCAAAAAGATCCATTGACTTAAACTAAAGTTAGAGTGCGAAAACCAATGTGTCTTCGGACGACGACGACGCCAACGTCATACCAATATACGACCACAAAATTTTTTTGCAGTCGTATAAAAATTACTTAATATTTAGAAGAAAATAAAAATTTTTGCAATTTTTCCATTTATAAAGGGGCATAACTCTAGAACGGTTAAAGTGACGCCACCAAAATTCAAATTTGATCTGTGTTTTGTGGTAATAAGCATTGTGTATAAGTTTCATAACATTTGGTTGAGGCAAACTTAAGTTAAAGAATGGAAACTAAAAATTTTGCAATTTTTCCATTTATAAAGGGCATAACTCTAGATCTATAACGGTTAAAGTGACGCCACCAAAATTAAAACTTGATCTGTGTTTAGTGGTAATAAGCATTGTGTATAAGTTTCATTTTATTACATTTGGTTGAGGCAAACTCAAGTTAGAGAACAGAAACCAATTTTGGGACAGACGTACGTACGTAAAGACGGACAAGGGTAAAACTTAATGCCCCCACGGCGGGGGCATAAAAATAAAAACAAGAGTGCACACAATGTAATGTCTCACCTGCTTTACTGATCTTGATTGATCTTATGTTGAAAGTCTTTCATATAAAAGCTTTACTAAAAGTATCACATAATTTTTACATTGACCAATGAAACATTTAAATTAAGTCAAGGTCAGATGGACTCTGCCAGACAGATATGTACACCTTGCAATCATTACATACACCACATATAGTTAAACTACTACTAATAGTAACTGACAAACGTACCAAACCACAAAAACTTAATATTGACCAATGAACCATAAAAATTAGGTGAAGGTTAGTTGAATACTACCAGACAGATATATACACCTAACACTCATTCCATACAACAAATATAGTGGACCTATCACATATAGTATATGAGAAAGAAACTTAACCATGAAAACTTAACATTGACCAATGAACCATCAAAATAAGGATAAGGTCAGATGAACCCTGCCAGACAGCCACATACATCCAATCATTCCATACACCAATAAAAGAAGAATGTGTCTGAGGACATGAATGCCCCCGTTCAAGCTTTGTAATTTTCCATGTTAAAAAGGGGCATAATTCTAGAATGATAAATGACTCACAACCCAAGTTCAAATTCTGTATGCATGTTGTGGTTTTTCCCATTGTGTATGAGTCTATAGGGATGGACGGATGGAAGGACATACGGAAGGATGGTCAGATAGACAGAGGGAAGGATGGTCAAGGGTAACACTTAATGCCCTTGTTGCCTATGGCAGGGGCTTAATAAATTGCTTTGCTGAGCGCAGCTGGATACGACCGCAGAGGTCCAACCCTGAACAGTTGGGGCAAAAATGGACACAATATTCGCGCTTGATACAGGTCTGAATTTGGATTGTAGTTAAATATCTGACACAAAATAGGTTTCTGACACAGAATAACTGTAGTCAAAGAACTTAGAATTGGTAATATGATTTGAATTTATATTCAATTTATGCTTTTGTGCAATACACTATGCTGTTGACCCCCCCCCCCCCCCCTTTCCCATCTTTTTTTTGCAAAAAAATATAATATTTAAAGAAATTTTCTTTTTAATTTCTGAAATCTGAAATGAGAAAAAATTGTCCCCCCCCCCCCCCAAAAAAAAATTTTGTTTTTCAATTCCCCCTTTCCCTTTTACCAAAAAAAAATGATTTCCCTCAAGGTAAGGTCATAATCTCAATTCAAATTTCTAATGGAGTTTGCAACCATAATTACCAATTAAAATACATCATAAAAGTCTTAAAATAGAAAATGACATACATATTCAAGGCTAAAATTAATATTAATTACTGTAACATTTAAAAATAAATTGACAGCTAATCACCTCAAGACAATACAGTATTTCTTATACATAACTTACAAGCAGTGTAAGGGAGGTTAGGTAATCCAAAACATACACAACATTGTATATTAAATGTGATTGGATTACCTCCCTTACACTGCTTAAAAAATTGTCCATTAACCTGGAAACCCTTGTTTTTCCCCTTTTTTTGCCCCTAATTCCTAAATGGTTTGAGCCATAACCCTCCAAAGTCAATCTTAACCATCCCTTTGTGGTATGGAAACTTGTGGTATAATTTTAGAGAGATTCATACACTTAAACACAAGTTATTGTCTGGAAACTACTAAAATGCTTATTTGGGACCCTTTTTTTGCCCCTAATTCCTAAACTGATGGGACCATAATCCCCAAAATCAATCCCAATCTTCCTTTTGTGGTTATAAACCTTGTGTTTAAATTTCATAGATATCTATTTATTTATACTAAAGTTATTGTCCGGAAACCAACTGTCTTCGGACGACGACAACGACAACTTGATACCAATATACGACCACAAAAATTGTTTGCGGTCATATAAAAAGATTTTCCTTTTGTTAATAGTGTCTGAGAAACAGCCTTAACCAAGAAAACTTACATTGACCAATAAACCTCGAAAATAAGGTCAAGGTGAGATGAACCCTGCCAGACAGAAATGTACACCTATCAATCATTCCATGGACCTATTGCTAATAGTATATTAGAAAGAGGCTAAACCAGGAAAACTTCACATAAAACAATGAACCATGAAAATGAGGTCAAGGTCAGATGAACCCTTCCAGACAGACATGTACACCTAACAATCATTCCATATGCCAAATATAGTTGACCTTATAGTATGTGAGAAACGAACTTCATTGTGTAACTTTAACCTTGATCACTGATCCATGAAAGGTCAGGTATACCCTGTCTGACAGACATGTCTATTTGCAAGTATTTCATATACCAAATATTATTATCCTATTACTCATAAGCCAGAAATTAACATGAAGAAAACTATAGGTTTTTTAGCAGTTGCTGAACTATGGACAAGTTCAAGGACAATGAACTTATGACAGAAGAAAACCTTGTAACATTTAGTATCTATATACAAGGTATGAAGCAACCTTCTTAAATATATATAAATATTTGAACAAATTTAAGCTGATGCCAGATTAGCACCCCTACTGCCTCACATTAGGCTACAGGCAAGAAAAAAAAACAAAGTGATCTGAAATCACTGATGGAAAGATTCAAAGAATTGTGTGTATAATTTCAATCATATTTTGCTCTTCCATAGTAATGGTGGTGGACAAAAAAAACTAGCTATAGCTCTATTGCATATTTGTTAGTTACACTGCTGCAGATATTTTAGAAAGATAATCAATTTTTTGGTGCATAAAATAGCTTAATAGAGGTCAATGTCAGTTGGCCACTAATTTGCATAATGTTTCCTTTAATTGCAACTTATATTTATATCTTTTAAAACAGAAGAAATTACCTAATAAAATCAAATATTGTAGTTTCTCAGTGATACCTGGATCCAATGGATAAAGAGACTTGAAACTAAGTCCTTTTTTATCTCCCAAAATTTACATTTATCTTATTTTTTGTTTAATGCAGTGTAAATCAAAAGTTATATATAAGTAAATGATCAAAATCTTTCATCTGTATTCAATTCTATTAAAAAGAAATGCACATTTTATATTCATGTTAACCATATGTACAAATGTATCAATTACACATGAAGATAGAGACCACCTAATGTCACTGACCTATATAGATCAAACATCTATCTAATGCTAATGAGATCAAGTTATTGTGTATTGAGTGGTCTGTCATATTATGTATAAACTCAAGTTATGTAATTTGGTCAATTATGATTGGCATTAAATAGGAGGGGTCTATATACAATTCCAATTATTGCTCCACTCTTTGTGTTTAATTGTTCTTTGATAATGACATTTGTCTATCATACTGACATTGTAGCAATACTCTTACTTAATCAAAAAGACAAAACTAACCAGTAAATTAAAAAAAGTAAAGACTATTATTCTTGAAAAAATGCTCTTAAGATGTAACCAAATTGTTTACAGTTCATCTCTGCACATGTACACAGACATGAGAACATTTGGGAACTATATGTCAGTGTGTATAGATTTAGTTACTGATTTAGTAGCAAATCTGTCTACTTTCTGTTTGGGAGGCCAGTGCCTTAGGAAAGAATTGGAATAATTCAAATCTTTCCAAAAACCAAAGACAACTAGTTGATTAATGGCTCTTGGTTTCAGACAGACACATTAAGTACGTCCTGAAATAAAATGCTCCGCTGGGCACAGCTTGATACGACCGCAGAGGTCGAACCCTGAACAGTTGGGGCAAGTATGGACACAACATTCAAGCTTGATACAGCTCTGAATTTGGATTGTGATTAAATATTTGACACAGCATAGGTTTCTGACAAAGAATGAATGTGGTCTAAGAACTTAAATTTTTTTAATTTACCTATTCAAACCATATCATTATTATTTGCTTTTATATATAAATCAGAAATAACCAACTTAAAATGGAAAATTTAAAAGAAAAAAAAAAAGGAAAAAAAGGGAAAAATAAATACCCCCCCCCCCCCAAATTTTTTGAACCCCCTTATGATTCATCACCCCCAAACTCAATCCCAGCCTTCCCTTTGTGGTATGGTACCTTGCAGCACAATTTCAGAGAGATCCATACACTTGAACACAAGTTATTTTCTGGAAACTAGAAAAATGCTTGTTTTTCAGCCCCTTTTTGGCCCCAAATTCCTAAAAGTTTAGGGCAATACCCCCAAACTCAAACCCAGCTTTCCCTTTGTGATATGAAACCTTGTAGTACAATTTCATAAAGATCAATACACTCACAGACAAGTTTTTGTCCTGAAACTAGAAAAATGCTTGTTTTTTGCCCCTTTTTGGCCCCTAATTCCTAAAATTTTGAGGCAATTACCCCAAAAATCAATCCCAGCCTTCCCTTTGTGGTATGGTACCTTGCAGTACAATTTCAGAGAGATCCATACACTTGAACACAAGTTATTGTCTGGAAACTAGAAAGATGCTTATTTTTGGCCCCTTTTTGGCCCCTTATTTCTAAACGTTTTGGGTAATTACCCCCAAACTCAATTCCAGCTTTCCCTTTGTGATATGGAACCTTGTAGTACAATTTCAGAGAGATCCACACTTACACACAAGTTATTGTCATGAAACTAGAAAAAATGCTTGTTTTTTGCCCCTTTTTTGGCCCCTAATTCCTAAAATTTTGAGGCAATTACCCCCAAAATAAATCCCAGCATTCCCTTTGTGATATGGAACCTTGTGGTACAATGTCAGAGAGATCCATACACTAACACACAAGTTATTGTCTGGAAGTTACAAAAATGCTTATTTTGGCCCCTAATTCCTTAACTGATGGTACCATAACCTCCAAAATCAATTCCAACCTTCCTTTTGTGGTATTGAACCTTATAGTAAAATTTCAAAGAGATCCATTCACTTAAACTAAAGTTATTGTGCGAAAACCAATGTGTCTTCGGACAACGACGACAATGCCAATGTCATACCAATATACGACCGCAAAAATTGTTTGCGGTTGTATAAAAACGTTAAGAGCCTTCAAACCGCCTACCAACATGGGATAGTGTCTTGTAACATAACATTGCAACAATCATCAGATCAGTACTAAAAATAAAAACCCCAACTTGTTTACAGCTAATTTTTTAAAATGTAATCTGTTCACAAAATTGAAGTTTTCTTGTTTGATAAGTGAAATTAAATAAAATACTTGTCAATCTGCTTCTAAAGGCATTATTTTATTACCTGTTCCATAAACTGATTGAATATGCCATTAAATGACTACTGGTTACAAACCTTTATATGACTGTATAACTGAGATAAAAGCTTCATTCACATCTTTGGCCATGTTTTTGGCATCTCCACAAACAAACACTGTGGCATTTTTCTCCATTATCAAGGTAGATAACTCTGTAGAGTTATTCCTTATGTTATCCTGTACATATTGTGGCGATTTCTGTAGTTGATTATCACGAGAGAAACAAACACAAAGATGCGATAATATACCAGTGGACAGGAAATCTTCAAGTTCTTTCCTGAAAAATACAATATTATTTACTCTTAAAATTTGTCATGCTTTAAAATTTTCACAAAGAATTGAAAATTTGTTTCTAAAATAATCATCTGATTGCTTTATTGATAGTTCATTGGCATATGTCCAGCAGCAACTATTCCATGCATATATTCAGAAAAAGATTAATTGTTGTTTGCTTAATGTACAGCAGAAATTCCGGAAAAAACTACTTTATACCAGGGCTTCCAAAAAATATTTGAGCCATCCGGACATTTTTTGTCTTATCCCGATTTCAATCCCTTAAGACTTAGTAACAAAAGACTAGCATTTTAATAGGTTGGGCATCATATAAACCATGATTGACACAAAAACACTTTTAAACTTGACTTTTGATATAAACTCGATGTTCTGACGTAAACAGTGCATCATTTGAAAGGTGCAACATCAGCGTACTAATATCTGCCTTAGACTCTTTATTTATGGAAAATTACGCTGTCAACAACTTTGCTTTCGATTTTAAAAAGCACATTTTTCTAATACCGGATGTTGACTTTTTGTCGAGTGAGCAAAGCTTCATTCACATCACTCGACAAAAAGCTTCATATTATGGCTCGCAGCTGATATTTTACAATATCTATATGCAGGCAACCAGTACAGATGATGAAGAAGATGTTGACTTGTCAATGATAAAACATAGACCAGAGACAAATACGTAAAACCTGTGGATGATAACAAAGCACAATTGAGTTTAAGTAGCTCTTTCCACGTTATTTCTTCAGGAAAATACTTGAAATGAATGTTAGATAAAGGTATCAATGATAATTTCAGCAATTTTTAAAAATTTGGATGCATAATTAAACAGCACATGCCACACTTGTTCTAGTTCAAACAACGTGGTTCTGACGATTTTTCGCTTACAACCTTTATTACTACCTTTTCAAAATTTTTCATCAATTTCTGTTCGTATACGTATTTGTGATAATTTAAATCTTTTTGACTAAATTGATTAGATGCAAACCACTGAAAAAAAATGTCTTTTAAATAAATAGACCGATCAATGTCTGGTACAAAATAGTTTACCTGTTGCTTGTAAATTATGATCTTATCGTTTTAAATACGTTTTCCCGATAGTCTTAATTTGCTAAATATTAGTTAAGATTTCAACCAGGAATATTTTTAATTTAAATACTAAAATAACTTCCAAAAAAGATCGATTGATGTCCGGTACAAATAGTTTACCCGACACATGTGATCACAGGTTTATCTCACCTGTTAGACACTTAATTAACCTTGACTGTAATGAGAGGGGATAGTAGGGCTTGTTTATAGAGTACTGTCCCTTTAATGACCAGAAAAGTGTGGCTGTTTAAGGCACAAGGTCAAGTCAAAATGGTTGATTTTTCTGAATAACATGAACGTTGAAATGGCAAACCTGAGAAAGACGTCAGTTTCATGCTTGGCCCAGTCAGAAAATGTCCGTCAAATATGACCGTTTTAGAAGCCTTACTTTATACATATAATAACAATACATCAGGATCAGATTTGTGTCGTGGCATTGTCAGTTTGTTTTTGACTTATGAGTTTGAATATCCCTTTGGTATTTTTTGCCTCTCTTTTGGAAATAGTAATATTTTCATCATGTAACACAGATAGGATCCATTGGTTCAGTGTTGTAAACTTAAAAGAGCAAGGATGACTTCCATTTAAACAAATATAGAAAAAAAATCTTATTTCTTAAATCTTGAAATTTTAAATGGACATCATAGCTACTCTACACAAAACTATCTAAATTTCAAATGGACAGGTCAAATGTTCTATATCCATCATTAATGGATTGACAAGTTTCTTACAACATGTAATGTAAAACTACATATAAACACACCTATAAATATAGTCTCTTTTCTCATGTCTACATCCATAAAATAACCATGTGTTCCCATACAATTCTGGATCTGACATATCTGTCTTTAGAGCCTGTCTGTGTCGTAAGAAGCCAACAAATGGAGCCACACCTGTTCCTGGTCCTACCATAATTATAGGTATGCTGAGATCGTCTGACATGTGGAAATACTGGTTTGTTCTGGTGAATATTGGAACCTAGATAATTATAAAATATTACAAAGAGGATACATAAATAATAAAAATGACTGCCATAATTCATACTATTTGTATTTGTGCAAACTAATTTTGAAAAAAGTTTATTTATGTATTGTACATTTTTTACTTATAATATGAAAGTAAGCTTTGAATGTAAATTATATAGATGTAAGAAGACAAGAACAATATTTGATTTCTGTATCAATGTCTTTGACTAAATAACATGATTTTCAAACTCTCAACTTCAACAGTTTGTCTTTACAGAATATCAAATAATACGTATACAAAATATAAAAGGTAAACTTCACTGGCAAAAAGTCGGGGAAACATTAAACTACTAACGGAAGCTACATAGGTTCTCGTAACAACCTCATCAATGCTATAATGAAAAGACAAATGAATATATGTTCTGCTAATAATCTACTGCTACTATCGGATTCTGATTTATTCAAAATCCAGTTAATCAACTTTAATTATTTCATTCTGTTCAATAAGTTATACTTTAAACAAAGACAAATTCTGACTTCTGTCTTCTGTCTAACCAGTCTTTTCTCCTCTTCATGTTGCTTGTTCAGTTAAAAAACAACATAAATCAATTTAAAAATTTATTTGTCTAAAGACTGATTCTATGTAGATGATCATCCTAACAATTCAATTAATAAATCTGCACAATGATGGAAATGTGTGTGTAGAATAAACTGTGATGGGGAGCATTACTCACCTGTATTTTGTCATTGATATCAAGTTTCTCTAGAGTATTTGACAGATTGTCAGCGCTATTTTCCCATGCGACCTCCTTGGTCTGTACATTCTTTGTTATTCTATCTAACATACCAGTACATATACCATTCTTGTGGTAGGACCTGCCTTCTCCCACTGGTATCTGGACAACATTGAACACAATCTCAATAATCCCTGGGTTCACCAAAGGAGAACTAAAAAGATAAACAATCAAATGTCAAAGTTTATGAATGCAGCTCAAAACATTGTGATAGATATGTTAATATTAGCAACAAATATTTAGTGATTGTAGTAAGAAAGGACTGTCAAAACATGAACACTTTCAGATAGTTTATGATGTCAATTAAATTTTCATAATTTTAATATACATTTGTTGTTTCTAGAGGTTGCACTTTGTAAATACAGCTGTTTCTCAAACCACGCCTCTTTTGGGGAGATATATAATATTCATAGATATGTTAATTTGTTAACGTACTGGTTCCCATTTATGATCTCATGTTTCATTTCATAGAGACATCACTTGGGAATGTATCCAGTATAGAAAAACATGGTAGCGCCTAAATTTTAATTCTTAGGAGGTCCAAAAATGGAGGTAAGGGTAGTATAGAATTTTAGTATAAGTTTAAACTCTTAGCAGTTCAGGGCATATAAATGTTGAAAATATGCCGCACAGCCCTATATTTTGACCTTTGAATAAAATAGTAGTGCATATAAACTTTCCGTTCTAGGATATTATTTTTCACGAAACTTCATAGTAAAAGTGTCACAGTTTTAGCCGCAAAGGGAGTTCCTATGGGAAATTGCATTGTCTATATTTACAGAATTGCAACCTAGAAGTCTTAGTTTTGTGGATTCATCTTTTTATTATTATACATGTATTCCAATTTTGTGGATCATTTAATTTTAAAGAAATTCTCTGTCTACAAATCCACAAAAAAACCAGAGACCAAGAGTGTACTTACTATCTAAGAAATGTTTGTCATTTTTTTAACATATTTAAAGAAATATGTTGTTCCATCTTTTTTTTCTGTTTGGATGGGGGTGAATCAAGTGTATAAATATCAATAACCTCAAGAGTATGACAGCTATTTTTTTTAGTGTGTACTTGGTATTAAAAATTAAGTTTCATCACTGGCGAGATGGTCAGACTGGTTTTAAGTAATCCTCTAGATATCTGCTCCATGTTTTTTTGACTAATTATTACAATAGATGCTCATTCAGTAGATATTTCAAATAGCTCATTTAGATGTCACAGTCCATACAACAAAAAAGCAAACTTTTACTTCGTTATATTTTGTATAAATTCATTATACTGCTATAAACATGGTAAATAACAGATTTTTTAGTGATTTAATTAATAAAAATTGTGACATCAATCTCATAGAAATAGAATAATTTGCAATATTAAGGTATCTGCATAGCATGTAAGTCATACCTGCACACAGAATAAGGTCTTGGCTGTAATCTAGGCAGATGTTCTAAAAGAGAAATATAACTATTCTTAAGGACATCATTCGTAAATATAACTCAACATGCAGACATCTTATACGTTCGGGTATTTCACATCCAATCTTTTATGGTAGTATTCTTTACAAAGCACAAAAATGTTAGTATCCACCTCAAAAGCTAACAAAACCTTTAAACAGACTTATTAAGAAGGGATATAGTTACGATACTGTTGTCAGGTCATTAAAGATTGCATATTTTGGCTTTAATATTGATTCACTTATAGGGTCTTTGCATCGGAATTAAACATATTTATTCTAAAACCAGTTGTTGGCATGACACGGGTTATGTTCTTCTCATATATTTTATGATGATATAATACTAAATCCCTAACAAGAGGGATTGTGCCTGATATTCATATGATGAAGACATAATCTTTCAATCAGTTTAATTGAGGTCTGGAGCTGGCATGTCAGTAACTGCTAGTAGTCTGTTGTTATTTATGTATTATTGTCATTTTGTTTATTTTCTTTTGTTTCCTATTCTGACATCAGACTCGGACTTCTCTTAAACTGAGTTTTACTGTGCGTACTGTTGTACGTTTGTTTTTTCTACATTGGCTAGAGGTATAGGGGGAGGGTTGAGATCTCAAAAAACATGTTTAACCCCGCCGCATTTTTGAGCCTGTCCCAAGTCAGGAGCCTCTGGCCTTTGTTAGTCTTGTATCATTTTTAATTTTAGTTTCTTGTGTATAATTTGGAGTTTAGTATGACGTCCATTATCACTGAACTAGTATACATATTTGTTTAGGGGCCAGCTGAAGGACACCTCCGGGTGCGGGAGTTTCTCGCTGCATTGAAGACCCATTGGTGGCCTTCGGCTGTTGTCTGCTCTATGGTCGGGTTGTTGTCTCTTTGACACATTCCCCGTTTCCATTCTCAATTTTATTAATGGTGTCTTTATTGTTTCATTTAACTTATATGTGGAATGTGCATATGTTATACAAATCACTATAAAAATTATCTCATAAATCAAATATACTTAAAATTAAACTTTAAATTCTCTGCTTTAACTTGACATATCCTATGTATCGGTAATTTAAAGGAATCACAATTAGAGGTCAAATATAAATGCTTTATATACATTCAGCTTTTATTAAATTTCTTAATGAAATCAGATAATGTAAATATATTAATTACCAAGAAGTCGTTCCACAGGAGGAATGCATGATGGGAAGGCATTTAAGATGTCCATCAAAGACAAAGATGGCTGCCTTACAAACTGGGTGTAGTCAGCAGCTCCTTGTTTACTACATAATTCTTGTATCCTTCTCTTCTGACCTTGATCTGATGTGTATTCAACTAATGCTCTAAATAAGGCCTGCAAAATAAAGATACTAATCACTGATCAACATTATGTTCCTTTCAATTAAAGGATGTATTGACAAACATTAATTTTCTTGTCTTTAATATGTACTAACACAAAAACTTTGGAGCTTCCTTAGTTGATGCCAGTTTTCTAACTGCATGTACGTGTCATATCTACACAACTAATCTTGATTTCATTTTATCTTCTTTAGACATACTGTAAAGAATTACTTTTGGCTCTAATTTCAACAAAAAGGTTAATCTCAGAAATATTCCATTGGAATAAAATATAAATTTAACCTCCATTTATTTTTTTTCCATGTAACTGCAGACATAATAAAAGGTTCAACTTCAATTTATTTTTAAATAACCTTTCTGTTAGAAACAAAATCATCCACCATACACAGTTCCTAATAATCAGGTACTACCTTGATTCAATTGATTTTTTTGGCCAATAAATTCTCAGTTTTTGATTATGTATTTCTTGTTAAACTCTCTCCAGTAAAGTTGAAAGGCCTTTACTGTTCTGTTTATGCCCTTTTAGCTTTCAAACTATAAATATTTTGTTTTATTTTTTGCTTCTAAAACATTTGATAAATTGACTGTTTTTTACAACAAAGCACCTTTTTTGGAGGTTCTCTTAAATCTATACATGTAGTAAAGATATGCCTTAGTGTACACAATGGTGGTATATGTGAGGGCACTGAAGCATTCTTCTTCTTTGTTCCTTCTATCACAGTTAAAGAACATGTTGTATCAACACATTTCAAAACACTAAGCCTGAAATCAAAAATGTTAAATAAGTATAAACACAAGATTATGACAAACCTATAGTGACCTATAGTTGCTAACATCCAAGTCATTTAAACTTTGGTGGATAGTTATCTCATTGGCAATTTAGCACATCTCATTATTCACATATATCGGTATATATTTGTGTTGTCGCTTAATTTGGCAATCTCCTCACAACTCTTCATCAAATGTGATATATTTTTTCATATAAAAATAAGGAGATGAGGTATGATTGCCAATGAGACAACTATCCACCAAAGTTCAAATAAAGTGGATGTAAGCAATTATAGGCAACCTTACAGCCTTCAACAATTAGAAATACCTATACCATATAGTCAGCTATAAAAGGCCCTGACATGAAAAATATGAAACAATTCAATTAAGAAAACTAACGGCCTAATTTATAACAAAACAATTAACGATAAACAAATATGACAGACATGAACCAATGACAAACTGAACTAAAGGCTCCTGACTTGGGACAGCCACATAAAGAATGTGGTGGGATTAAACATGTTTGTTAGCGCTTTTCTTTCTAAACTGAATGAATTCTTTTCATTGTTTTCTGCTCTTTGGTTGGGTTGTTGTCTCTTTGACACATTCCCAGTTTCCATTCTCAATTTTCTTTTCCTTATTCCCAAACTTCTGTTTTACATTTCATACCTATTTTAAAGTAGTTCTTCAATAATTTACTGAATATATGTATAAAGGTATATATCCATAAGATAACAAACAAACAAACACATTTCCAACAAATTACACATATAAAAATTATCATATGGTCTTCAATAGTTTTCAAGAGCAAACACAGCAAGTTTAATTGCCCAGGTTCTAAAAAAGTTAATAATAAAACTAAATAGGGATCACAAAGATCTAAAAAAACAGTAAACTGCTTCGCCGAGCACAGCTGAATACAACCGCAGAGGTCCAACCTTAAATATTTGACACATTATAGGTTTCTGACACAGAATAAATGTAGTCAAAGAACTTGAAATTGGTTATATGATTTGAATTTATATTCAATTGAAAATTTCTTGCTGTTGCGCAATACACTGTGCTGTTGCGCAATACTTAGTAAATCTGTTTTCAGACTATATACAAAGAATTAGCAAAATAAATTGCGACCCCCAATTTTTCTTTGAAAAATTGACAATTTCTTAAATCTTGAGGGAAAAAAAATTGCCCCCCCCCCCCTAAATTTTTTTATCCCCCCTAATTCCTAAACGGTTGGGACCATCACCCCCAAAAACAATCCCAACCTTCCTTTTGTGGTATTGAACCTTTTGGTTAAATTTCATAGAGAACCATACACTTAAACTGAAGTTATTGTCCGGAAACCAAATGTCTTCGAACGACGCCTACGAAGTGATAGCAATATACGACAGCAAAAATTTTTTGCGGTCATTTTTGCGGTCGTGTAAAAATATGCAAAAAATCATGAGACTACTTGAAACAGGCACAAATTATACATGTAGCAGGGTAAAATAGTTTTGTGAGTACTTTCATAATAATGACAGATTATATTAACATTAGTTCATTGGTTATTAACATTTTTGTTTTTCTTTCTAAAAAGGAAGCTGAAGTTTTTTGTAACATGGAGGAAAATTTTTAGAAAAATGTTGAAAACATGATAAGAAAGGGAGATGGTCTTGGTTGTGCTTTAATATTAGGATTAATCTACATTTATTTTAAAGTTAAATTGTCCTAGTCTGATAGTGATACCAACATCTCCGCACTCGCTCCTCATTTTCATATGGTTGTTTCTCGTGACATATAAACAAATGAACAAAAATGAGGAGAATGTCAAATATTACAAATACTATATACAGTGTAAAAGTCATTTATTATGTAAATCTTATTCTTGTCTAGAAAAAAAATAGACTGCAGATGGTCAGAAAAACTAAAAGCCAAATTAGCTGTCGACAAAATATGGCTAATTATGTCAAAGTGAAACTAATACCTACCTTTTAAGCAAGGCTTCAACCTCATTCTCATCATTTTCTACTACAACTGATATACTATCACCTGGTAAATATTCCATAATTTTTTTCTACAATAAAATGATGTAACAAATTTAACATGATGTACCATTCGACATTAATACATACTCCTGCTCTAATACATAAATTAAATTTTTTTAAATAAAGTTAGTTTTGCTGTAAAAAGAAAACCCTCCATCATTTATAGTTCCAAAAACTTGGGTACTGGCATTAATTACATCAATGTCACATTTAAACAAGTTGAAATAATATTATAGTTTCAATGATCATGTTTGTATTTGATTACAAGGAGCTATGGGGAATAATTCATAAAAATAAAATAAAGATCACTAAATTATACTTCATGAATACACCAATTTGATCTCTTAATTGTACTTGATTAAGATGCCAAATTGATTCCTAAATTGTACAGAAACTACATAAGTTTTGAAATGAAAAGATAAAGCAGATCTGCCATCAAAATCAATTTTTGACATGGACAAAGCATTAAGACATAACAAATACAATAACTGACAAGGTTCTTCCCATTGGGATATGCTCATTTAACATGTGGTGGGGGAAAACTTGTTACAAGTTGTGTATACTTCTCTGAATTCTGGATTTTTTTACTGTCTTACCACAAATGAGTGGATTTACCTGTGTATTGAGTCTTAAACATAATGTTTTCTTAACTGCCTCTTCCTTTGTCAATACTGATGATGATGTAACTCTGGCCATGGTTATTTCACTAGATGCAGACGGCATAGGACAGCCATTTTGTAGTGGAATTTCATTCAGATTCTGAGAAGAAAGAGTAAAATACTACCATATATTCATTTAATTTTAATATTAAAGCAAAATAAACTGTTAACACAGAGATATGTCTCGCCTTTTTGTAATTTTGATAATACAAATGTTGAAATTAAAATGGCAATACATTGACATGTAAGTTAGGCAAATATTTGAAGTCAATGAACCATGACTGAAGGTACATGGCTAAACAATCTCCTTGGAAAATCTCCAAAGTCAATGAACCATGATGAGGGGTTGGGCTATATAATCTCCATGGAAATGAGACTTGCAAATGCCAATAAATTTGCATACCAAATATCATTGATTTAACATTAGCAGATCATCTTAAACTGATCTAATCACAAACTAATACATGTAAACTAAGCAAAAGTTTCAAAGTCAAAAGACCATGACTGAGGGGCCACATATTCTCCATGGAAATGAAATGTGCTAATGCTTATACAACTGCATACCAATTAAAATTGGCCTACCACTAATGGTTCCCCTTGAACTGACATAATCACAAACTAATACACGTAAACTAGGCAAAAGTTTCAAATTCAATAGCCATGACTGAGATGCGGAGCCAAATAATCTCCATGGAAATGAGATATGCCAATGCTTATACAACTGCATACCAAATATCATTGACCTACCACTAGTGGTTACCCATAAACTGACCTAATCACAAACTAATACATGTAAACAAAGCAAAAGTGTCAAAGTCAATAGACCACGACTGAGGGGGAAGGGCCAAATAATCTCCATGGAAATGAGATGTGCCAATGCTAATACAACTGCATACCAAATATCATTGACCTACCACTAGTGGTTCACCATAAACTATACCTAATCACAACGCCGCCCATGACGCAGAAAAAAGCATACCTATATCTCGCTTTTTGACGCCGCCAAGGCGAGACAAAAACTGCCGACTTCAAAGACCCACACAAACGGGCTGGACAACAAGTTTGACTTCTATGGTATTAATTAATAAATATATTTATCTTCAAACTGTCCTGTGTTATTGTCATAGTTAGTGAATAGTTCATATTCGAACCTATAGAATTTAAAATGAAAGTATAATTATATTAATATAAAAGAGGGCAGACAGCTGACAGATGGACAAACAGATGGGATAAAAAAAATATTGTACCATCCACATCTTTGGTTGGGGTTAAGTAGATAGAAATGATATACACTACTGAGGCATAATAAACATACTACTAAATCTTTTCATTTATATCTTTTAAAGAGTTAGACTCAATTCATACAATGTTGTAATTTTTTATAATTTTCATTTTAAGATTATTACTATTTTTTGGTAAACTGGTATTAAACGTACGTTTCTGAAGAAATAATATTTGTTGGGGTCAGTCAAAAAATTCCCTCCTTATGTACATTAAACAGTATTACTACTTTCTCTTTTTTCCCTCATGGTTATTTCATCTAATATACTTACTACAGTTTCATCATTCAAGTATTCAAGTTTTAGATATGCAGCTGACAATACTGGTACTGACACTGAACTCTCCGACAAAGGAGGTAGAGAAGTTGTTAACGATGGCTGACATCCTCCTTCTTTATCCAATGTTTGTAATTCATTTTGATTTAAATTTAATTTGGATTTTGTTATAAGTGTGCTACTATCAGTTTTATTGATATGTGTGTTACTATCAATATTATCTGTACCAGTGTTTCTGTCACTTTTACCTAAATTACTAGAAGATAAATTGTCGACATTTGTGATAGAATTAAGTTTCGATGAAGTCACTTCTGATGTTTTATCACAATTACTATCTAAAGAAAAGACTGGTTTTGTTATTCCATTAGGACTCAGTAAAGCTGGACTGCTTTCATCTGAATGTAATCCTGGCATGCTTTTGGATTCAAGTCTATTTTCCTGACTATCTCCTTTATCATGTCCATTTTCCATTTGATTTATCCTAGTTTCATGTAAGCTATGTCCATTTTCATTTGATTCAGACTGATTTGTTCTACAACTGGTCTCTGTGCTGTCATAACATGTTGTATTAATATCAACAGACAGAAATTTCTGAATAGCTGGAAATAAACCCTCCATCCATGGTTCTGCAGCTATTTCAAGTCTACAAATGTAATAAAATGTATTCAATATTTATACACACACTAGATGTAATAAAGATGAAAAATCTCTACTTGGCCTCATCAATGATTACAGTTATAATGATATCTATTAGCAAGACATCAAGCCTTTTTTTCTAAGAGTAAAGACTGGATGGCTTGGAGTGTTTAAGTAGGGTGAAATTTCTTTCAAACCCTGCAAAAGGGAAAGTTAAATATCTTGCTCAGTGTGTCTGTCTAGTATCATCGTATTATGGGTTTTTGTGCTATTTAGAATGCATTGTGACATCACAATTCCCATTGAAAAAGCATGCATAGTACAAATTCATATGATGTAAGAAAACATGATCTGACGATAAAAGCAGGTTTCATATTTATATTACATAACCTATGTTACCATGTTCTCATCCCGAATATTTCAATTTAATTTGCCACAGGACATTAAACAACCATTCATTATCACCATCATATTGTTCACAATAATGCCTGCACATGGCGATGATGATTTTAGAGTTATTTCCCTTTTTTAAACCCATCAGTGATTCAGCAGTTGATTTGCTGTCTGTCATCCAAATATTTATCATAATTTCCTGTCTGTCGTCATATCATCAAATAATTCCTGTTATTATCTATTTCTAACACTAATTTGCTATTCTAAATCATTTTGTTTGTCAGCAATTTATAAAACTGTCAGTGTTTTCATAAAAATATAACATAATGGTTACTTATAAAGAGGACATTATGATGATAAAAAGATTGCCCTTGTAGTATTGACTGCAACATTAATAATGCCCTTACCTTCAGCTCAGGTATTATCTAATGAGACAAAAAGCTATATTTAGGTCAGTATATAAAGACATAGTGCAAATACATTGTATAAGTGCTGGAGGGCTTTTAAAATGGATAAAACAAATGCAAATGAATGTTTCTGTCAATACTACTGTCCCTTGGGCTGAGCCCCCTTTCTAATAGAGAAGTCATAATGCCTTTTTCATAAGTAATAAATGGAGAATGTGTCCATGGGACACAGATGATGCCCCCACTTGCATATAATGTTATATTATAAAGGGACATAACTAGAGAACTGTAAAAGTGACGCCACCCAAATTCGAACTGGATCTGTGTTTTATGGTAATAAGCATTGTGTATAAGTTTCATAATATTTGGTTGAGGCAAACTTAAGTTAGAGAACGGAAACCAATTTTGGAACGTACATACATACGAATAAGGGTTACACTTAATGCCCCCTTCGCCTAGGGGCGACGGCATAACTATCATGTAAGTATACCTGGCAATATCATATATTCATCATAAATTAATAAACTATTTGCCTACTAAATAAACAGTTCTGCAGTCGTCCAGCCTTTCCAATTTCCCCATTATATCTAAATCAACTTAACCTTACCCTACAGCATCATCTGCCCAACCAGATTCATAAAATCTTTTAGCACCAAGTTGTTCCAATCGTCTATCTATTGTTTTACCATTTTTACAGAAGTTAGTGTAGTTAGAATCACCAAGACCTTAAAATAAACGTATTCCAAATTTAACATCTTTCTACAACATGTATATAGCTACTGTGTGCATATCATAATGGAGCTTTGTAATTTAGGTCTGTATTAGCTTTGCTCAAACATTTTATCATTAATCAAAGCAAATCAACAATTTCAGGCATTTTAACTTCAAGGAATACAGAATAAGTTCTCCTTTTATGTTTAATGCTTTTGTTTGTTGATTGTCTATTTCATTGAGAACAAAATGTATAATTAATGGCAAAAAAGCCTTAAAATCTAGAGTATTTCTAAGTCCTTTCCATTTGCAAAACTTAATATTGAATCTACCAGTAATTTAATAGTCCTGCAATAAAACAGTGCTTCTTTATGTTAAAGTAATATCCTTTAGATGGTTTATTCTGTCATCAAGTGATCACAATTACTGTGAAATAGCAAAACAACATAAAATCTTGACTGTTTGATACACATGTACATGTACATATGGACATGATATAGAACACAGCCATTGCCCAAAAAGCTTGTTTTACAGGAAGCATATTTTGTGATTATCTAGTGATAACTATGATAGTTTGTTCAAAATCTTTGTGAAACTATTCAAATTTAAGCTGAAATCTGACAAATCTTCATTATTTCACAGTCAGACTGATGCTCCAAGCCTAAGAAGATTTTTACCTATACCCAGCCTTTATTCAAAAGTAAAAAATCATAATATAAATGTTATACAAATTAAGTTTCAGTTTCAGGCTAATTAACAGGGACCGAATAATCCCAAATGTACCTTCTCCCTTACATATATACTGTGGATTCATTTATTTTCATGGGTACCAATTTTTGTGGATTGAGTCAAACTTGCATTTTTGTGGATATTTGATTTCGTGATTTTGTCTTATTCTGCATACAAGTATAATAAAAAATTGTAGTTTGTTAAACATTTAAATTGTGGTTTACCTTTACCCACGAAATCCTTGAAAATTGGTATCCCACGAATAATAGTAAATCAACAGGAAGTAAAAACATTGACATCATCTTTATTTAGAAATAGCAAGGAGGTTATGTTACCTCCTTGGAAATAGTTTACAATGATAAATCAATTAACAATATTATGTTAATATGATTATAATTACACCCTATTTCTTGTCTTTTACAAGGAAGGATATTGCATTAATCTTTTTCTTGATGAAATCAGATTAATATGTTACTCTGTTCGTATATCTCATTGTAAACGTATCATTATGTATTACATAAAAATTAATGTCATATATGTAGATATATTTTATGTACTTAATTCAAATGCACCTATATATAGCTATTACTTTAGAAGATTAATTGAAAAGAATTCAATTCCAACTGTGTGACATATCTTTATTATTTTGTTTTACTTTTTCTAGTCAAAATCGGGTATTAAGAGTATTTTTTTTTTACAAAATTAGGCAGAGTTTTTCTATATAAAATTCTGAAGATGAAACAAAGTAGAATTGATAAATGTACACAATAGTTTCTTTTAAATCTTTAAAATTGTGCTTTATGAAAATAACGAAATTACCTTGTGCTTTAATCTTATTTAAGATACTGGTTATCATGTAATATGCTATGAAATGGCCTTTATATTCCTGAAATATTAAGGAATAGTATCTTTCAGCCGTACAATGACTACTTGTCATTTGGATGTTCTTTTTCTAATTTTTTGTTTATATAGTTTGGGCTAATAAGGCCAATAATGCTCTTGCCTTTGGACATGATACTGACCTAAAAGTGCATAGTTGAGATTCTCTAAATGATTTGAAGGGAGTGTCTTCTTCTTGAGACGTCTAACAAATTTGTGTGCTGTGTCTGGTGGCTCTCCATCCCCTGTTGTAGATGTAACTATGACCACACAATGTTCTCGTTCAATATTAAACTGTGAAATAAATGGAGAATGTAGGAAACATATGAACATGAGTCATAACATATCATTTATCTGAACATATTTTTGTTCAAATAATCATTCCCAACCAAAAAATAAAAAAAAGCAGCTGTACCATGGCATTAAATAAAATTATGTGACAATTTCATTAAAATCAAGTTAGCAGTTAAGGATAAGTGCAGATATAAGATGTGGTGGATGCCAACTCCCTTTTATACATATGGTTAATATAAAAATAAGGAGATGTGGTACGATTGCTAATGAGACAACTATCCACCTGAGTACAAATGATTGATGTGGATAAAAATATAAATAAGACCTGCAAAAAACAATTAATACTTCTATGATACATTTGCAGCTTAATTCAAATCCAGTCAGGCAGTCACTGATTAAGGAGAAGTTGTAGATACATGTGCTGACAAGACAAACATTGAACAAAAAAAAACAATCATTATAATACATATAAAGCCACATCAGTAAGTGGATGTTGAATAAAAGGAAGATGTTGGGTATACATGTTATGTTACATGTGGGTATATGTTAATGTTAACTAAAATAAAACCAAAAAAATACCAAGAATATGTGTCCGTAGGACAAAGCCCCGCTCGCACTTTCACATTTCCATATATCATACTTAACGGCTAAATTTCTGTCCAAACCCTAATTTGACATAGATTTTTGAAAGTTCAACTGGGATAAGTAAAAAATACAGATGACTCACTTTCTTTTCTGTCTGACTCAGGCAATGTAGGTCAGCTGTAAGATTAAATTTCTCTGCGTTTTCAGCAATCTCCTCTGATATAGCTTTAGCCTGTCCTGTCTGGGAACCATACAATAGCAGAAACCGATTTTTAGTGGAAACAGGCATACTTAATTCTGAAATGAAAGAGTCAATGTACATGAAGTATCAATTTTATATGAGGCACATTTTTAGATAACAGTACTGATTATTACAGATCTATTGATGTCTATTCATTTGACATTAGAATCATATTTTAATCTAAAATATATATCAATTTGCATCTGCTTTTTTCTTTAAAAAAAAGTCATGTGAAATTTCAAAATCTCAATGATACAGTCTTCTGCATCCAAATTCCAAAATGATAATTCCAGGATTTTTTTCAACATATATCACATATCTTTATTGAAGAGTCTGTGCTTTGCTTGAAGGTTAAGTGGAACTCTTTTTTTTTTTGCTTTGTTAACAAAGTCATGTTCTAATTCTATAAAACATAGGGAACATATATCTGATGTTACAATCAAACTTATCTAGAGAATAGTTGTCTCAATGGCAATCATACATCATATTCTTATTTTCATATTGCAACTTGCTGTATCTTGAATGATGCTGATCAAAATGGATATAAATTTGTGGGTGTTGCTCACTAGGAAATTTAAATAAAATATTCTAATAGTAAGTCTCTGTGTTTTCCCTAGAAGGTTTATGCATGGTGGTGCTTCCAGGCATTAAATTTAGGTCTATATCCTTTAAAGTTTGAAATGCCCTACTTTACTATATAAGCCCCCATCCTTTGGAATTCATGACCACCATCCTTTCAGTCAATCCCCTATAATAATAATAATAATATTAATAATAAAATTCTTTATTTACAAAGGTAACTCATTTAACAATAACATGTTAATCTTCCCTGAGGCCTTCAAAAACTATTAATACAAATAGAAAAAGATACAAATAAATAAAATATATAATACAGTTAACTATATAACATGTATAAAGCAGCTTACACAATGTACATATTGAATAAGAACATTTGCATTCAATAGAAGAAAACATTCATTAGATTCAGGTATCTTCATTCTGTACAGTAAAAAAATGTTTGAATATTTGATCTTAAATGTATCTAAATTATTTATTTCCTTAATATTATTTGGCAAATTATTCCAGGTAATCAGGTATTAAGACCAGAATATTTAAATGTTAATATTGGTACATGAAGAAGTCCTGATGTTGTCAACCTGATTGAATAATTATAAAGATGATGATCAGTACAAACAGTAAAATTTATTAGATAGATAATCAGGTGCTAGGCCATTCATACATTTAAACATTAGGACAGCTTGAAAATATTGTATCCTCGTAAATATAGTCATCCATTCAACATGTTCAAGCTCTTTAAACATTAAAGCTGATGGAAAATCAAAAGAAACAGATAAAACTAATCTTGCAGCATGTTTTTTGAGCTTAAGAATCCTTTCCAGATTACAGTTTGTGGTAAGACCCCATATTGTACAACAGGAGTCAAAAATGGGTAATATACAGCTACTGTAAAAAAGAATAAGACCCTTTAATAGTAAATAATGTTTCAACCTTTTTAACAGGTACATGTATATTCTGGTTGAAATAATTTCACATATTTTATCAATTTGATTTGACCATGACAGATTTTTATCAATATGGATTCCAAGAACTGTATCTAAAGCGATATTACCTTGTAATAAAACACATAAACATTCATTGCAGCTTTCAAGTTTTCTGTCTGATCCAACAAGCATACATTTTGATTTCTTGTTATTTATCAGCATATCATATACTTTACACCATTCACATGATTTAATGACATTTTCTTAGTCTTTATTCAAACATATTATAAATTTACAATAGATTTCGATGACAAATGCATAGTTGTATCATCAGCATATAGATCAGATTCTGTACATTCTAAAGTTAATGGTAAGTCATTGATATAAACAAGGAATAATAAAGGTCCGAGTATAGAGCCTTGAGGAACTCCAAAAGTTACAGTTTTATATTCCGATTCAGTGGTTCCTAACTTAACTTTTTGCATTCTCTGAGAGATGTATGATGAAAACCATTTTACAGACTGGTCATCACATTTATATAATTTTAGTTTTGACAAAAGGATATTGTGATTTACAGTATCAAATGCCTTATTAAAATCTAAAAAAAAAAAGAATAGCACTAAAATTTCCATTGTCTAATTCTTCTAACCATTTATCAATTATTTTAATGAGTGCTGTATGACAAGAATGTTTTTCTCTAAATCCAGTCTGCTGTTGTATTAATAACTTGTGTTTTTTTTTTAAATAAATATAGTTGTTTAAAGACAGTTTTCTCAAATAACTTGAAATAACACAGTGGGTAAAATTGAAATCCTTTAAACAATTTCTATGGAAAACACTGATACTGTTTGTATGTATTGTACACTTTTAAATGGTGAAATGGTCAGGAAGGTTGGTTTTCTTGAATTAGATTTTTGAAGTGTTGACCAACAAAGTAACAGTCTGTAGGAAGACATGTCATACAATTCTTACCACTTCAATAATATTTGAGGAAATCAGTCAGCCAGATTTTTATTCATGTTTGTAACTGTAGACATTCAACATGTCCAAGTCAATAAAGGAAACAAACAGGAGTCCAAGATCAATGTACATGTATCTTGTCCAAACAATTAATTAAAGTGCTTGTAAATATTGAGATGGTAATGATTGCTTTAAATAATATGCATTGTGAACTTAAAATTGAACATTGCATTGTATCCATACCTATCCTAACACATTACATCGATGTTTTGGTTAAGCACCGTTACAGTCCCCACATTTATAGATAAGGGCCGCTTAAGTCTAGAACCCTCTTTATAGTATATTTAAAATATTTCAAAAAATTTTACCTACCACCAAGAACGTATAACTAAAGTCTAACATATCTAATATATACGTCCTTGCTACCACCAACCCTATTTAGTAGGAAACAAGCATATATATATTTTTTTTGACTTAGCACCCTTCTTTCTTCAAATCATGGCTGGAACATGAACATGGTTTTTGTAAATTAAAAAAAATGTCTCCTTGATCCACTATTTATTGTTTATAAACACATTAATTTTAAGTTCATAAATTTTAGTTAATTTTTTTTAATGCAAAAATTGTGATGTAGGTTTCAAAAAATTAAAAAAATGTATATATATTAATTTTGATAGTATTATTCATTTATATGCAATATTTCATGAATTGTAATAAATGCACACAAAAATTTCTGGATTTTCAGTAATTCAATATTGTGTTTTTATTTTATTATGTCACATGCTATAAATATAGTGTAATCATAATGACAATGAAGATTTGAATTGAATTGAATATTTCTCTTGTAATATTATGAAATGTATTCCATGTAACACTTATATATAAAATTTTAATTATCAATAAAATAAATATGTTTAATTTACATTGTAGTTATTTTACAAACTGTATTTATGAAATTTACCCACCTCAACTCTATCTCAGTTGGTAAATTAAGAAATATTCTATTGTGTAGATCAAAATTTAAATTAACTTTCTTAATTTCAGATTTTCTGTGTTTACGTCTGCATGTCACTTCATTCGTTTGTAAAATGAAAGTAACCGGAAGTCGATAAATATATATAGTATTCTGCAAACTGGTACCCACTTACACTGCACAATAGTGAGGAGCAATAGTTGAAAATCTAATTTATACAAAATATTGTTAACAAAACGAACTATTGGAAATCTTTATACGTACATATTCGTAATTGGTCGGTAGTTCGGATTTTTGAGAAATTGTGTATTGATCTGCATCTAAATACTGAAAAATTATAAATGTAGGATTTATAGTCGAAAAGGGCCTATTGTTTTAGAATTTATTTCACACCCGAACGCCATTTTAAAAAAGTATTTCAAGCTATACTATATTAATAATATAACAACTCCGTGTGTGTTCTAACAATATTACGGCTTATTTCTATTCAGATTATAAATGCCTATAGATAGTCCAAACCCGTTATATATTTTGATAAATTTTGGAAATTTTTTATCCTATCTATACGATATTACAATTATTATAACAGTTGTTTATACATATATAAACTACTGTTATAATTGTAATATCGTATGGATAAGAGCAAGAACACGGTAGATAAATGAAACTAAGTTTAAATATTCACACACACACACAGAAAATTTACTAAAAACAAAATAAAACACACAAAAAAACATGTTTAGAAAAAGGGGCGTTCATTCACCAAACGTCTGAGCGTAACATAAGCAGTCTAATTGAGCTTTACACCGACATGTGGTATGATTGTCAATGAGACAACTTCCCACCGAAGACCAAATGACGTAAAAGTAGAAACAGAACCGTTTTATCACAATTATATTGCATAACAAGCTATGTTCTTATATTCCATCTGTATCTTTCTAACTTCTGCCAATAAATGCACACCTCCACTAGTTGGGAGTAATGGAATTCCTAATCAAAACAAGAGATAAGGTACACGTGGTTGACGGTCGCAGTTGTAACGCCGGAGATCAAACTTGGATGTTTGATGGAGTTGCTCGCTATGAAATTTAATAAGATATTTTTTTAAGAACGTATGATATATTTGTACACTTGAAATCGTGCCAAACATGTTCTTTCTCTAGAAAGTTTTTGTATCATCAAATCATGCAAAATGACTCTGCCTGAGCCTAATATAATACCTATACCCAAGTTATTATGATCATATGGATCCGCATGATCACACGAAAGAATTGTTTTTAAAATGTATAAACTGATTAATTATTGAACTAATGATTTTTTTATCGTCCCTTGCCCGGCCCCGGTTTCTTCTCTCCCCCGTTTTTTTTTTTTTTTTACAATTGTCATGGATTTAATTCCACACCTGCACTTTCCTGTTGATCTATGATACATAAATTATTGTATCAAGAATCCGGGCTTTACATATCACTCAAACAGGTGTTGTATGGGTTTTTTTTTAGATCACCAAAACTCGGGGAAGGATAATCACCTACCGTGATTTTTAAGACGAACACAAAAAGAACAACAACAAAAGAAAACTACTTTTTATTTTTGAGAATAGGAATCTGTGATTCTAGCACTACTTGCTATACTTGGTCATACAGAAACAACACACCGTGATGGCTTGCTTAAATTATTTATTTATATTCATTTTACAACATATGCGTATTCTATCCAGTCTCCAAGAATATACAGAACAGGGACCTATCAGTACAGTTTATATATCAAGCTCAAAATCGTCCTGAGTCTAAACAAATAGTGAATAAATTTAACAGACACAATAAAAAGTCTGAATATCTAGTTTTTATCGGGTTTTCAATTTGGAGTATAACGAAATATAGAGTTCTATATTTTGATTAGACTGACATGCTCTGCAATAAATATATGAATATGAAAAAGATGAAAAATACAATAGAGAAAAAAAAGAGTAAACATGAATTTTTGTATAAATGTATATACAGTGTGAAATGCTTGGGTTCTTATTGGATGATGAAGCAATAACATCAAGGGTTAAAATGTTTGCTTTTGATAATATATTTCTGCACCAAACTTTATATATATAAATAAATGACTAGTTTGCTTATCTGGTAGTACCATTGAGCCAAAAAGCAAAATTTGTGTGTCAACAAGAAGAACTGAAACAGAAGCTAAGCTTGAGTTCATGTCTTAAATCGGTGTATATGGGACAAGGTAACAGGAAGTGAGAATTTGTTTCTAAATCACCACAATGCATGACAGTTTGGGGAGTTTACTAAACTACGAAGGAATAGGTCAGAATTCAATGAACTTGAATACATCATTAAGAGAGCATGAAGAATTTGACCAATTAAGACGATGTCCTACATAGTAATACATTGGGACCATACTATTTTGGGCGTTGTTTTTTTGAATAATGGTAGAGTTTCACATTTTCTTATGTTTAGTTAAGTGTGTTCCATAGTCTTGTTGTTGCTGGGATAAAATATTCAGAATATAAACGGGTCCGTGTGTTTAATATGTGCGTATTGAACTAGCTTCTTGTTGTCTCTCAGACATATATGATTTTATCCAATTTATCATATGCTCTACGATATGATAAAATTTTAGCTTTTCTAAAAGATGACATGGTTAATAATATCTAAAGTCCTTACTAAAATAAAAATAAAAATACTGTACCAACTATTTCTCCATTATCTAAATATTTTAACCATTAGCAATCTAATTAAAAATATAGTTCTCAGCAATCTAATTAAAATATAGAACTCGGATTTCGTTATACTACGTATGTAGTATAACGAAATCCGAGTTCTATATTTTAATTATGTAGTATAACGAAATCCGAGTTCTATATTTTAATTATGTAGTATAACAAAATCCGAGTTCTATATTTTAATTAGATTGAGTTCTCAGGGGCGGATCAAGGATTTTAGGTTAGGGGCGCAAACATAAATTATCGCCGAGCGGAGCGAGTCGAACATTTTTTGAGGCAAAGTTATCGAAATATTCTTTATTAAGCTGAGGACAACCCATGTTTTGCAAATTTTAGGGGGCGCACGCCCGCCACGCCCCCGCCTGAATCCGCCCCTGGTTCGTTATACTCATATGAGTATATACGAACACGCGAGTTAATATGGATCAGAATTTTCATCGGATTGAACCATTCGTCAGTTAGTTAGGTTAGGGCGATTCGACAAGAATGGACACGTCTGAAACCAGACTGAGCTATATGTAATAGTTCTTTCATCTGATTAAAATACAGATCCTATATGTCCAAGCTTTGTCAACAATGATTGGACACAGGGTCCGTATTTTAATCAGATTGTATTTTTTTTTATTATTCAAGAGTTCATATAATTATGTGCAGACATGTCTTTCAAAAATCTTAGAAATAAATGGAATTAAATTTTTAAGAATAACGATCAGATGTTATACTTTTGTTTATTAAAAAGGTCAGAGATGGAGAAATCATCTCGGCATGCACTAAGCTTTAATAGAATTAGGACCAAGCCCACCCTAACCTGTTGATTTCATTGATTATCATTAAGGGGTATCAGTCAGCCCTTAAACAGAAATGAGGTTTATTTAAAATTTTCTGTTTCCTTCTATTTTTTTGTAAATTTTTGTAACAAAGAAAAATCCATATCTGAAGTATTATTTCCAACAAGTTTTCGGCAATGAAAATATAATGTATTAACAATATCTTATGGTTATAAAAAGTTTGATTTTCATACGACTATAGCTAGGTGGAAACATCTTATCCAGTTTTGGATTAAACTCTCTAATAGGAATCAAAGTTCTTTAAACTAGTTGACAATCACAAGCATCTTGGTGTTTATTTCCCTGATAATAGATTTCGGCAAGACCATATCAAATACATAAGGCAAAATCCACAGTGTATTGATGTAAATATTCTCTTTTGGCATCGGATCGTTTAACCGATGAAAAAATAGAACTATCTTTGTATTGGTACAGAAATATATATATATATAGATTGCCTAACAATGTAATTTTAACACACTATTTAGTATGTAAATATAAGAATGTTTAAAATATTTACAAAATGATGAAAATAAACGCAATATTTCGCTAGACTAACTAGCTTTATCAAGCGTGCATCTATCCAGGTGAAATCGGATGTAGATGATAAGAAACTTTTGCAGCTCAATGTATATGTTGCACTTGAATTTAGCTGCCTTGAAAATAATACATAATTTGGATGAAGTTCAAGATTTTTACAAAATTGGTAGTTGAAGTTAGCAACGTCCATTGGCCAATATTACAGGATAAAAAGGACGATGCTGTGTACTAAATTATTCTTTATCTTTCCTGTATCTTTTCTCATCTTTTTCGTTAAGACCATCAGGTTCTAAAGTGTGGAGTTGGTGGATCCAAAAATTTTCTCTTCTCCTTCTCGCCGTGGTGTCCCACTCGGTGTTGACTTCTATGATTTGGAAGGTAACATTATCAAAAGAATGTTTCGTTGAACGAAGATGTCTTGTGAGAGGACAGTTTTTGTTTGTTTTGTGACCATGAACGATGGTTACCGAGTGGGACACCACGGCGAGAAGGAGAAGAGAAAATTTTTGGATCCACCAACTCTACACTTTAGAACCTGATGGTCTTAACGAAAAAGATGAGAAAAGATACAGGAAAGATAAAGAATAATTTAGTACACAGCATCGTCCTTTTTATCCTGTAATATTGGCCAATGGACGTTGCTAACTTCAACTACCAATTTTGTAAAAATCTTGAACTTCATCCAAATTATGTATTATTTTCAAGGCAGCTAAATTCAAGTGCAACATATACATTGAGCTGCAAAAGTTTCTTATCATCTACATCCGATTTCACCTGGATAGATGCACGCTTGATAAAGCTAGTTAGTCTAGCGAAATATTGCGTTTATTTTCATCATTTTGTAAATATTTTAAACATTCTTATATTTACATACTAAATAGTGTGTTAAAATTACATTGTTAGGCAATCTATAATTTTATTTGTGTAATTGAATTAATCTCTGTACTGATTAATCCACACTCCCATAGATTTGTATGTCATGTGCTGCTATTTATAGGCACTTATATATATATATATATATATATATATTGCGTGAAAAGTAAAAGGTTCACACCATAATATGAAAGCTTCATTTGTATGTTCTCCTTGCATTTCATTAGTTTATTTCATTCACTTGGGTTTTTTTCTTCCTTTTTTCTCAAACTGCAATATAATCAATCTTTATATTTACTTTTCTTACTATATATTCGATCGTATTCCAATTTACAGAACATATATGCTTCAAGTATTCATTATTTTGTATGTCATCAGTTTATATGCCGGAGACAAATTAAAATAAGGAATGTTACTTATTTTTGGATCCTATTGTTTATAATGTATTAGCTTATATAGCAGAATTTGATTTATTGAATAAAATAGTGTTTAATCCAAAATTCATTACTATTTTCTGGGACATAATATATTGACATAGTATAATAGTCCCAGCTAATTGTTAACGTAGACATAACGGTTTTGAATTCCTTTTTTTTTTGCATTTAATATTGAGTAAGTTGTTTTTAAAGTTGACCCAGTCAAATAGAAATAATCATATTAATGAAAATTGCAAATAATCATATAAATCAATTTAAAAAAAGGATGTAATGCATCTTTTGCAGAGTTTAAAACAGATACTTCGTTTCGTTCACAATTTCGATAAATATGATTGACAACTGGTTTCCGAATTCAAAGTACTAACAATGCATGCTGGGTAATTAAACCAAAAAAATTGCGGAATGAAAACAATGTTTCGCATCAACGAGCATGAAAATAAGGCGTGAACTAAGACCTTTTACCTTTTTAATTGTATAAATATGTCAGAAGATGTAGATGTTGATCTGAGGGAACAAACATTCCACAATGCAGTTCGAGAGGTTATTGTAAGTGTCTGGCGACTAAGCAAAAACTTTTTTTCTTCTGCGCTTTCGAATGAATGACGCTTCTACACTACAGTATCACTATCAAATTATGCATTGAACTGGTTGTTCAAGATATAATAGCTTTATCATTTCAATTGGTATATATATATATATATATATATATGTATGCAATTACCTCCCTTTAACATTTCAGGATAGAATTATTCGTTTCTGAGATATGGGCTAAGATTGTAAGAATCTAACTTTACATTCATGATTCTATACTTACGTGACTTAATTACATGTAGCATGAGCAGTTTTTTTGAAGAGCCTGCAGCATTTATGTCGTGAAAGTGAGACAAAGCGATCCTAGATTTCAGTGTCAGTGGTATCAACATTTAGGTTTAGTCTGTGGTTAAAGTTTTTAGACATCAATAACGTTGTCAAACCTTCATGGAATTTTATGAAATTTGGACAGAAGCTTGTTTATGGGTACCACGATTTCTCGAGGATTGCAAGAACAAATTAATATCCCGAGGACAAATTGATTTGTCCCGAAAACATGATTTTACATGGTGTTATACAGCTTAAATTAGTGTAACAGCATACAATTATAAGGTTTAAGACGTTTATACTCAATAAAAGTACAAGTTATCTTCGGAAAATCGATTTGTACGTCTTGTATGCAAATTCCTTGTTGAAAATGCATGGCGGACGTAATTATTCATAAGGTAGATAACTCGACTTGAAAGCAAAGTACTGTAATTTGATAAACTTAAATACCCGAAAGAAGCTATGATAACTGTATTAACTTTTCATCATTTCAGGTTTTTTAAAGAATCTATTCTTTCAGTACTTTTAATACCTTTATTTTTTTAAGTTGTCTACCTTTTGAATAATTATGTCCGCCATATTGTTTTCAACAAGGAATTTGCATACAAGACCAACTATTAAATCCATTTCTTGAAGTGAAATTGCACTTTTATTGAGTAAAAACGAATAATATCTTATAATTATATTCTTTAACATTGTTTTAAGTAGTATACCACCATGTAAAATCATATTTTCGGGACAAATCAATTTGTCCTTGGGATATTCATTTGTTCTTGCAATCCTCAGGAATTCGTGGTACCGCTTGTTTATTACCAAAAGACAGTATCCAGAGCTAAATTTTGAAAATCATTTTTCCTTATTTTACTGATAAAGGGACTTAGTTTTTTTTTTTTGCAGTTAACATTCAGATTTAGTCTGAGGTTAAAGTTTTTCAGTCTTCAATAACTTTGTCAAACCTTCATGGAATTTTATGAAATTTGAACAGAAGCTTGTTAATGACCTTAATACAGTATCCAGAGCAAAATTTAAAAAAAAATTATTTTACTGATAAATGGACTTATTGATACAATTTGTAATTTATTTTTGTTATTTAATGTTTACTTATTCAGTGTTATATATCTAGTCTCACTAAAGGGGCCTCGGTGGCCGAGTGGTCTAAGTAGTTACTACTGTAATCACTAGCCAGTCAACACTGAGGTTGTGAGTTTGAACCACGCTCGTGCGGGTGCACTCGACTCCAATCTTAATTGACTAGGATTGTCAGTTTTCCTATCGAAGGTCGTGGTTTTCACCGGGCACTCCGGCTTCCTCCACCAATAAAAACTGGCCGCCATGAAATAGCCCAAAAGTGGTGCTTAAAAGTGGCGTTAAAACACCAAAAATCAAAAATCTAGTCTCACTATTTTTAATATATACCACCTTTGATAAGTGTTTAGTATGACGATAAATTTTCACTTTTGTTCTTGTACTTGTATTCATTCAGTGTATGTTCACTTGTTTTGTTAATATGTCTTTTGATTTGAGTTAAGCCATTTCAATTGATATTTTACACTAGTCATTTTTAGAGCTCTTTATAGCTTGCTGTTTGGTGTGAGCCAAGGCTCCCTGTTGAAGGCTGTACTTTGACCTATAATGGTTTACTTTTACAAATTGTGACTTGGATGGAGAGTTGTCTCATTGGCACTCATACAAAATGTACCATGTCTTCCTATATCTATTAGTTTTTTTTTCACAGTTAGCAAGGAGATACAGTCTGGGGTTAGAGTTTGTTACACATTGATTGCTTTGTCAAACCTTTATAGAGAAGAGAATTTTATGAAACTTTGGCAGAAGCTTTTTATTAATAGTATGTCTGAAACAAACTTTTGAAAAAAAAAATTCATTCTCAGTATTTTTCTGATAGACGGGATTAAATTTTGTTTACATGATACATTTGTAAACCTTCATGGATTATTATGAAACTTGGACAGAAGCTGATCTTCAAGACCAAGAAATAGCATCTAAAGAAAAAGTGATTTTTTTTATTCGGCCATGCTGGATCTATGTGATCACTCCGGATTTTGAGATGGTGCAGAATACTAAGTTGAAGACATATCAAGAAACTAATTTTGTGTTGTTTTAATTCAGAATTATACATGAAGTTAACTTTAAATGAATGATTATTGTTGCCTGTATGTAACAATATGGCAGCCTTTGATAACTTAATTATTACCATAGCACTAAAAGTACATGTACATTTTTGTAAGTTGTTAAAGATGAACAATACATTTAATATTAATAAATGCATTAAATTCTATTCTGGATATAACTTGGTTAACTGAGACATCTATGTGAATCTAGTGGCTTAGATTTATAGTCGACACCAAGGCTTCCAAAACGGTCATATATTCCGGACATTTGTATAATGTCCGGTAAAAGTCCGGCTGGGCAAAGCATGAAACGGACATCTACTTTTTAGTTTTCAAGGCTTAAGAGACGGTCATTTTAACATAATTCGCGATCTTTTTGACCCAACCTTTTGCCTTTAACAGCCACACATTTCCGGTCATAAAAGTGACATGATCATTAAGTACTATCAAAACAACCCCCCTACTTTAATACCTTCTCATTTTAATCAAGGCTAATTAGTTGTCGAACAGCTGAAATTACCTGTTCAGGTGACAGGTAAACTATTTTGAACCGGACATTGATCGGTCTATTCAGAGTTATTTTCTTACATTTCAGCGGTTTGCATCTAATTAATTTAGTTAAAAAGATGAAATTATCAGAAATACATTTACAAATATGATTTGATGAAAAAATTAAAAAGGTGAAAATGAAAAATCGTCATAACCACGTTGTTTGAATGAACCAGAGACATGTCTCTGTTTGAACTAGTACACGTGTGCGCATGTGCGCAGGTGTGAAATTTAATTATGCATCCTAATTTCTTCAAAAAATGCTTAAATTGTCATTGATACCTTTATCTCACGTTTATTTCGAATATTTTTTTGAAGAAATAACGTAGAAAGAGCTACTTACACTCATTCATGCTTTGCAAACGTACACGGAATTTATGTATCCGTCTCTGGTCCATGTTTTACCATTGTCAAGATAACATCCGGTTTAGATTTAAAAACGAAAGTAAAGTTTTTGACAACATTATTTTGCACAAATAAAGAGTCTAAGCAGATATAAGTACGCTGATGTTGCACACTTCGAATGATGCACTGCCAATTTAACAGTTTACGTCAGAACTTCGAATTTGAATCAAAGAAAGTTTTATATCGTTTTTTTTTTAATGTCAATCATTGGGATGGCCAACTCGGCAACTGATTACCATAATTGCCTTTTATTTATTTAGTCTGAAGGGATTAAAATCGGGATAATATATAAAATGTCCGGCTGGCTAAAAATAATTTTGGAAGCCCTGGTCGACACACCGAATTACTTATCTTGGAATAGTGATTTGAATAAGTTTTACATATTTACTTATTTCTCTGTCACTTTTGAACTGATAGTATTTAGTTAGGCTGAACAGTTTTTATACAACCGCAAAAAAATTGTGTTTGTATATTGCTATCACATCGTCGTCGCCCTAAGACATTTGGTTTCTGGACAATAACTTTAGTTTAAGTGTATGAATCTCTATGAAATTTAACCAAAAGGTTCAATACCGCAAAAGGAAGGTTGGGATTGTTTTTGGGGGTGATGGTCCCCACCGTTTAGGAATTAGGGGCCTACAACAAGCATTTTTTAGCTCACCTGACCTGAAAGGTCAAGTGAGCTTTTCTCATCACTTGTCGTCCGTCGTCCGTAAACTTTTACAAAAATCTTCTCCTCTGAAACTACTGGGCCAAATTTGACCAAACTTGGCCATAATCATCATTGGGGTATCTAGTTTAAAAAATGTGTCCGGTGACCCGGCCAACCAACCAAGATGGCCGCCATGGCTAAAAATAGAACATAGGGTAAAATGTAGATTTTGGCTTATATCTCTGAAACCAAAGCATTTAGAGCAAATCTGACATGGTGTAAAATTGTTTATCAGGTCAAGATCTATCTGCCCTGAAATTTTCAGATGAATCGGACAACCCGTTGTTGGGTTGCTGCCCCTGAATTGGTAATTTTAAGGAAATTTTGCCGTTTTTGGTTATTATCTTGAACATTATTATAGATAGAGATAAACTGTAAACAGCAATAATGTTCAGCAAAGTAAGATCTACAAATAAGTCAACTTGACCAAAATGGTCATTTGACCCCTTAAGGAGTTATTGCCCTTTATAGTCAATTTTTAACCATTTTTCGTAAATTTTTGTAATCTTTTACAAAAATCTTCTCCTCTGAAACTACTTAGACAAATTTAACCAAACTTGTCCACAATCATCATTAGGGTATCTAGTTTAAAAAATGTGTCCGATGACCCCGCCCGCGAACCAAGATGGCCGACATGGCTAAAAAATAGTACATAGGGTAAAATGCAGTTTATGGCTCATATCTCTGAAACCAAAGCATTTAGAGCAAATCTGATGAGGATAAAATTGTTCATTAGGTCAAGATCTATCTGCCCTGAAATTTTCAGACCAATCAGGCAACCCGTTGTTGGGTTGCTGCCCCTGAATTGGTAATTTTAAGAAAATTTTGCAGCTTTTGGTTATTATCTTGAATATTGTTATAGATAGAGATAAACTGTTAACAGCAATAATGTACAGCAAAGTTAGATCTACAAATAAGGCAACATGACCAAAATTGTCAATTGACCCCTTAAGGAGTAATTGCCCTTTATAGTCAATTTTTTACAATTTTCATAAATTTTGTAAATTTTTGTAAATTTTTACAAAGTATTTTCCACTGTAACTACTGGGCCAAGTTCATTATAGATAGAGATAATAGTAAGGAGCAAGAATGTTCAGTAAAGTAAGATCTACAAACACATCACCATCACCAAAACACAATTTTGTCATGAATCCATCTGTGTCCTTTGTTTAATATGCACATAGACCAAGGTGAGCGACACAGGCTCTTTAGAGCCTCTAGTTTAGTTTCAGGACCATAACTTGTGTATAAGTATTTTGATTTCTCTGAAATTGTACCACAAGGTTCAATACCACAAGTAGAAGGTTGTGATTCATTTTGGGGGTAATTGCCCAAACCGTTCAGGAATATGGGGCCGAAAAGGGTATAAAACAAGCATTTTTATACGTCCGTTTACGGGACGTATTATGGTATACCGTTGTCCATCTGTCCGTCCGTCTTCAACATGTCGGACATTAACTCAAAAACGCTTTAACCAATTTGCATAAAACTTTGGTGAATTGTTTATATCTATTGACGTGAGCTCCCTTTCGTTTTTTATAAATTTTAGATTTTACGTTTCCGAGTTATGGGGTTTTATTCATTAAAAAAGGGGGGATTTTCCAGTTTTCGGACAATAACTCAAAAATGCTGTCAGCAATTCTCATGAAACTTTGGTGAATTGTTTATATCTATTGATGTAAGCTCCCTTTACATTTTCATAAATTTCTAATATGACATTGAGAATTAATTGAACTTTATTTGTTTATAGTCTGACAACAGATTTACTAAGTATTGCTCAACAGCACAGTGTATTGCACAACAGCAAGAAATCTTCAATTGAATATAAATTCAAATCATATAACCAATTTCAAGTTCTTTGACTACATTTATTCTGTGTCAGAAACCTATAATGTGTCAAATATTTAATTACAATCCAAATTCAGACCTGTATCAAGCTTGAATATTGTGTCCATTTTTGCCCCAACTGTTCAGGGTTGGACCTCTGCGGTCGTATCCAGCTGCGCTCGGCAAAGCAGTTTATTATATAATTTTATTGTTTTTCTTTCAGATTTTCCTGCTGTTATTTATTCTGTTGTATGTGAGTTCATATGTTGTCCTGTGTTATTTCAAGAGAAAAACAGACAATGATGAGATGTATGCAGGTATATTTATAAGTAGAGACCGAAAAGAATGGAATTTCAAACCCCCTTAGTTGTCTAGATGCAGAAGTGTCAATGACTCGAAGTTAAAATAACTTGAGGCCAAGGTCTCTATTACTTGCATTTCTGCCTTGAATTCATCTAAGCAATGCATATCAACAGATTTCCATGACACAGTATGAATAAGAAATGAAAATAAAGTATTACTTCACTATATGAATAAATTCTAAACATATATATATATATACACAATACCTACATTTAAATCATATTTAGATATAAAGCTGCTGTGAACTTGACCTTTAATAAGAAATGAAAATAAAGTATAACTTCACTATATGAATAAATTCTAAACATATATATATATACACAATACCTACATTTCAATCATATTTACATGTAGATATAAAGCTGCTGTGAACTTGACCTTTAAACTAGTGACTTAAAAACAATTGAACCTTCTAATGACCAAGGTCTGCCTTGGTTTGATAATGAAGATACGATTTATGGCTAACTAAACTATATCAATACTTTTATGCCCCCGCCATAGTGGAGGGGCATTAAGTTTTACCCTTGTCCGTCTGTACGTACGTACGTCGTAAGTCCCAAAATTGGTTTCCGTTCTCTAACTTGAGTTTGCCTCAACCAAATGTTATGAAACTTACACACAATGCTTATTACCACAAAACACAGATCAAGTTTGAATTTTGGTGAGGTCACTTTAACAGTTCTAGAGTTATGCCCCTTTATAAATGGAAAAATTGCAAAATTTTTAGTTTACGTTCTCTAACTTAAGTTTGCCTCAACCAAATGTTATGAAACTTATACACAATGCTTATTACCACAAAACACAGATCAAGTACAAATTTTTTGTTTTGGTTTTCTAACTTTAGTTTGCCTCAACCAAATGTTATGATACTTATACACAATGCTTATTACTACATAATACAGATTAAGTACGAGATTTGGTGGTGACACTTTTACCATTCTTGAATTATGTCCCTTTATAAACATAAAAATTGCTGAATTTTTCGTTTCCGTTCTCTAACTTTAGTTTGTCTCAACCAAATGTTATAAAACTTATACACAACCGTTCTAGAGTTATGCGTGTTTACAAATAGAAAAATTGCTGAATATTTATACGCCCGTTTACAGGACGTATTATGGTATACCATTGACCGTCCGTTTGTCCGTCTTGTCTGTCCATCCGTCGTCCACATGTCGGACATTAACTCTTTGGTGGCGTTACTTTAACCATTCTGTAGTTATGCCCCTTTATAAATGGAAAAAAATGCAAAATTTTTAGTTTACGTTCTCTTAAGTTGCCTCAACCAAATGTTATGAAACTTATACACAATGCTTATTACCACAAAACACAGATCAAGTTGAATTTTGGTGGTGTCACTTGACCATTTTAGAGTTATGCCCCTTTATAAATCGAAAAATTGCTAAATTTTTAGTTTCCTTTCTGCAACTTAAGTTTGCCCCAACCAAACATTATGAAACCTATACGCAATACTTATAACCACAAAACTCAGATCAAGTACACATTTGGGTAGCGTCACTTTTATCGTTCTTGAGTTATGTCCCTTTATAATGTTGTATGCAAGCAGGGGCATCATCTGTGTCCATGGGGACACATTCTCCATTTATTTTTTTTACAATTTTCAAAGATGGTTACATGAACATGTATTGTACATGACAAATTAGCACTATTTTTAAGATATGGTGCAGAATTATTAGGTTTTATGATTCCAATAATGTGTAAGTACATATATATAAAAATAAAAAGATGTGGTTATTGCCAATGAGACAACTATCCACGACAATTCAAGCGACCTACATGTATTAAAGCAACTATAGGTCAACTTACTGCCTTCAACAATAAGCAAAACCCATACAGTATAGTAAGCTATAAAAGGCCCTACGTGACAAAATTTAAAACAATGCAAATTATTTATTGATTGCAAGTAAATTTTCTCCTACTTTTCATTTTTTTATTCCAATATTTCTTATTGTTCATTTAAAAACTGTTAAAAAAATGGATTTAGAAAAATTTCAATGAAATTTTGTAGATTAACTACACAGATCATTCCATATAATGCTGGTGGTACTTTATTAAAGGTTATTTTTTGTAGTTTTACAATTAATCTTCATATTTTTTAGGAGAGGAAGATGCAATAGTATTTAGAATTTCGTAAGTATACATGTATGTACTAAAGTGAGGAATCATCAATGTCTGTTCACTTTTTATTTTAAAGTTGGCTTATATACTTAACCATTATTAACTGACTTTTTAAAAGACAACTGAAAATGTAGGCTCTAAATGATAAAATATTGTGATCATATTTTTCAAGATGCAACTTTCTAGTTGCATTAGAGTAATTGGCCAATGAATGACAAGGTTAGAACTTTCTAGTTGTACTAGATTAATTGGCCAATGAATGACAAGGTTACAACTTTCTAGTTGTATTAGATTAATTGGGCAATGAATGACAAGGTTATCACTGGAATCATTTGACTTTCCATCAGTCATTAACATCTGGAATTTCTTGAAAAGAACAACGGAAGGAATTGAGATCAAACCTTGTGTATATGATACATTGGATTGTTGTTTATGTACCAAGCATTGGAACTGTTGGCTCTAATCACATAACAAGCCAGGTGCATGTAGACAGTAACAAAATGATTTTGTAATGGTTCAAAACATCACAGAACTTCTCTTGGGAACAGCTAAACCCAACCCAAATCTTCCTTTGGGTAGCTTTGGAACCAATTATTGAACACATTATTCATTATTAATAAATAAAAGATAATTAAATTTCTTGTGCAATAAATTATGTTTTACTTTTTTTACTGCTACCTTAAAGTACCTTTTTACACTTTTAACTGCTACCTTATAGTACTTACATTTGTGTGTTAACACCTTAAGAAAGAGATTGACAATGATTATTATATATTTCAGGTTATGGCTATGTACTTTTACCTTGGCAGTATCAGCTGGTGCTGTGTTACTTCTACCGATATCTATCGTATCCAATGAAGTCTTACTACTGTATCCTAAAAGTTATTACGTTAAGTGGTTGAACAGTTCACTTATACATGGTAAATTGACTAATATACATGTATAAAATTGAAAACTCCTACATTTCTCACATAAATTGTTACCTTATTGTCAGAATGAATATAACTGCTATAAATGTAGTTAAAGGGCTAAACATTACTGGAAATCCATACATATATAAGATTAGGATTAGCAATTTACACTGAATTGTTCAAGTTGCCCTCACCAAAGATTTGCCTCAGATTAACCCAAGAAAATTCCGTTTTAATGTATATGTAATAAAAACAATTCATAACAGCTCTTATTAAAATATTACAAGATAGCAAATTTGTTAACACATATAGTTTCAGTTATAGAAATTGCAATTAGTAGCACATCAGTCACAGCAACATTTTTTGTAAAGTCTTGAATAACTTATTTTGGAAATTACGGATAAAGTATTTCAGAGTGACAATTATTGTATATCTGAATGACAAATAATGTAATTTCTGAATGATTTTAACTCATCCATAGGGCATGTAAGGTGTAATTTTTATGCCCTTGCCACCAGGCAATGGGGGCATCAAATCCTTCCATCTGTCCCATTTTCATTGAAACTTGAGTTCTCCTCATTTAAATTTATCAAACTCATACACAATGCTAAAAACAAAAACTCGCAGACAGAGTTCTAATTTGGGCAGTGAGTCAATTACCATTCTGGAGTTATGCCTCTATATAACTTGAAAAATTGCCAATATTTTCGTTTCCGCACTCTTGATAGAGTTCTTATTTTGGCAGTGAGTCACTTACTGTTCTAGAGTTATACCCCTTTATAACTTTGAAAATTGTAATTTTTTTTCTCTTTCACGCTCTAACTAGCAATGACATTAAATGCTCTCAAAAAGTATTTTCATGTGTTATAAGCAAGCTTGAGCAGGGGTATTCATGGCCTCAGACATATTCTTTTATTTTAACATTTTAAAAAACAAAACATATGAAATAAATTTTAGAAAAGAATTTTAAAGTTTTACTTTTCTTTTGTAGGACTATGGAACCATGTGTTTCTTTTTTCCAATCTCACATTATTCATCTTCATGCCATTTGGTTACTTGTTCACAGAATCAGAAGGTTTTGTAGGGTCTCGGAAGGTAATTAAACAGATAGTTCACAGATGTCATCATTTTGGTCTATCTGGAAACTATAACACAGATGTAACATTACTAACTTCTTATTAATGGTAATTATGTCCATTATCCTGGGCATAAATTCATCAGTTTGGCTCTGTATATAGTATATCAATGTCTTATTTCGTCAGAGTTTATATTTAAATTATTGTACATCATCCTTGTAACAAAGCACAGAAAAGGTAATTGCTCAATATAATACAAACAGCTGTTATTTGTCACTTGAAGAAAAAGAAATAGCAATATGCAACATTGATGAATCCAAATATAATCAATTTTGCATTGATTTATTTTACTTTCAGGGGCTTTTAGGGAGAGTGTATGAAACCATCATAATTTTATGTTTGTTGACAATAGTTGTCATTGGACTTGCATGGGTAGCTACTGCCATGTTTGATGAAGATGATCATAGCAAAGAAACATTGTTTGGTAAGATAGTAATTTTCTATTCAACTGATATTTAAAATAAAAAATGCACCATGCATAAGTGCTTCTAGGAAAACATAACATGTATAAATGTGGAAGTGTTAGATTGTTGGTTGCTTAACCTGTACAGCAAAGATTTCATGTAAAGTCTAAAAGTGTTAGAAGCAGGATGAAAAGAGTGTAGATGACCATTATAATATGTTTTATAGCGCAAAAACACACTAATAGAAGATATATGCTGATAATAGAAGCATCCATTTTATATGGAGAGTGAAAAAAATGATACCAGTGACAATGCTAGAAATGGTTTCTCTTATAATGTTTTGACAGTGGATGGTAAAATTCATGAGTACTTGTTTGTTTTTGTTGGGATTATTATGCTGTAATAATTTCAAATTAATAGAGTAACAATGAAATAAGAGATCATTCTTGATTTCAGTCCAATAAGGAAGTGGGGTTAAATGAATGCTGTCGGAAAAATAAAATAAATGAAGCGTTTAAGCAATGGCAAGATTCTGTTAACAAATGATGAAAAATACATTGTTACATGCAGTTTATCAATTTTTATACGACCGCAAAAATTAAAAATTTTTTGGTCGTATATTGGTATGACGTTGGCGTCGTCGTCGTCGTCCGAAGACACATTGGTTTTCGCACTCTAACTTTAGTTTAAGTGAATGGATCTCCATGAAATTTTACCATAAGGTTCAATACCACAAAAGGAAGGTTGGGATTGATTTTGGGGGTTATGGTACCAACAGTTAAGGAATTAGGGGCCAAAAATAAGCATTTTTGTAACTTCCAGACAATAACTTGTGTGTAAGTGTATGGATCTCTCTGACATTGTACCACAAGGTTCCATATCACAAAGGGAAGGCTGTAATTGATTTTGGGGGTAATTGCCTCAAAATTTTAGGAATTAGGGGCCAAAAAAGGGGCAAAAAACAAGCATTTTTCTAGTTTCATGACAATAACTTGTGTGTAAGTGTTTGGATATTTCTGAAATTGTACTACAAGGTTCCATATCACAAAGGGAAAGCTGCAATTGAGTTTGGGGGTAATTGCCCGAAACGTTTAGGAATTGGGGGCCAAAAAGGGGCCAAAAATAAGCATTTTTCTAGTTTCCAGACAATAACTTGTGTTCAAGTGTATGGATCTCTCTGAAATTGTACTGCAAGGGACCATACCACAAAGGGAAGACTGGGATTGAGTTTGGGGGTGATGAATCATAAGGGGGTTAAAAAAAATTGGGGGGGGGGATTTTTTTTTTTTCTTTTTTTTTCTTTTTTTCCTTTTTTTTTTCTTTTAAAATTTTCCATTTTAATTTGGTTATTTCTGATTAATATTTAAAAGCAAATAATAATGATATGGTAGGAGATACACACCAAACAGGATGTGTAAATTATTATATAATAAGTATTGTGCAATAGCAAGAAATTTTCAATTGCACAGTATTGCACAATAGCAAGAAATCTTCAATTGCACAGTATTGCGCAATAGCAAGAAATCTTCAATTGCACAGTATTGCGCAATAGCAAGAAATATCCAATAGCACAATATTGCGCAATAGCAAGAAATTGTCAATTGTACAGTATTGCGCAATAGCAAGAAATATTCTATTGCACAGTATTGTGCAAAAGAAGATACTTCGTATAAATTGCTTATTTCTTGATCAATTTCAATGGGGTTTTATTCTTGAATTCTTGGGGTTCTTTAATATGCTGAATCTAACCGTGTATTAAGTTTTTGGATTTTGGGCCCCATTTTTAAATTGGTCCACATTGAGGTCCAAAGGGTCCGAAATTTAACTTTGTTTGATTTCATCAAAAATTGAATTATTGGGGTTCTTTGATATGCCGAATCTAACCGTGTATTTAGATTCTTAATTTTTGGTTCCGTTTTCAAATTGGTCTACATTAAGGTCCAAAGGGTCCAAAATTAAACTTAGTTTGATTTTAACAAAAATTGAATTTTTAGGGTTCTTTGATATGCTGAATCTAAACATGTATTTAGATTTTTGATTATGGGCCCAGTTTTCAAGTTGGTCCAAATCGGGGTCCAAAATTAAACTTTGTTTGATTTCAACAAAAATTGAATATATGGGGTTCTTTGATATGCTGAATCTAACCATGTATTTAGATTTTTGATTTTGGGCCCCGTTATCAACTTTGTCCACATTGAGGTCAAAAGGGTCCAAAATTAAACTTTGTTTAATTTCATCAAAAATTGAATTCTTGGGGTTCTTTGATATGCTGATTCTAACCATGTATTTAGATTTTGGATATTGGACCATAATAGGTGAATGTCCGATTTAAAATTTTTAAGTTCTTAGACCACATTCATTCTGTGTCAAATATTTAATCACAATCCAAATTCAGAGCAGTATCAAGCTTGAATGTTGTGTCCATACTTGCCCCAACTGTTCAGGGTTCGACCTCTGCGGTCGTATCAAGCTGCGCCCTGCGGAGCATTTTATTAATAGCATGTTGGGATAATACTAACTTATAAATATATTTTTGATTTTTCAGATGTTTGGAACATATATTTGCCATATTTGTATTCATTCATATCATTTCTTGGTGTCATTGTTTTGTTGTGTAAGTATTTAATAACATTTCTTGGTGTCATTGTTTTGTTGTGTAAGTATTTAATAACATTTCTTGGTGTCATTGTTTTGTTGTGTAAGTATTTAATAACATTTCTTGGTGTCATTGTTTTGTTGTGTAAGTATTTAATAGCATTTCTTGGTGTCATTGTTTTGTTGTGTAAGTATTTAATAACATTTCTTGGTGTCATTGTTTTGTTGTGTAAGTATTTAATAACATTTCTTGGTGTCATTGTTTTGTTGTGTAAGTATTTAATAACATTTCTTGGTGTCATTGTTTTGTTGTGTAAGTATTTAATAGCATTTCTTGGTGTCATTGTTTTGTTGTGTAAGTATTTAATAACATTTCTTGGTGTCATTGTTTTGTTGTGTAAGTATTTAATAACATTTCTTGGTGTCATTGTTTTGTTGTGTAAGTATTTAATAACATTTCTTGGTGTCATTGTTTTGTTGTGTAAGTATTTAATAGCATTTCTTGGTGTCATTGTTTTGTTGTGTAAGTATTTAAAATCAAACGACCAAATAATTCAGCAATAAAGAATGTTTTGATCTTTGCATTGCTGAATGTTGACACTGCAATAATCTCTTGGTTTGTCTTTTGAATTAACAATGGAGCATGTAATAAATCAGTAATCTACTAGATGTATCTTGCTGTTAGACTTGTATTGATTCTTTATTGACTTATCCATAGTGTGGATATTACACACAATTCACCGTCACAAACCTTTGATTTTGCATGTGTTTATTTATCAAACAAAATTGCTAAAAATAGAAAATTGACATAAATTATTGAACTGATGTATTCTGGAGATTCCTCAATGTTTACTTGAAATTGGTTTCCTGCTTCGTAAGGTTTGTTTTGAACAACATGTAAGGTATGAATAATCCCTTAAGGGGTCATGTTCAAAGGAACTTTTAACATCCAATCACATCATTCCCTACAATAGTTTTATTATTTCTTACTAAGGACTTTTAAAATATTATCAGATAAACTACGCAATATTTCCAGATATATTGTGTAAAAATCTAATGTTCTAACCATGTAATTCACCGACTTTGTATAGAATAAAAATGCAAACAAATGTTACAAAGCAGAGCAAAAGATCTGATTAAGTCAGATTGTTGAAATGGTTTTATGATCATTCTTTTCAGAATTATGTTGAATAGCATGAATATTGCTGTGAAAAATTGTTCTTTGTTTTTTTTTAAAGTCATGTTTATGTCAAGAAGGCAGGTGGGTGAAACAGGCTTTTTGAAATCCTAGGATTTTTAAAAATATGAGAAACTAATTCAAAAAGATTTTTGAAGCACATCAATTGTTTTGTCATATCTATTCTAAAAATCAATTTTAATGTCAAAATGAGTCAAAATTCTACTGTTTCATTGAATGCATAAGCTTGAGTTCTGGAGGGAAATTCTTAAGAACTATTTTGATACATACTGTGGATACATATATTTTCGTGGGTTCCAATTTTCGTGGATTGAGGAAAAAGTGGATATTTGATTTCGTGGTTTTGCTTAAGTCTTCATAGATAATTGGCACTTCTTTGGACATCTAAATTCATGGTTTACCTATACCCACGAAATCCACGAAAATTGGAATCCCACAAATAATAACGAATCCACAGTAGTTATTGGTATGTAACAGACTGACAATCTAAAGGATGTTATCTATATATACAAAGAACTACAATTAAGCAGTATTAAAGTTTTTTACATAATAAATTTATTATAGTTATACAAATTTTTTTCAGTATGTACACCAAATGGTTTTGCCATACTTTTTACTGTGATAGGACAATTGGTTGTTAAACCTCAGGTATGTAAAATACTCTCATTCTTTCTGGGTAACAATTTTTCTCAGCACAAGATTATTCAATTGAAGATTCAATTACACTCAAAAGAGGATATCTAATTGAAAATTTATTAAAATGCATGTAGGTATGACCAACAGTAGGAGCTTTGACTTTTCTGCTGCCTAAAGCATGATGCTATTACTTGTAATACATATAAAAAGTGTGCTAACAAATGTGCCTCTAATATTCTCTGTAGCATTTCCTTGAAAGAATATCATAGACCACTGTTGCATATATAGTTGTAGAATTGAAATTCAGTTTTGTGTTACATGATTTATATACATGAAATGTGTCATCTTGTTTATTTCTTTTTGATATAAAAGAAAGGCGAAGGATATAACATTGGTTTTAAACTGGGACATCTCAAACTGGCACCATAAGAAGGATTCACATTCAGTGAGATTTTCAAAAATGAGGGTTTTATTTTATAGCTGAGAATTCTGGGAATAATCACATCTTTTTTAAGCTAGTAGAGTTTAATGAATGCAATGGCTTACTTTCAGTTTTTACGAGATATAGAGGATGATTTATATGCAGTGCAATTACAAGAAGAAGATATACGCAGAAGAATCAACCTGGGAAACCATATGCATGGTTAGTATTAGAAAGCTTTAGATAGAAAAAGTTTTGTTTTATGTACATGTGATCAAAGATAATTCCTTCTAATCATAATTATGAAAAATTTATAATACTGAATGTTTGAAATATCTCATTTTGTGATCTATAAGTCAAAAGTAAGCATGAAATAGTTAAGATGGTTGTTTATGATTTTTTTTTTTTTTTTTGCAATACTGGTATAATAATAATGTGTCCTTTACAAAAGTATTAATGGGAGTTGTAAAATAAAGATCTAGTGTGGCTAGTGATATTTTTTGTAATGCACTACATATAGTTTCAAAAATAAAGTCTTAGGCAAATAAGACATTTGGTAACGAACCCTGATAATGGAAAACTGGATTATTTGGTGTATTTAGATTGGCATTTTAAAAGTTGTTAGGTTAATCAGTGTTATAGTTTTTGCATTGAGGAATTATTTTTGATCAGAATTAATTTACAATCATGCTCTTTTTTTTTATCAGTTCCTGGCAAGATTGCTAATGGACATACTAGCCCAGACTCACTACAGCAACAGTTACTTGATGTTCAGAATACTCTTTCTGGTTTAGGTAAGGATATTGTTAATTTTGTCTTCTTATTCTTCAATAAAGCTGGTAGAAATTTATTATTTCATCAAATTTCACTGAAAAGCAAGGATGAAATGAAGTTTAGCTTGCCACATATTATATCAAGTAAAGTAAAAAATTAAATTAAATTCTCATAATATCCAAATCATGTACAAATGTACTGCATATGACCTTTGTAGGATATTAGAAAATTATTTTTTAATGTTTTGATACTAGATTTATTCTACAACATTTATAATACTTCCTTATATGGTAATTGACACACTAGATGTTAGTATGGATCATCTGTGTTACACATAATTCTGGTTTTTTGCTGAAATGAGTTATTTGGTGTTTATTATATATACATGTATTTATTAGATTATGTATTAAGAAAGGAAATGCACTGCAAATTTTATTTTTCAAAATGTAAGTTTCATTAATGATTTCGATTTGTTACAAATTTTTTTCCAGAAAAGAAAAAGAAAGTATCACCTTGGAGAAGAAACCTGGGTTATCCTTTAGTTATGTTGTTGTTATTAGTTTTAACAGTAAGTATATAACTTTAAGCAATAATAAGATGTTATTATATATGTGATGAGGGTTTGTTTAAGGTAGCGCAATACAAAAGCAACTAAATTTTATCAAAATTTCATTTTCGGCTGTTTTTGTTACTTCTTAATATTCAAAAACCACTGAAGAAAAAATTATTTACATATCTTGCAGTGTTAATGAGTTTTGATGATAATTAGTTTTATAAACAAATGCACGTGTCTGACTGATACAAGATAAGAACATGTGGGCAGTACTATGTGGTTAATCAATAGAATCATTTGATAGCTTTACAACCACTGACCAGCAATAAAAATTACAGTTATGAAAAAGAGGTGGATTAGGGATTTATGGAAAAATGAAAGATAATGAATTCCAAATAAAAATACATTTCTGTATTGGAGATGTCAGGAGAAAAAACAAAACAACTATTTGGAGTTAAAGAGGGAATCAAAATATAAATGTACAGATTTTAAACAAATATAATTGTACAACAATAAATGTTGCTGATGTTTATACTAGAATTTCTTAAGGAGAATGTTTAAATATGAATTCTTTTTAAAAGAAAATACAAATTAAATGCTTCATTTTCAAACTGCAAAAAATGAAAAAAATCTACTTTGTGTAAAACACCATATTGTCATTGTATACAATTATAATTCTAGAAATCCCCCATAAGGATCCTCTAGACTGACCAACTGATCATTTTGTGTACACATGCATAACTTACTTTTTGTAACAATGCAAAAAACAAAATATATCATTTTTGTCGAGCCTGCGACTTTTGTCGCAGAAAGCTCGACATAGGGATAGTGATCCGACGGCGGCGTTAGCTAACTTCTTAAAAGCTTTATATTTTAGAGGGTGGAAGACCTGGATGCTTCATACTTTGTATATGGATGCCTCATGTTACGAAGTTTCCGTCAGTCACATGTCCAATGTCCTTGACCTCATTTTCATGGTTCAGTGACTACTTGAAAAAAAAGTTAAGAATTTTTGTAATGTTAAATTCTCTCTTATTATAAGTAATAGGATAACTATATTTGGTATGTGCGTACCTTGCAAGGTCCTCATGCCCGTCAGACAGTTTTTACTTGACCTCGACCTCATTTCATGGATCAGTGAACAAGGTTAAGTTTTCGTGGTCAAGTCCATATCTCAGATACTATAAGCAATAGGTCTAGTATATTCGGTGTATGGAAGGACTGTAAGGTGTACATGTCCAACTGGCAGGTGTCATCTGACCTTGACCTCATTTTCATGGTTCAGTGGTTATAGTTGAGTTTTTGTGTTTTGGTCTGTTTTTCTTATACTGTATGCAATAGGTCTACTATATTTGGTGTATGGAAGGATTGTAAGGTGTACATGTCTAGCTGGCAGGTGTCATCTGACCTTGACCTCATTTTCATGGTTCAGTGGTCAAAGTTAAGTTTTTGTGTTTTGGTCTGTTTTTCTTATACTGTATGCAATAGGTCTACAATATTTGGTGTATGGAATGATTGTAAGGTGTACATGTCTAGCTGGCAGGTGTCATCTGACCTTGACCTCATTTTCATGGTTCATTGGTCAATGTTTAGTTTACTTGGTTAATGTTAAGTTTATGTGACAGTTGTAATAAAGCTTTATATTTAGGACTATCAACATAATATCAATGATTAGTAAAGAAGGCGAGACATTTCAGCGTCTGCACTCTTGTATGTACTAAAAGAATAAAATCCATATTGAAAAAAGTAAATCAGTGTTCTCCCCAGGCCCTTAAAGGACCGCGGGCCCGCGATGTATAATTTTTCACCGTGGTGGTATCGTTCTTACCGCGATGTATAATTTTTCTCCGTGGTGCTAAAATTTTCAGTTAAAAAATCGTAAATCGGTAAAGTTTTAAACGACTTGTTAAATCTTTTCCGTGCGGTATAAAATTCCAGGTGAAATTTGACCAGTCCAAACCAGTTCAACACGGATTGTTTACACCACGTGATCGATTTACCTTTATGAGGTTAACCTTTGTTGATTGGATTTAATCGATGTAATTAACACTTTTTACATGATTCTTTTGTGTTTTAATTTAGAGATCATAACTTTATGATCAAAGATAACTATTTTAAGGCTTCACTCACCACCTGACAAGTCGGCAAATACTTTGTAAACAAACGGTGTTGACCTGATAGTTGTACACACGACGGTACATATTTTGTACATTATAAAGTTAGCTCAATACTTATATTATAAGTTTTATATGTCTCTGATTAAACCATGGCCAAAATTATCTTTAATTATGACATAGTTATTGCATGATATTCCGGGTTCAAACTGTCAACAAGTAATTCAAAGGGGAAGGATCACATGACCCAGTTAGTTCACGTAGAATATTCAAGTTTATTTACAATTAACTGCAATCTATTCTATTTTATAAATAAAATGCATGACTGTACCTTCAAACTGGATATATATATCCATATATCGATATGATCATTAATGAATAACAGAAGTGATCTTGCAATTTTAATCCATAAGCACATGTTAAATCTATTTATATCTACTTCCTGTCATTTAGGCGGGAAAATAGGGAGACTTTGTTGTTGACATTGAATATGCTACTTTTAGATCTATAGATCTATAGACCTAAGATAAATTTATAGATTTAGGAATTCTTTTTAAATGGATCATGACAAATAAAGATTTAGATTTCAGTGCAGTATTAAGTCTGTATCTAGGTTTGATTATCACCAAAGACAAGAAAGGTTAATATTTACATGTTTATGAAATCTATGGCAAAATGTTTTAAAATTTATGAAAAAATTCTTTTTATTAAAATTTAAGATAGAAACTGGTTCAAATTATTACACAATTTTGTTCTTGTTAATTTTAAATCTCTTTATGACAGGAATCCTTTCACATACAACAACTTTCTTTCTAGAAACTAGAAAGTTTTTTAAATTGAACTTTTTTGTTCTCTTTTGAATCTGGGAACAGTATATCTAACAATTTATATGTTCCTGTTTGAATGATATTTTATTTTTATTGATCATGGATTTTATAAAAAATTTAATTACTTTAAATTTAGATGAATATTGTGTAATGAATCATGTTTTATTTATTTTTAAAAATATTAAAAGTATACAAACTGTTTATTGATCTTTTTAACCAATAATATTCTGTTATAACACAGTACCACAGAATTAAAACTAAACAAGAGACATAAAAAACTGCAGTAACTAGAAATATAGCGACGCAACGCAACACAACTGATTGTATGAATCATTTCACCAAGCTGTTCACACGCGTTACCCTGGTGCTATCCAAAAATCCTGGGGAGAACACTGTAAATGCAATGTGTAATTAAACTTCTGAGATCATTAATAGTAAAGGTTTATCATGGTGGGCGGAGTTTTGACCATATCAGTAGCAACTGACTTACAGCAAGGTCAATAATGATATAACATCTCCGGCCAGATCTGATTGTTGATGCATAGGGTGTGCATTTTCTTTATATATTTAGAATTGCTGAATTGGAATGCCTTCTTACTGGTCAAAACCTAATTGATTTATGATTAAAGGCCAATCCTGAAGTATTCCCATGATGTGTGAATTATATTGAAGTTAAAGGGGTACAAGTAGGAAAATCCTTATTTATTCAATTGTGACACATTCATTTTTGTCATGAAAATGTAGTTTTAAATGAAATTAGCTCCTAGATGGGTGCCTCTTTATGCTTGATTTTCACACATGTTGTTCCTTGACCAGTTATCTTCAAAAGGGTGTCTCAGATTTCCAAAAACATCAATAGAACAAATTTTATACCCAATTTAATTTAGTGATCTCTTATGAATTGAGGTTGCAAACTTCATTGAAGGTTTATGAGAGAATGAAATACAATAGGAAAAATCTGAGACACCCTTTTGGAGGTCAAACTGTGTTGCACAAGAATCTATAAAATATTTTGGGATGAACATGAATAACAAAGAAGCTAATTTCATTCAAGTGTGGAAATCACAATATAGCAACTAATTACATAATAATTAATTATGTAATAATCATGTCATAATGAAATAATCACCATTTGAAAGATTGATCTTTTTTCTTTCTTTTGGTACCTCATTTATAAAATTCAAAGCTGGATGAAAGAAATTACATCACTTTAAAGTTGTCTGATTGGGGGTGAAAAAATCTTTGTATTGTGCTACCTTAAAGAGTGAAATATAAGAAATGTCATATCATAACCTGTTTATTAATATACATACTTCAATAAGGACGGGAATGCAGCAAGTTTTCAATATGTTGAATAATTCAAACTTTAAAACTTTCACACAATTCTCCATTACAATTGAACAGAAGGACTTCATGTTTGGTCAGTAGTCTTACAGTGATGAGTGTAAACTTTCGTCCAATTTTGAAGGGAATTCAACAAAAAATTTGATAAAATGGCAACAAAAAATAATATGGGTTATTTTTACATGTCCCCTTCCCAAACAAAAGATCATCCATTTGAGATTTTTCTGATAATAAAACTCATCTATGATTTTGATGATTGGAGACTTTTGTCCAAATTTGAAGAGGATCAGGCAAAAAATTACTGTGCTAGCATGACACAACAGACTGATAACAGACAGACAGATGGAGAGGTTAAAAAACATTATACCCTCTGCAACTTCTCACTTAGAGTATAATTAATGTTTTATCTCAAAAATAATGATGAAACATTTCTTAAATCCATTTTCCTTACAAATTTTGTCTCGCCTTGACGGAATCAAAAAGCGAGACATAGGTATGCTGTTTCCGGCGGCGACAGCGATGGCGTCAACAATGTATTAGTTTGTGATTAGGTCTAGTTCATGGTGAACCACTAGTGGTAGGTCAATGATATTTGGTATGCAGTTGTATTAGCATTGGCACATCTTATTACCTTGGAGATTATTTGGCCCCGCCCCCTCAGTCAAGGTCTATTGACTTTGAAACTTTTCATAGTTTACATGTATTAGTTTGTGATTAGGTCAATTTATTGGGAACCACTAGTGGTAGGTCAGTGATATTTGGTATGCAGTTGTATAAGCATTGGCACATCTCATTACCATGGAGATTATTTGGCCCCGCCCCCTCAGTCAAGGTCTATTGACTTTGAAACTTTTCATAGTCAACATGTATTAGTTTGTGATTAGGTCAATTTATGGGGAACCACTAGTGGTAGGTCAATAATATTTGGTATGCAGTTGTATAAGCATTGGCATATCTAATTTCCATGGAGATTATTTGGCGCCGCCCCCTTAGTCATGGTCTATAGACTTTGAAAATTTTGCTAAGTTAACATGTATTAGTTTGTGATTAGGTCAGTTCAAGGGGAACCATTAGTGGTAGGCCAATGTTAATTGGTGTTCAGTTGTATAAACATTAGCACATCTCATTTCCATGGAGAATATTTGGCCCCGCCCCCTCAGTCATGGTCTATTTACTTTGAAACTTTTGCTTAGTTTACATGTATTAGTTTGTGATTAGATCAGTTTAAGATGAACTGCTAATGTTAAGTCAATAATATTTGGTATGCAAATTTATTGGCATTTGCAAGTATCGTTTCCATGGAGATTATATAGCCCCACCCCTGATCATGGTTCATTGACTTTTAAACTTTTACATAGTTTACAAGTTAATGTTTGTGTTTAGGTTTGTTTAAAGGGAACGACTTATAATAAGTCAATGGTATTTGGTATGCAGTTGTATTAGCATTGGCACATCTCATTCCATGGAGATTGTTTAGCCATGTACCTTCAGTCGTGGTTCATCGACTTTGAATATTTGCATAACTTACATGTTAAAGTATTGCTATTTTAATTTCAACATTTGCATTATCAAAATTACAAAAAGGCAAGACATATCTCTGTGATAACAGTTTATTTAACAAACAAACCATTTCAGGTTACTACAATATCGGTCTGTGTCTCAAGATGTGACTATTTATACTGAGTTGTTAACTACCATGTTTCTTCTTTTCTTTTCAGGTATTATGTTTACTTATGGTTGCCCACAACTTTTTTGAATTGTTAGTTGGTATAAAAGCATTACCTGTTGGTGCTAAGGTAAGGTCTATATTCTCATTTACTTATATAACAATGCATCATTCAATTATTATTGAATGCAAAAAATAGTATATGAGCTAAGCATTGCCAAAACGGTTAGGTCAGCAGTATTGGCCATTTCCAAAGAAAACTTACTCATTGATACTAGTATTGCTATATGGATCAACTTCTAAATAAATAGAAGTAATATCATTGTTTGAACTATCAACATAGTATGGCACTTAAAAACAATACTATCTATCACTTCTTTTATCTATATGAGCTTACTTCATTTGCGATCACAGTTCTTGCTGTGTAAGATAGTATTTATAAATGATGAGAAAATTGTGCTATTTTTATGCCTTGAGTTTGCCTCAACCAAATGTTATGAAACTTATACACAATGCTTATTACCACAAAACACAGATCAAGTATGAATGTTGGTGGCGTCACTTTAACCGTTCTAGAGTTATGCCCCTTTATAAATGGAAAAATTGCAAAATTTTTAGTTTCCGTTCTCTAACTTCAGTTTGCCTCCACCAAATATGAAACTTATACACAATGCTTATTACCACAAAAAACAGATCAAGTTTGAATTTTGGTGGCGTCACTTTTACTGTTCTAGAGTTATGCCCCTTTATAAATGGAAAAATTGCAAAATTTTTAGTTTCCGTTCTCTTACTTAAGTTTGCCTCAACCAAATGTTATGAAACTTATACACAACGCTTATTACCACAAAACACAGATCAAGTTTGAATTTTGGTGGCATCACTTTAACCGTTCTAGAGTTATGCCCCTTTATAAATGGAAAGATTGCAAAATTTTTAGTTGCTGTTCTCTAACTTAAGTTTGCCTCAACCAAATGTTATGAAACTTATACATGATGCTTAATACAGATTAAGTACGAAATTTGGTGGCGACACTTTTACCATTCTTGAGTTCTGTCCCTTTATAAACATAGAAATTGCTGAATTTTTCGTTTCCGTTCTCTAACTTTAGTTTGTCTCAACCAAATGTTATAAAACTTATACACAACCTTTCTAGAGTTATGCGTGTTTACAAATAGAAAAATTGCTGAATTTTTAGTTTCTGTTCTCTACTTAAGTTAGCCTCAACCAAATGTTATGAGACTTACACACAATGCTTATTACCACAAAACTCAGATCAAGTTCAAATTTGGGTAGCGTCACTTTGACCGTTCTTCAGTTATGTCCCTTTATAACTATATGATATGCAAGCGGGGGCATCATCTGTGTCCACATGTGGACACTAACCACATTTATTTAGTTTCATAAGTTTGATCTTACTGGATCATGAAAGGAAGTAGAAGGCTGACGTTAGATTCATCACATACCCTGATAAATAGAAGCAACTTTAATTATATGGACTAACTACATATCGAAAAATTAGATATAATTATATATAAGTATAAAGGTTTGTTCATGACATTGATGTAGTTTAAATTGTGATTTAAATGGTTAACATGATTTATATTTACAGGAAACAGTTGTATTGGGGATCTCCTCTCTGTCCACATTAGGGTCAGTTGGAGCTACCTTAGAAATTGTTTTAATTTTGTATCCTTTTTGTTGATATCATATGTAACTTTGGTTCTAAAATACAGCAGGATTGTCAAAGCTATATAGATACTGTTTGATATGGCCTGAAAAAAGCAACAAAAAAAAGATGAAAGGAAATTGAATTTTAAAGAAATAGTTAATAGGGTAAATGTATTTGAAAAAAGAAACTCTTACATATTGCAACCAGAAATTAATGTATTTGACAAATGTCAGATGTACCTTCAAAACGAATCTAAAAGGAAAATGATATTATTATTAAATAAGACATTATAGAAAATGAAAACAAGTCATGAAGATATGGATATTTTACATACGCAAAAAAAAAGTAACTGTATAAAGATGAGATGTGGAATGCTCCTGTGAAAATTTACAACTATCATTCAATTCACTGACTATGAAATTAAATCCTTAACTTTACAAAGGTATGTTATGTGTGCATCTGTGGTAGGATTTTATAGTTTGCCATTCTTCAAAAGATTACGTCCAGTCCCACATGATACGTCCATGGTCAAAATCATAGGAAACTGTGTGGTGTTACTCATACTCAGTTCAGCATTACCAATTCTCTCTAGAATGTTAGGTATGACTTTAAAAGAAAATTGCCATAACTTTAATGGATTGATTAATTGGTGTTTAACTCCACTTTCAGAACTATTGATTTATTTCGTGGCGGTACATTTTTATTGGTGGAGGAAGCCTGTGTGACTGGAGAGAACTTTGATTGAAAAATTATCTGTGTTTATGAATAATGAATAAAGTAAATTTGCAAAAAAAGCTTATTATAATCTCAAAATTTCAGGGTTATTTACTGATACTTTAAACATAGACAGACATTTTTGTACAGTTTTAATACACAATTTTTTTTTATAAATTTTAATTATTTAAAGGGGCTTCAGATACATATACATAATGAAACATAGTTCTCTTCTAGTATATAAATGGTCCAGTGTTATAATGATTTGGATTTTATTTTGTAGGTCTTACAAATTTTAATTTGATTGGTAACTTTGGTAGTATGGAGTGGCTTGGTAACTTGTATATCATTTTAGCCTGTGATGCTCTTTTTGCTGCACTTACAACTTTATGTTTGACTGACAAATTCACAGTAAAAGTGCGTACAGAAATTTATAACCGGTTTCTGATGTTATTCCAACGTGATAGTAGGAGAACATGGTCATTTAGTTCATACATCAATACAGGGATGAAAGACGAATAATTTGGATGCAGGTTGTTTATAGATTTTAAGTTTTATGTTGGTATGTTACATTTTTATAATTGAAAAAAGGCTGTTCTGGTTCCAATTAAAACAGATAACTTCAGAATGTGACAAGCAGTTCTATGTTGAAAAAATTGTTCATGTGGGTTGAAAGTATCAATGAATTTGAACATCTTAAAATTTTTTAAAAAGTACATTTTTGGGCATGCTATTTATTGTTGAGTTGTATCAATGGAGCTTGTCCAATTTGTCTTTTATACCTTCATGGTTTTTAACCTAATAGAACCGGGAGGTTGAATAATGTCACAAAATATTTGGCAAGATGTAAATTTTAAAGAATAATTTTATTTAAGTTGAAACCATATATTTTCTTTAAAAGGATTTCCTTACATTTCTGCAGTATCTGAATAACATAAAAATCTACAGCATATTTATTTTGTGTAGTAGGTAAGGTTTTAAATAAGTGAGTTAATTAAAAACAGTGTAATAATCAATTCTAAAATCTTTAAGATTCATTTCATTGTATTTGATAAAGCATTTCATTTCACAGACTTGCAATCATATTATGTGGAACCAATCATTTGCTGCACATTTTGACAATTCATAATTTACAAAATCCTACAAAATAACAGTTTAAAACTGTTGAAATATAGTGCTAATGTATTTAAAATGGTAGACATTTTAAGTTTTTGATGGTCAGTATTTTTATTTCAATAAATCCATTTAACTAAGTGTATTGTATTACATGTCTATGTGTTTTGTTTTAAAGAATGTAATGTTGGATGATTTTTTTTATTAAAATTTATTATCAAATTTATTAAAAAAGGTTTGAAGAAGAAGACAAAAAGGATAATTTATTGCTATTGTTTTAAAGCTGAAACCACCACACTGAAATTATTTGGGCCTAGAAAATGAAAATCTAAAAATAATTTTCAAATTATTTATTTGTGTAAAGCTGTTAACACGATAGGTTTCTTTGTTTCTATTCATGTAACATGTTATACATCAATTTGGTTGTTAGTAATGTATGAAATTATTTACTTAGGGAGATTATCTTAACATTCCATGTGTAATTTTAGTTTTGACTCTGTTTTTAATTTAGAATATTGATGGATGTACAGCGAACAATGTTTATATTGGTTAATTTTAATATATTGAATTTTTAAATTCATTAAAAAGAAGCCTATCTTTTTTAATTATATTTTTTTTTACTGAAAATTATGCTTTGGGACCAGGAAAGAAAACATATGCTTCATATTATATATTTTAATTACTTTTGACTGAACAGATATGTCACTAGTTCTATCTTTATTTTGCATTCGAAATCAGTTTAAACAAGTTCCCAAAAAAAAACCTTTACAGAAATTTAAAGGATTACCTTACTATTTATCAATATGTACATGTAAATTGTAAGCAGACTTTAGTATAAGTAACATTTTCCCTCTCTAAGGTGAGTTGTCAATCCTTGTGTTTTCATTGGTTGCTAGGTCCCTTAGTTTCTGTTATTCTGTACAATTATCTGTCATATTTGTCCAGGTACTGTAGAATATTTTTGAATGTTGTTTGTTCTGTCAGACAATCTTGATCTCTTTAGGGTTTCCTGTGACCGTGTCCATGGTGTAGATTTAGCTTGTAAAACAAGAAAGTTGTGTGAATTAGGAATGTTATAATTTTATTTTTATTAAAACCTATATTGCTTATATGATTTATGTGTGAATCAGGATTTTTATTTAAACATTAATGATACACAATGTTCATTCTTTTTTATGACAATGTTGACTTGCAAAGAATTCAAGCATTCCTTGAGAACCTTGATTAACATAGATAGTTTCGAAAAAGAAATAATTACCAAAGCAAGATGGCAATCTTAAATGTTTTACTTATGTATAATAGACTCTGAACCATCAAGTTTCTAATCTTTAAGAGAAATCATATTATATTTGTTTTAAATAATAAAGGATGCAAAATAATTAATTTATAATAGGAATTTAAATGTAGATTTTATTTTTGAGTTATACAGAAACTGGGAGTAGTGCTGAAAAGGTTTGATGCTTTCTTGCCTTGCTTAATTGATCACTTGTTTCAATGTTAATAATAGTTTGTTCTTATTTAATCAAAGATTGTTTCTGTACATTTGAAAATATGTTTGAACTGATAAACTGTCTTGATATATTTTGGACATATTGTGCCATTTGGCAAATATTTCTGTGACTTCAGTCTATCTTAGATACATAAAAGTTATATTCATTTTGTGTTTTAAAAATTTTTTTAAAAAACTTCTTCAGATTTTTTTTTTTTTTTTTTTTTTTCAACCCTGCAGAAGATGGTAAAATAAACAAACGCTTGAATTTCATTTGATACAATCCGCTCAGTTCCACTGTTTAAACCACTTGGTGTTGTGTAGATATCATCCATGTCAATCATTACAATACAATACAATTATTACTGCAGTGGGAGGGACTTCTCAAACATTTTCCCCAACTTCTTTACTTTTACACCTTTAAAAAAAATACACTGCAAAATCCAGGAAAATTTATTATTTTCCGAAACTCCGAATGAATTTAGATTTTATATATCTAGGTCAATCCGTGCCTTTAAAATTTTCCAGTTGAACAGGTTTGTATGTACTCAGACCAACTTTTTAGGTTTAAACACAACCATATTTGCCTAAAGGTTATGATGAATCTTAAAGGTATTTAGTTGTTTCCTTCATTGTGAAGTCAGGTTACCTGCAAACAAAGAAAAATTCTAGTCAGTTTGATGTAATTTGTATAACAAAGTTTAATCTCCCGTTTTTTTTTTTTTAACTGAAAACAAAAAAGAAGAATGGGTTTGTTTTATTATTATTAAAGGGCATTAAAAATAATTTACACAAAAAATAAAAAATATGATTTTTTTTGTTTCAAACATTGATAAAACCAGAATTTTTAAATAGTATGTCGCTTTTCAGTTTGGTTCAATTTTGTCAAAATAACCTCTGAAACATTACTGATGTAATATTGAATACAATCGAAATGCTGATACATTATAAGGAGTTCATCCATTGTTAATTGTTTCTTTTGGACTTTTTTTGTAATTTGGATATACGTTCAGTATGTTATAAATATAATCTTAGAAAATTGAGTGACATCGATGAACATGAATTGTACAGCTAATGCTCCTTTAAGGCATTGAAATGCTTAATTTTACTCAGCAACAAATTATTTTGAAATGAATCTCAAAAAAGTTTATGAAGAAATAAACAAAAGTTAATGAAGAAATGAAATATATATATATATGTAATGCTCACATGGTTCATGCTTTTGTTTTAAAAGTGAATAATTAGGAAAAAATAATTCAAGTTAATTAACGTAGTATTTTAAACTGATTAGAGCAATAATTTTTAAAATGTATTCTAGAATTAATTAGAAAATAATAGAAATTACTGACATTGCTAGTAGGTTCGGCATTTTAGCTCTAAAATAATATATAGCCAAAGTTAAGTTTATTGGTTAACAATAGTTATTGACAGATAGGTAGAACTACTACATGTATTTCAAATCAAATATGTTTTATTTGCTCAAAATATTTAACAAAACTTAGTTTTAGCAAGTTGTTGATATAATTGATAATTTCTTATTTTTGTAAACATACACTTTCAGATTATGGGACCATATATTTATTGTTGTTAAAAAAGTTTAATATAAGATTGAACATAAAATCAGAGAAAGTCATATGATAGGCCAGTGTCTTTAAGAAATAAATTCAGGTTCCTGTAAAAGTTCATTTCTAAAAATGACTTCTAAAGTTTGTAACCCTATGCTTCATACAATTATGTTTTTGTTCCACTCATAAATTTCTAAAGATATATAAATAGTTGACCATTATTTATAAAATGTTTAACAAAATGAATTATGACAAGTATTAAAGAACTGACAATGTATTTTCTAGAGATAAATATTTTAATGATTAATATGAATAAATGGAGAGGTGGGGTATTCAGCAATGAGACAGCAACTCAACAACAGAAAAACCACAAGGAATGAAATTGTATTGATGCTTTCTGATATATATTGTCCTTATTGACATCAACACTGTGAAGGGATGAACCTTTTGAACTAACTAGTATATGTTTTTAGTTTTCTGTATAGTTGGCATATATTTCCTATGATGATATTCAGAGAAATTACTGTAAATTTTTAAAAATTTTATTAGGGCACATTTAAAACATTGTCAATACCTTACAAGTCAAATGCATATAACAGATTCTATTGGACTATGATAATTACTGTATACAAACTCATTTTTTCAACCAATTTATTTTTGCAACTTTTTCGAGTAGAAAAGTAATGGAAATATAAATCATTGCTAATTTGTCAAACTACATCTTCTCTTTAATATATGAAAACATCAGCAAAGTTAGAACAATTCAAAACTAAATTGTTGTGGAAAAAGGCTAAAACAAAAAATAACGGCTAAGATAATGTTGGTTTATTGTGCCCAAAGTTTGCTGAAGAAACCTGATGTTTACCAGTGTCTTGATTTTTATATATACATCCTTGTGCTTACAGCAATCAAATTGTCAATTATGGTTTAGATTTCTGAATTAACCAAATGTTTTCAATATCAGTTTTTTATTGCATGAAGTAAAACTCTAAAATGATTGTATATTTTTGTGCACATTTTTTGTACTTACCTGAATTTAATCCGTCTAATTATAAAATGCAACAAACATTTTGCCAAAACAATGCAAAGCCATTATAACATTGTAAGTACCATGAAAAAGCCTTTTTATTTATCATTTTTATATGCTTTTAAACTATTTAACTTAATTACAGGTTATGACAATACCTTCATTTTAAAGGGTAATAATTGATATATATCCAAATGTCAAAATCTATTGTTTGAAAATTGAGAGATATTTGTAAGAATTTTCACAGAATGAAAAGTACATTTTTGTTGAGCCTGCAACATTTATATCAAGATAGCGAGACATAGCGATCCTAGATTCCGTTGTCAGCGTTATTATATAAATAACACGTAGCTGAGAGGGTGATAGAGCAGATTGTTACCCCGAGAAAACATTGTCAACTGAGGCGAAGCCAAGGTTGACAATGTCTTTTCGAGGGGTAGCAATCTGCTCTATCACCCTCTCAGATATGTGTTATTTAATTTATTATACTGGATGTTCTGTTATTACTGTCTATTAAATTTCAAATTCAAAGTAATAAACTATGACGTCTTGTACATAACAACCATCCGTATTTAATAAAGCTCACACTTGTTCAAGCGTCTTCGTGAAGGGTAATAGAGTATTTGCCATAGGATAGAGTCGTATTTAATAAAGCGCACACTTGATCAAGCGTCTCTGTGAAAGGTAATAGAGTATTTACCATAGGATAGAGTAAATTGTCTCCCTCGTATTAACCAACCAAAATCTGGCATTTTGACATGAAGTATAATAAAAACATTTAGGTTCATTCTGTGGTTTAAGTTTTAGACATCAACAACTTTGTGAAACCTTTATGGAATTTTATGAAATTTACTGCAGTTCCAAAAACAGAAAAAATGTCTTCAATAATTATACAACCACAATTAGCCTTCATAAGAACAGGCAAGGGTATAACAGAAGGAATTTGTTTCAGTTGTTAAATATTTTTAGAACAAATGTTTATATTTTTTACTGTTTGTGTTTTACACAGGACAGTTTTTTGTCAGTCTTTAAAGTACCCTGTAAATAAATAAGTGCATTAAACACTTTCCTCACCATATGTCCCTTGTATGTGAACAAAGATATACATGTATCACATTATTATCACAACCAATGTCATTAATAAATGCTCATTTACTTTATTTATTTGTGCAATTAGTATATAAAGTTATTATTTTACTAAATGTATTTGTATTGTTTAATTGTTATTTAGCAGTATAGAATTAAAAAATATCTATAAAAATTAATAAAAAATATAGTAAAATTATGGTTGTGCTTGTCATTCTTTAACCTCAAGTAAAATGTGTACGATTCATTCTATGGACCTACGTTGTGTGTGTCTTTTTTTATGCCTGTGCCACTTAGTCTAGACATATAGTGTTACTCATTTCTGTCAGTCAGTCAATGAGTCATATTTTTTGTCATCTGGAATGGTGCAGTTGTCCACATTTTTAGCTCACCTGGGCCAAAGTAGCTTACAAGACCGAACAGACGGACGCCTGGTATTTCTATTTCCCCCGCAACATGTTGCGTGGGGGACAAAATATTCTTTGCTCTGAAACCACTGCTTCTTATCCCTTCATATCATTCAACATGGCCACCATACATAATAGTGAAATGAAAGTAATCAACTAATATCATAAAAACTATATGTATCTACTTTCCATTTACACGAAAACTGCCAAGTGACTTAATTTAGTAGTTATTTCCTTTCGACGAATCCTTTGTATGATGATTATTTTAAAAACCAAAATAGATAGACGGAAACTGTTAACACCATAAAAGATCAGCTATGCTACTAAAATGTTGATATGACTGAAACTATGAATGGATTCCTTTATATTGGAGATGTTGCCACAAAATATTTTTGATGACGTTTTCTTTTTGTCTATTTTCTTGAAAAGTAAAATATAAATATGTAATTGTATACGGCAGAAATTATCAACATTCAAAGATCTAAATATTACATCAAATGACAGAAATCACCAAATGACTCCTAACTGGAGTTATTACTTACTGAGGTGAGAGTTTTTTGGCTCCGTGCTGAAGGCTACACTGTGAGCTGTTCCTTTGCTTTTTGTGTGATTTTGCTGTGCATGTACAGATTTAGTGTCTTGGATGGATACCCCATAGTGAACCTTTGTTTCTCTATTATTGACCACAAATGATAGTTTCTCCCTAAATCCCCCTCTGAGGTCTGTTAAAGGTTTCGGAGATCACAATGACCACAGTTAAGGGAGAGTTTAAATAAGGTTGTATCTTAGTTAGTGCTCTGTATTACTACCAAAATTAAATATAAATTATGATTCAATCATGGTAGAAATATTTATTTCACAAGTTACATTTGAAAATAAAAATAAAAATAGTTGTATTAAAAAAATTCTGCTAGAGGTCATCTGCAGATTAACATTCTTTCACTCTGACAGGTTTAATATTAAAGGGAAAATTCGCGATTTTTTACTTATCATCTTATTATGTTCATAATACCATTAAAAACATATCCACCAAGTTTTATCTGGATATGAAAACTAGTAAAGAAGAAAATTGGGAATTATTAATTCTATTTATTCAAACTTCCTGACTTATGTGACGTAGTTTAAGTCTTTTTGCATGCCGGGAGTGGATTAATCTCATTTAAAGTCTTGTTCGTTAATCATCTAATAACGCGATTTAAAGCGCATCAACGACTTTTGGTGTAGCTATTAACCAACTAACATTTCAGAAAGAAAAGTGATCAGCCGTGCATTTTTTTAAATTAAAATTTACGATTTATATTTTAAGGATTTCTGATATGATTATAGTAATAAAAGTAAATCATACAATAGAATTTTTTTATGATTTTTTTTTCGACGGATATTTCTAACAACATATATAACTGATAGTATAATAGAAATTCACGTTTGTATTCTCCCCTATTACTTCAGTCGAGGATTTGTCTTACTATACAAATCATTGCTTCAGTCTAGTACTGTGTAAATACAATGCATGTGTATTATTCCGACACCACCTGGTAAAGGCGTGGTTAAATTCACGGTAATTAAAAGATTAGCATTATGTAATTTTAATCCTTTGATCTTCACTATAGTGGTGTTTGTCCTCAAGGGTTCACCGTTGCAGGTATGAGACAGATTTTTTTTAATTATTAAGGGAGGAATATGGTGGCAAAATACCTTAATTATATATATATTTTTTTAACATTTTGCATTTGCTCAGTTTTTAAATAAATAGGTGAGTATTTTGTTGTAACATCGAAATTCTGAATCACTTTTAATAAAATAATTATATAAACATTATAAATGGCCCATGAAAACGAGCGTATAAATCAAAACAGTACTATTTTAAATTATCATCGGTAACCTTGAATATTTAAATGTGCAGAGAAAATTATCAGTTACAAGAATATAGTTTTGTCGTCCAAAGCGATCTTCATTTACCTATGATCAGGAATGCCCTTATTAAAATATTATAAATCTCACAACGTATTTATATAATTCTTAAGCTATTTGACCAACGATGTTTAAAAAAATTAACAGAATCAATCTAACGTCAACTTTCCTTTTTTTAAATGGAGACAGAACGTCGAAATCAATTTTCAATGTGCTTGATATCTTGTACCTTTGTAAGACTTATCATTCATTCATAACCCCACTCTAAACCAGAGACATATATACGTCTGTTTAAACTGACAAAAAAACTCCTAAAGCGGACAAGCAGTATATTCTGTAAATTTCTGAGATTTAATACAAAGAAATAAAAAAAAATCCCGAAATGAATTTGATCCTGGAAAATATTCACATCCTCATTCGGTCTGAAAAAAAGATACGAATTTGGTATACAGAACATGCAGAAATGTGAATGTTATAAAACCTAATTGTTATATCAGAAACCATTATAAATATGAACATGTATACGTAAGACCTCATGGGACGTCACCTAACCACATTCAGGTAATATACAAGTAGCTCTGTTATACCCGGAAATGTTTATTTATATAGTTGCTTGTCGTTAAATAGAGATCTAGTGTATACATGTCTCTGCGTTAACTTATAAAAATAACAGGAAATAATAACCTTGAAATAGATTTATGATGAATACTTTGCAAACTGCGACACCCCTTTTTATCACAGCGTACATGCATGCATTTAAATGACTGTCCGTTATGCGATTTAGAATGACAATCGTACGTACAATCCTATAGTTCATGCATGGTGAGTCCTTTTCTATCAGATATGCGACTTTTCGTATTTATATTTTCTCTTATATTACCGGTACTGTCATTTAATATCTAATGCATAAGTGCAATATTAAGAGTGGTTAAATCCCCTACAAGCTAACTAAATAAATAAATCAACCCTCTAGCTGACCAGACGTTAATACAACTACCATCAGTCTATCCGGAGTGAAGTTTCTTTATTTCTTCAAATAGGCTTTTGGGTATCATTAGTGCACGTCCAGTGGCATATATATATAACATGCATGTCGGACTAGGAAAATGTGATGATGACGAATTTCTTAAACTGTTCGAAATAATCTTATTGAAATATAAATCTGTGATTTTACTATGTCTATAGCTTCGATGAACCAAAGCAAGTTAGATATCGACCTGTATTTAAATCAGATTGGTTCTGGATGTTTCTCTCGTATATTCAATATACTTGTATGATATTAGTTCTATATTGCGACTATCCATAGTTCCGTATTAAACCTTCCATCTAGGCGTATAAACCAATGATCGATAAGTGCCGCACATTTTGTTAAATCAATATTTGTATGTTTGAAAATGTCCATAATTATTGACAACGAGTATATACTTACATTTTCCCCAATTTACACTTGGAAAATGTGCCCGTAAATAGATTTTTATTTCATCAAATCTTTTTTTTTTTAATTATTTAAATTTTCATAAATATCATTCTTTACACCAAAAATGTTATTTATAAACAAGCGTATGAGTTTAGCAATGACTAGTAGTATATCACTATCGGATACGCTATACAAAGTTGTATATTACACCTGATAGATTCAAAATGGAAGTTACATGTTATCGGCCGTGTACACTGATCAATACCCCCAGAAAAGAAGTTATGCACGAACTTGTTTTATGTAATTGTGTAATAACAGTTTTAAAGCCCGACAGGAAATCGCTTGAATACCTGTACGTGTCACCTCACAATACCTCTGGGAACAATCCCTTTAGCCATTCTGGTGATCAGATAAGGGAAGGTCCGAATTTATTTTAAAAAGTTTATTACATAAAACAATTATGAACAAACTAGATTTTCAAAAACAATTTAACACGGAACACTTATTTATAACTTTGACTTTTTAACTTATTTCAATTTCTTGTTTTAAATACTTCGTAAACAAAACAGTTTCAAAACGACAGACCATACTATTAGTACTAGTTATTTAAAAAATAATATATATAAAATTACATTTTCCGTATCAAGTTAGTTAGGAAAGGTTGCACAACCATGTCTTTCATAATCTTTTTTGTGACCCGGGAAACTGTTTATGCTTTCCTTGTCGGATAAAACAACCGTACGCTTGACAAGATATCGACACTCAATTACGGCTACGTTAGGTTACTGTTTGTTTTGGTCCTTTGTGGTTTATAGATATATCGTGGTCAATATTCGGGGAGGATGTCAAAATGGCCGCATGCGGAGAATTGATACTCTAAATTTAAAATCGATGGTGATCTCTTAACTTGTAGAATAAAACTTTAATATCTATGAATTTGTGCTTTTATATACATAATGAACAGAATATGAATTTTTCATTTTTTTGCGAAGTTTCCCTTTAATACAAAAATCCTAATTACTAAATTATATTATAAAGTTAATTTAGACAGTAAGGAACCTTTTTAAATCTCTGTTCAAATGAGACCAGAGTCTAAGGTCATAAAACTTTACTCAGTACTTCATGTACTTGGAGTACAAAATTTGTGCTCAGAACACCAAACTTAGTATTTTGATTGGTTGAGTTCTGAGTCTGGTTACCATACTCATACTCCAAATTTTTATGACCAAAAGGTCTTGACTATATGTTATGAGCTATGACACTGGCAACATAGCAATAAAATAAAAACTATCAAACTAAAATCCAATGTAAACATGAGATGGAAGAGTAAGCATTGACTGCTTTAATAAGACACCTGTAAAGGTTATTCCAAACCTTGTTAACTTCATTGTCATATAATTTGTTTATTTTTGGCCATGTTGCACTAAGTGCAAAACTGGCATATAGTATGATGATATGTCAAGC